GGATTTTAATGAATGTTTATTCATCCAAAGTCATTCTCTTTAGACCCTAACATTTATACAGAACTTGTAGAACATTATACAAACGAGGCTTTATGTTTTCCTGTTAAAGTTATGGATTGGATTCCTATGGATGGTTCATTCTCAAAGAATACAGATAGTTCAAGTGCAACATTTACAGCAGCTTATACGCCTATTAATGTTAAAAGTATTTGGGCACTATTTAGAAAGAAAGACAACTATTATGTTAATTTTGAGAACCCTAAGTTTAAATATCTTCAGCTTTCCATGGGAGCTTATGGAAATATGCCTGCAGAACCTGAAAAATCATATGGACCTGTATTTTATGAAATGGTTGCGAACGCCTGCAATACAAACAATGATATGATAGGATTTAATGAAGATGTTATGAGGTCTGGATGATGGTAGTGTGGAACATAAATGGGATAGCTATGACAACACACATTTCTTATGTGGTTTTCCAACAGAAGTGGACTTTTGCTTCCAGCAAGGTCAAACATCTACTGCTCCAATAACATACAAATTGTCTGTTAAAGGACCTATTGAACTAGCAACTGAAAATGTACCAAAGCCACTTATTGGATTTATGAGGATTGTTGCTTTGCCATTCAGATGCGTGCTAATGGAATCCCAATAATAAGATTAGATGACTATAACTTACTGCGGACGACAGTGAGGAATAAAGGATGAACGTTTATTTTAAAGCTTATAAATGAGTTCTTCATCAAGCTCTCGTGAACCTTCACCATCTATGAAACAAACTTTACCAAACGATTATGGAGCACCTATTGAATATTTCTTACGAGCTGCACAATGGCAAAGAGCAGTCTCACCAAGGTTAGGATGTTTCCACCAGCTCCTGTCAAAAATAGCATTTGGTCAAGTCCTTATAATAAGATATGGTCTCCCACTAGGTTTGCTAGCTACAGCAGAGCAGTTATGATGTGAAAAGAAATAAAGCAAATGTTGTAAATAATAACTGAAGTAGCTTGAAGTTAAACACAACACAACCACTCCTTCGCCAAAACCAACGCCTTCACAAGCAAAACCTTCAATGACTCCTGAACCTATGGAAGTACAAACTCCTGTTCAAAAGTCAACTCCTAAACCGACTCCAACATTTAAACCAGAACCTACTCCTCAAATAAATCGTAAAACTCCTGCGTTTCCTTACTGAAAAAATAACGTTCTTTTTATTTAATATTAAAATTTTTATTTGATTGAAATGACAAATAAAGTCACTGAAGCAATGAAACAAAAGTTTTTGGTAGAATACATTAAATCAGGAACTATTCCAGAAGGTTTTTACATTCATACTATGAAGGATGGTAGAGTTCAGTTTAGAAAGATAAAGCAACCATTAGATAAAGAAGGAATTTTGAGAAAGATTAAACTTCATGAGGACAACATTGCTGAACTTAAGAAGAAGTTAGAAGAGTTGGAGAAAGGAAGAGAGTTATAAAGCAATGAATTCAACAGGGTGAAAAACCGGGTGAAAGAAGAGGTGAGATTTCACCACTTCACCTAAATTTATTTTTGTGCTATGTTTTCATACGTGTGAGGGTGGTGATATCATTAATTTTTAAGTTTATTTTTTATTTTATTTTTATATAAATGACGAAAACTATTGCGATAACAAACTACAACGGTCATGAGTTCAAGAATTTGTTCTTCGTTCCTCGTGAAAATACATTCTATCAGATACGAGGGAGAAAGGGTAAAGTTAGTTTGAGCGTTTATGAAGGAATGAAGAATGGAAAGTTTATACAAGCATACGATACAAACGGTAAACGTGTTTCATTAGCTTTGTCAAAACTTACTAACATTTATTTTGACAGTGACTTTGACTCTGACGATTGGAGCGACAGCAGCGATACTGAAGAATATGAAGTATTGTGTGAAGCACAGCAATGGGAGGAGTTGCAATACTTTTGTAAGTGAGAACGTTTATTTTTAACAGTAGTGAAGTCGTTTGTGAAAACGTTAGTGAGGTGAAGTGGTTGGCGGCTTTATAAATATTTAAGTTTAAGTTGGTGTTTGTGTTGTAAAATATACGTTAACGGTTTTGTAAAGTGTCAAATTCACATATAATGGGTAAGGAGGCTCGCAGTGCCTCCGTACACATTATATGTATACTAACTAGAAATCTAGATATAGAAGAGCCCGAGATTGAGAACGAAGCAATTGAAGGTGATGGCCAAGTAGATGCAGAAGACATTGCTCAGGATGAAGAAGTTGAAGAGAATGAACCAAGGAGGAGACTAGGCAGGAACCTTGGTGAATGGGCGTCTCTGTCAATGCAAGAAGTGGAAGAGTACAGCTTCAACGATTTTATGATCGAGATGCTTTCGAGACGTGCAGAAGCAGAAGCGAGGTTCTACAAGAGAAGTTCGGCCAAGAACATAGCTAATGAGTACAAGAAAGCTCTTTCCAACTTTATACATATGAATGAGAGTGAAATCAGGAACAACACCGACCTCACCTGCTTGGATCAAAGGTTTTGGGTAGCATGTGATGCAAATTTCAAGGCATTGAAAGAGATTGGCTTAAAATTCATGTCTATTGCTGCAACCGAAGCTGATGTGGAAAGAATGATTTCAATTGTGCGGAACCTGCGTAATAGGTTTAATCAAAACGCTCGTGAAGATCTAATAAAGTGTAGAATCCTATTGAAGCTTTTCATGACAAATGAAATCCTGAAAAAGATATTTCCAGATCTGACTGATCTTTAACTTGCCGTAGCCTCTTGCTGCCGTAGCTCCTTGATGCTGCTTGACCTGCCGTAGCTCCTTGATGCTGTAGCTCCATGCTGCAGCTTGACCTACTGTAGCCCCTTGATGCTGCTTGATTGTAGATGTTGGCTTTGAATGATGCCGCTTGACCTGCCGTAGCCCCTTGCTGCCGTAGCTCCTTGCTGCTGCTTGATCGTAGATGTTGCCCTTGAATGCTGCCGCTTGATTGTAGATGTTGCCCTTGAATGCTGCCGCTTGACCGTAGATGTTGGCTGTGAATGTTATCGCTTCAACCGCTAGCTCCTAACTGCCTCCAAACAGCTGTTTTGCTATGACCTCAATCACTTTTATTTATTATTTTAAATATTATTTAATTTTATTATTTGAATAGGCCAACTTATATTTGAGAAGCTCAATTTGAGACCACTTAATACATTGAAATATCATAAATATTGAAATATTAAAAAGTGTATTTCAAAATATTGAAATTATAAAAATTTATAATACTGAAATTGAGACAAATTAATAAATTCAATGTGTTTTTTTTTTGAAATAACTCTCAAATATTATTTTTTTGTTTATTTAATGATGAATAAATATGATTGCTTTAGTCAATCATAAAAACTAATTTAAGTTTAAAATAATGAAAGGATAATTTGATCGTTTTTTAAAATACAATTATTTTTGATGATTTGCAAGAATCTTTGAAAAGAATATAATATAGGTTCTATTTTTGTAAAATTTATCCAAATCATGTATTACATAAATTACGATTAAAACGATGAAAGAACCAAAAAGTGTGTTTTGTGTTTTGTTGTTGCGTGTTGGATGCGGGATCCTGTTATTTCCGAAATCGACAAAAAATTTGGAAATTTAATTTCCGAAATCGAAATTATATTAATGTTTTTAATATTCTTATATCAAAAGGATTAAAGTTCATTAAGAGAAAAACAATTCTTCTTCTTCAATCTATTGGCGCATTTATTTCTACACGCCAATAAGGAAGGGAAAATTATAAGACACCATGGTGTCTTCAAAACGCTAATTTTTGATATTTTTAACAACCCTACTGAGGATTTTGGAAAAAAGTTTTTACATGAACATGTGTATATTATATGAAGTATATTGATAAGGTAAAAATCAAATTTTATTGCATATTCATCGAGAAAATAAACTAACGAATCCCTCAAAATTGAGAGGGTAATCCTCCTCTCAAATAAACGTACATACGGGTGCACCCTTAACCTCTTATTCCAATCTTAGTTTTATTCACTAACTTAAAAATATCCGAATCTTAATAATTATCATGAATGATTTCATTCCATTTTGCCTTTTTTAAAAAAAAAATTGAAATTCTATTTCATTAAAACGCCATTTTTAAGCAAATTAACATCAACTACTCAACTATTAAATAGCAAACATTATTTTATTGTATTGAAATCAGATCTAAATGATTTTCAATTTTTCCAAATTCAGTTTCAAAATCGGTAAAATTGTTAAGATCTTATACAATATGCATAAGATACTATTTTCCATATCTTTTTTAAATACTTTTTTGTAATATTTGGAAGTGACCAAAATGTGCTTATGTAAACGTTTGGCTATAGAAATTAGAGTCAATATCAGTTTTATAGAACAAATTAATATGTTTTGTATTGCTTTTCGATGTATTGCAATTCAATTACAGCCAAATCAGCTCTATTTCATTAAACTCATAGCTCAGAACATTTCGTGTAATCATGTATGCTATATCTTACTAAATAAACATCTAACATTTGACTTTATGGATAAATGATATTTTTTTCCGTTACTTGATTATAGGCTGATAAAACCACAATCATATTAAACTTCCTCCGAAATAATTAATAAAGAAAAGTTTTTTAATTTCTAAAACTCATTATGAAGTATCATATTTAATCGATTTTTTTATTTTCATTTGTTATATCTATATATCAATAGTCTATCATTCCTTCATAAATTATCAGCAAAGAAATTTCTCAAATACCATCTCTGTGAGGAGATACAATGAAATGAAAAATCATTTTGTGACATCAAAATCTAAAATTCTATTCTTTCTAATACATATAACTAATATCTTTAGATATAGTACATTATATATATAGTTTCAAAAATCTTATATGTTTATTGGTTATTGAGATAGAAGCGCTTTAATTATCTCAATTTTGAGAAAAAATGTAAAATTCAGAAAATCATAGGGTAAATATTTTATTTAACAAAAATAAATAGATTTTATTCATTATAAGTACATGTTATGCCTTCACATGGAGTAGCACGAGTGATACTAGATTCTTCAATGCCTATTTCATGTAATTTGTCAAGAACAGCTTTTTCATGCTCCTTTGTTGTAAAAACAAATGGATTTGGCCCTGCATCGAAAGAATATGCAGCAATATTTATCTTATGATCATCGTTAAGTTGATGAATTGCAGAAACAACCTTAAATGATTCGTCATTTAAGTATTTGATAGGAGGAAATGTAGCTAAACAGTTTGCATGAAGTTCGTTTGATTCTCTCATTATGATTTCTGCAAGAGAAGCAAAATCTTTTTCATTTATAAACTTTTTAGCGTCAGAAATACGTTTTGGAACGACTTCTTGAGCCCTCCAGTGTATCCAAGGTACTGTTTCAACAGTACTTTGCATTCCTTTGGTAGAAAGAACGTCTTTCTTTTTAGATGAAACAATAACTGAAAAAACAACGAAATCTTCCCATTGGTGTTGATCAGCAATCTGTTTGGCAACGGATTCTGATGGAGTTCCGGGTACCCATTCAACAAATCCACCATGAATTGATCTGCAGCCACTTCCTGATACTTTTCTGGCCAGAGCTGTAAGATCAACTCCCTTTTGCATCCAGTATGTAATTGGATTGTTTGTTTTGCCTACTAAAGAAGCTAATGCACCAACAAAAGCAGCAGCTCCTGCAGCTGATGATGCAAGGCCTGCAGCTGTTGGGAATGAGTTTACTGATGTAATATTGAAGTGTAATTTTCCGTTATCATTGAAAAAGTCGATGGCTGTTTTTAATCTTGAAGTAATTTCAGCTTCTTTGTTATTTAAATAGAAATGATCAACATCATCTGATGAATATTCAGCTTTTGTTGTAGTTACTCCAAAATTTAATGTTACTGAGAGGGAGCCATGAATTGGAGTGATTTCTGGAATGTTTTCTTTGCCCCAATATTTAACTAATGCAATATTTGGATGAGAAGTGCAAACCGCATGACTTGTGTGAGTTGGATTTGAAGTACTCATTGATTTCAAAAAGTTTAGAAATAAAAAAAATATCTTCTAAAAAATAGTAAAAAGTGACCAGTCTGCACCGATCTTAACAAACTATTGGTACAGATCAGCGTACATCTATCGTCAAATTCAGAGAAATCGCGCAGACGAGCTTATCGCCCAGATTGAAAAAAAATATTAACAAAAAAGTTAAAGCATGCCAAATTAGTATTGAATACTTTCATTTTCTATCAAATGAAGCAAGAATCAGAAAGGGGATTTAAAAAACAACATAAGATATCTTATCATTCAAAATTGTTCCCATTTTACGCTGCATGTAAAGCATACCAATAGTGTGTTTGGACTTATAGAATGAATTCTGCTTGATTTAGAGATATATGAGAAATTTTTCATAAATTAATATAAATTCAAATAGCATTTCTTGATATTTGATGTTTGATATGATGGAAATTCAAATAGTATTATTTCTGGGATAATAGTAGTATGTTAGTTCTATTTATGTAGTTTAAATACTTCAAATTCAAAAATTATATTTCGATTCTCATATTTAGATAAATTTCAAATCACAAATTGCATACCGTTTAGTTTTCCAAAAAAGATTAATGTTTGAATATCGAAAAGTCAAGATATATAAAATTTTAATATATAGGATTTTAATTATTCTGTTCCTGTGAAGCTTTAGCGTATATTTCTTTCAGTAGGCGTAAGAATTGAGCTAATTTAGCAGAATGCGCTTGTGAATTTTGAATTCTTTTTGTATTTTCTTCTTCGGTTTCTGGATACATTTTACTTTCTTCTAAGCTACTAATAAGATTGGATGCGCGTTCTTCAAGATCAATAAGCTTGAAAATTGGAACATTATATTGACCATTATTAACTGCTTCTTGGCTAAGCTTAACAAGATCTCCTTGGAAAGATGTAATGATTTCAGGAAGTATATTCCCGGCATCTCCTTTTGGTTCTTTATTTTGGTTTGAATTTAGTTGTTGTATAAGAATTTGCTGTGCATTAAGAAGTTGTTCTTCAACATCTGCTATTTCTGCATCGATATCTTTAATTTTATTTTCTGTTTCATCGAGTTCTGGCATTGTCTGTGCGAAATCATTAATTAAAACCTTTTGCGCTTCGAGAATTGTTTTGTAGTCATTGTTTTTGGCTTCAACTTCAATATAGTTATCTTTTGCAACTGTTGCAAGCATCAAACGAGAATCTCCATCCATAATATCACTTTTGTCACTTTTCGTCGGTTTTAAATTTATTATCATTTCTGCAAGCTCTTTTGACATGTAAAGTGTCAAATGGAAAATTGAATCATCATCAAACAAAATCTTTTGCATATAATATTGCACTTTATAATAAAAAACATTTCGATTTGTTTTAGATCGATTGCTAAGCCAAGTACTATTATACGCTCTTGTATGGTATTGATACAATGATTTCCATCTTTCAGCATATTATTCCTGCATTGTTTTTATCTATATGATCGTCACAACTGGGAATCAAATACTTGAAGAAGAGAAGAATCAGAATCATTTACTGTATCGCTGTTTTAACAATATTACGTATTTAGAGATTAGAAAAAAAATCAATAAAACGCTTTTAAACATGTATGTTACTTAAAACATAAAAGTTTATTACACTCTAAAAATAAAATTCTAATTCGTGAAAAGCTTATTTTCAAAAAATTTCGCAACAACCTAGTTTTCTAGGGGAATGTTCTACTTTTGAATCTTGTGAAGCCAGAAGTTTGGTTATTTTGACCATTTTTCTTTCTTTTGCATATTGAAGAGCAGTTTTTCCATCATTATCTTTTTCATTGATATTTTTACCGTGTGATTTAAGAAGTTTGATTATATCTTCACTTTCAGACTCTGCTGCATAATGAAGAGCGGTTTCTCCATGATTATTTTTTTCATTGATATCTGCACTATGTGAAATTAGAAGCTCCGCTATTTTTATATTGTTATTACGTGCTGCATTATGAAGAGTGGTTTCTCCACGATTATTTTTTTCATTGACATTTGCACCATGTTTTAGAATAAATTCTCCCGTTTTTTTTTCAGTATTCTCTTTAATTGCAAAACAGATAAGAGCAGTGGATCCATATCCATTTTTCTCATCTATATTTACGCCAAGTGAGAGAAGAAATTCGACCGTTTCTATACTATTACAAAATGCTGCACAATGAAAAACAGTATCTCCTATATCATTTTCTTCATTGATATTTGCACCATGTGAAAGAAGAAATTGGACCATTTCTTTGCTATTGATGTTTACTGCTTTATCAAGGGCTGTATTTCCATTCCTATTTTTTTTCTTTGATATTTGCACCAACAGATAAGATATATTTGCAAAGGAGTGGAATATTAAATTCTATTGAATTCCCAAAGCATTTATCAATATCATAAGATTGATCGGAATAAACTAAAAATGATTCGATATTAATAATGAGAGTTTTATTTCTAGTATGAATTCATGAGTATCTTTTTATTTTTGTGTTTGACTGATTAAAAGGTCTAGCTCCATATGATATCAGAAGATCAGCATTATCTTTTTTATAAAAATCCAAAGCAATATTGAGAGCTGTTTTAGAATATTTATCCTTTGCATAAAGATCTGCACCGTGTAAAATCAAGTATTTCAGCATTTCTTTATCAGAAAATTGGGCTGCGTAGTGAAGAGGAGTTTTTCCTTCTTTATCTTTTGCATTAATTTTTGCGCCGTATTTAATTAGTAACTTTACTACTTCCAAATTGTGAGAGATTGCAAAATGAATATATGTCTTATCATTTGCAAATTTCCTGTTAATATCAGCCCCATGTGAAATAAGAAATTCCATATCTACTAAATTATCATTTTTCAAAGCATAGAAAAGAGGAGTTTCTCTAGATCTATTTAGAGGATCAACATTAGCTCCGTGAGAAATAAGTAATTCTGCAATTTCATGAGAATTATTTTCCAGTGCAATATGAAGAGCAGTTTGACCTTCTTTATTTTTAAAATTAACATTCGCGCCATGATCTATTAAATATTCGAAAAGTGCTGGTATTTTTAACCATTTCATGTTAACAAAACATTGATTGATATCTTTTGTGTGATCCAAGTAAACCAAAAATGCTTGAATATTATGATATTTAATACAATCCTGTGAATCAATTTCTAAGTTATGTTCATTCATTAAATAAGTAACGAAATCAATATTATGAGAAATTATTGCATATTCCATACAAGCTTTATCTGGTGTTTTGTTTTTCAAACATTCACTCATGATGTCTGGATTTCCACTTAAAAATGAAAGTTGAAGACATTTTTCAGTAATCTTTGAATTATACTTTGATCTTAAAAATTTAAAGCAGTTAACTGATCCATGATAGCAGCATAACTCAAGAAATGAATATCCAGAATCATTAGTAGGATAAAATTCATTTGAAAATTGGAAATTTTCATCAAATCCTTTAATTTCTGTAAATGGTATGAATGATTCTTTGTCATCATCCATAAGAGCCCTATAAATTGTGTTTTCTTCATGAACATTCAATGAATAATTATTGTTTGAAAATTGTTTAAAGCGATTTAGATCTGATTGATTAAAAATGATCCCATAATCTTTGTAAACGAGCCAATTGAGAATCATTGAATCGAATTTAACAAGTTTTGGATGATATTCATCAATAAATTTTTTTATTAGGGCCCAAAATGAATTTAAATACCGTACATGATATTTAGATGCTGTTTCAATTATATGAATGACTTCTAATGGGGAAATCATTTGGGTTTCAATAAGATTATTTTTAATTGAAGAATAAATGTCATTTATTTCTTGGTTGTCATAAGTTTTAAGATTATAAATGGGATTCAAACTATCAATATTGCATTTACAGAGATCAATAAGCTCAATGTAGTCAATTTGGTCAATCTGATCATCAGACATTTATTAAAAATGATCTCAAATGCTAACTTTCAATATTAGACATACTCAAATATATTCACTGAATCAGCGAAACGTGATTAAATTTTGAAAATGTATTTTGGGAATATTAATTTCGAGATTTGTAGTCAATGGAAACGCTTCACAGTATAAACTCATATGGGTATTGTAGGAATGTTATTAACCAAACGATCATTTTGGGTTTATCGGGTTTGAGGATGCTGATATTAGCAACGCTGAAAAGACTCGTATTTAAATGGTGCGCATCCAACATACTTAATCTTATATTTGACTCTGAACTCATCAAATTGATTTCGCGGTAAAGATATTATTGTAAATTGTAAAAAAAATGTAATGTAATTCATAAAAAAATAAATCAAATATTTACTCGTCAGATCCGGATTCCTTATCAGATTCCTTTTCGGATTCTTCCTTCTTGGACTTCTTGGACTTGGACTTCTTGGACTTCTTTTCCTCCTTTGGGTCATTCTTATGAGCTTCCTTGTCCTTCTCGGCCATTTCCATGTAAGGCTTCTTCTCTTCCTCAGAAAGGTTCTTCCACATTTCGCCTAACTTCTTAGCAATATCACCGAAAGCGATTCCTGGGTTTTCTTCCTTGACCTGTGGGCGCTTTTCTTGGCAGAAGAAGATATATGGAGACTTAGGCATTAGTCTAAATGAAGTTAACTTCCCTTCCTTTCAAATTAATATCGTCGGTGATGAATGAAATTTGTGAAGAATTTTCGGTTTTCCATTCAATTTTTTACGATAGGATGTTATCGAGGAAGTAATATATTCAATTTTGGCGCCAAAAATTTTCATTCAGAACAATTATATTATATGAATGTTTATCTTATGTTTTAGCGTGATTTTTCTGTTTAAAGTGAATTATCGCCTCCTTTTAAATTTTTTGACGGCTCAATTAGCAAAAAGGAAAAATATTTACTTAAAAATGATTAAACAACAGTTTCCTCTTTAAATTGCCGAAATTATTATTCAATTTCTTTGGATAATAATTTTGGCGGGATCTTCATCATATTTATTTTTCGAAAATAGTTCAACAAAATGATACTTAATAACATGTTGATTATTATCCCGTTGAAAAATTGGCTTTAAATATTTGGCGGGATTTTTGATTTGCGCGCCATAATTAAAAGATGGGTAACATTATGGCATAGATTTTGGATTGAATATGGTCTGAATCAGCAAAAAAACTAAATTTTGCAGACCGTTAAGAGGAAAATATTGATCTGGCTGGATAAATTGGCTATCCATAAACTTTATATGTTGAACTTTGATTTTTTCGAATTAACAATACCTTATTGGAATCGGACATCATCGTTTATATTATATGATGATGTTTTTTATTTACAAATGGAATTATCTGAACTGGTATGATTCAATTTGATTAATTGCCTGCTAGAAAACAACCTTTTCTATCATTCAAAAAAGAATTTTCTCTTTGAAGAGCGTTAAATATGATGTTTTTGTTTTACATGCTTTGCCTGTAGCTATGGGAAAACTAACATAGCTTAATACTTATAGTTGAAATTATTTAACCAATTGTCATGTTCCTGTTGCCAATTTAATGATTGTTTTGTATTTGTTGATCAATCCCTGATATGTTACACAATCATTCTTAAAAGGTCAAAATAAATGTCAGTTTTTATAAAGGAACTTCCTGTTTTTCATTCTCAAACTTCCACTTAATAATAAACAAGCATATGAGCATAATTGCCCAACATTCTATTAGAAAACAGGAACAATCTGAACTAGATGCAATATATCGAAATCTCGATGAAATAGCCGAATTATTAAATTCACAAAATTACAAAGATGTTATCATCCATTGCAATTACATTACTCAAATTATTGATAATATAGATGAAGAACAAGATTTTTATCTTTATAATGAAAATGTAATTTTAGATCTTATTTTAACTGCAGTTAATAATGAAGACAAGTATATAGTAAGCGTCTTACAAGCTATAAGATCATTGTCAACATTATTTAATCTATCATTTCTAATCAAAAACGAAAATATTATTCAGATTTTCCTTGAACTTTTGAATACTGACTACAAACAATACATGTATCAAATACTTGCCAATGTATTTGAAAATTCAGAAGGAGAAGATCGCAAGAAAATGAAAGAATTTTTAGTTCCCTACGTTTGCAGTATTTGTTCGAAAAACCAGCCAACGGACTGCGAACTTTTATCATTAGTTTATACCCTATCACGGACTAAGATTCCTAGCCCAGAAACCTTCTGTAATGTATTAATTTTTTTCCTGACTTCACCATTTTCCAGTATTGATAATTTGATAATGTATTCCATATTGTACCAGTTACAGAAAAACTATTTTGATCCTTCGATTTTGGTTAATGACAATACAATAGCTTTTATCGTCAAATATTTTCAATCAGATGATAAAGAAATCCAATCTGTACTTGAAGTAGTTGAATTTCTTGCAGGATATCATAAGGATTTATTTAATTGTTACTCGGAAATTCTGATTCCTCGGGTTTTTGGATGTTTGGACTCCGAAAATGATGATGTAGTTGAATGTGCGCTGGATGCGCTATCGAACATCATAACCGCAAATAAGGAATTAATCGATTATTTTATTCAATCGGGCATTACTGAAAAGATCAGTACTTTAGTCACAAAACACTCGAGTCTGAAGGTATCTGCCCTCGAACTTTATATAAATCTATTAACCGGGCTTTCTTATGAAGTAAGAGTTGAGTTTGTGAAATCACCTTTATTTCGCATGATGTATGAGAATTTTGACAACTTGCAGCTTGAGTTTCGGATTGTTTTTCTGAAACAGAATTATCACATTTTGAATCGCTCGCAAACAACAGGAGATTTCGAACTAATCCGAGAAATATTTATGCAGGATGATATATATTCTGTTATAGATGCTCTTCTAACTGACGAAAATGAAAAGATATATCAGATTTCATGTATGATTGTAGAATTATTGAATAAAGATTAAGATTTTCCTTTTGACTGCCCTAGTTTTGTATCTTACCAATGAGTTTATCTATTTTATATGCGGTATTAAAGATTATCTTCGTAAATTTTGAAAAATTTATCAAAAATTCTAATCCTCTCATGTTAAGCATAAAATTATCACAATGATAGTAGATAATTATGTTTCGGATATCTATACTTTAAAGGAAATAGGATTTATATAAAATTAAGATAGAAATTGATAAAGAACTTATGTAATTAATAGAATTAGACTTTATGAAGTAAATTACAATACAGTACATATATAGTTAATGTTGTCCACGAGGAACAACATCGATAATTCCAGGGATATGATTAGGGCCAACACTCTCAAGCTCTGGTATTGAATGAAGTTGTTTATTAGTATATGAAGGTTGTTGGAAGGTAATTATAGGTTGGGGTTGAAGTTGAGGAGGTGGAGGATGATAAGTTTGTTGAGGTTGAAATTGCATCATTGTTTGTTGATTTGCCATCATTTGTTGATCATACATTAGTTGCTCAGCAAGAAATTTTGCTTTTCTTCCTTTTTTTCGAATTCTTTTTTTCTTGTATTTCATTTCGTCTGCATCTGATGAATAGTCTCGTACGTAGTCTTCTTTTGAGTCTGGATCGTCAGGTGTCCATTGATCATTCGGATTTCCATCGCTGTACTCTTCCCCATCTTGACGCTTAGATCTCGTAGAGGTATAGTTATTGTGCTTGCTCATGATGTTTGATGTAGTTCGATCTTCAGAAGATTTTGAATTTTAATAATTTTTAAATAATTATTGGATTTAAAATCTTTATCTAACCTCACAAGTTTGTGGATTGAGTATTCAATTAGTTTGATATTTTCTGAATTTTTTGTGAGCGGCTTTGAGAATTGTAAGAAATATTGAAATTGTATGTTCTTAATGTTTGACATATTGTTTTGCAAATATTGTTGTATTATATTTAGAAACGAATTAATCAAAAAGTCTCATCACACTTTTCAATGCTCGATTTTTAAAAACTGTTTAAAAATGGAGCTTATATTGAAATAGTGTAGAGACTAAAAATTAACACAGACTATTTCAGAGGATTGAGTGCAACTCAATCCTCTGAAAAGTCTGGGGTAATTTGCAAAGTTTCTTTGAAAAATATGCTTGAATTTTGTTTTGTAAAAAGGCATTCAATTTGAATATGATCTGATGAAATATTATATTGATAAGTAATGATCAAAAATTTCGATAGGTAATCGTTTTGACAAGTCTATAGTTTTTTATTTACATAAATTGATAATTTGGATTGTAGATTCAAGTCTAATTTATGGATGGTATTTATTTCAAATTTCCGATGGATTTCAACAGAATCTAATTTCAGAACTGGCCATTCATATCATCCTCCCTCTGATATTTGAATTAAAGGCATTCTTCATATAAATTTAATAACTAAAAAACCAATAATTTTTATTCTCAATTTTTGTCGATTAAAAATATTGCTTAGATTCTTTCCAGTAGTCTCATGTATATCAGTCTATTAATAATCATTGATTATTTTAAAAATCATTTTAGACAGATATTTTTCAAAAATTTCAAAATGCATTATACTTTAAGAATACAGTCATTAAACTCTATCAGCTTTAATAAGGTTCATTTTTACGATCATCATTTTCAAAAATTAGTTTTACAAAAATTTTTATGAGAAATATTGCATTTAATTCTATATTAAGCAAAAGTCAAATTATTATTTTTCAATAAATTGTTAGATACCCATATAATATCTTTAAAAAATTTATATTTACCATATGCTATTTTATTTCCCTATTTTTAATCGATTTCTATTAATTCAATTTTGCGACCTCTCAATTATTATATTCAATGAGAAAAAAACTGATGTAAGTAAACAAATGTAAAAATGTCATAATGTTTTGATCACCCAGACCTTAAAGTGCAGATAATTAAAGTAAATTTAACTGTTTCTAAAGTTGAATTCCGATTTTTTGCGTATTCTATGAATTGTTTTTGATAATGTATGAATTGATCAATACACCAGTTAGTTTTATTTGTAATCAATTTTCAACTCATTATAAACGAATTTGATGTATCCATCATATAGAATTCTTTTATACCCTTTTTGGCAACGATTACATATCCACGTTAAGGAACTATCTCATTATTAAAATTAACTATATTCTCATAACAAATTGAAAATTCCCAAATGTGGATGATTTAGTCATTATTTTAGATTATTTATCTTCGAGTTTTATATCATGAAAATATTTTCTCGGAAATACCCTTTTTATTTCTGATTTTATTATCCAATAATATACCATATTGGTAAGTGGATGAATGAGTCGGTTGTTTGTTATTGTGTATCCATTTCTAGATAAACTTATAACTTTTTAAATATATTGTCTAATTTGTTACATGAAACGTTCAAATAGGCCCTTAATTGAATTAATCATCGAATTATATACATATTAGGTATTTTGAAAGTTCGGAGTTGAAGAAAAATTATAAATTGTTGTTGTAAACAGAAATTCATCAAAAGTGACACCTCAGAAAAGCTAAAATATTGAATTTTTGGAACTTTTGATAGAGCACGTTTTTAAATATTAATTAAAGTAAATGTATATTTTGTAAAGATTCTTGTTAATAAAAAATAAAATTTTGAAGAAGAACACAAAATCTTCTGAAAAATAATATCACATAAACTCATATATTTTCTAATATATAACTATTTTATATAAAAATCAATTCAATGATCTTAAAAGCGAAGGATAAACCTCAAAATTTACGAATATATTGAGTGGGAATATAATGCTTATCTATCATAAAACCATATGAAATATCAATTTTTGCTTTACGCCTAATTTTTGACGACAATTAGCAAAAAATGTTAAATGTTAACACTCAGTCCATTTGAATATGAAAAATAAAATTGACTTTGATTAAATGTTTTTATTTATCATGCAATTCTTCTTGCGACCAAAGATTTGAATAAAATTTCAAAAAATAAGATAGCTTAAAAAATAATATACGGTAGTGTTTACTAATAGATGAATAGTATATAAATTCTATTAAAATGGATTTGATCCAAAAAAATATATAAAATTTGATCATAAATAAAATCGTTTTAAATTACTTCTTCATTTAAATTATAACAATTATTTTTGGTTTTATATTTTTTGGATCAAATCCATTTTAATAGAATTTATATACTATTCATCTATTAGTAAACACTACCGTACATTATTTTTTAAGCTATCTTATTTTTTGAAATTTTATTCAAATCTTTGGTCGCAAGAAGAATTGCATGATAAATAAAAACATTTAATCAAAGTCAATTTTATTTTCATATTCAAATGGACTGAGTGTTAACATTTAACATTTTTTGCTAATTGTGTCGTCAAAAATTAGGCGTAAAGCAAAAATTGATATTTCATATGGTTTTATGATAGATAAGCATTATATTCCCACTCATTATATTCGTAAATTTTGAGGTTTATCCTTCGCTTTTAAGATAATTGAATTTGATTTTTATATAAAATAGTTATATATTAGAAAATAATATGAGTTTATGTGATATTATTTTTCAGAAGATTTCATTCTATATGCCTATGAAAAGTACTCTCAAAACTAACTTTTTCCTAATTATAATTAAATCTAGAATATTGTATTATGCTTAGTATTATTTCATTTTTCTCATTCAATTTAGAATTTACAAATGTCAAAAAATTGAGAGCCGTCACTTTTGATGAATTTCTGTTTATTACAAAAAATGTAATACAGTCTTTATATAATATTGTTTTAAAATATGTTGTGTAATTCAGACATATTGAAATTTGAACGGTTTTTATTTTTAATCAATTCAATATAATATTCAAAAGTTCAGATTATATCATGACAAGAAATAATAATCAAACTATTACAAGATAAAAATGCATAATAATTGATTTGAATGGTTATTTTTTCAATAAATTATCTGGAATAAAAGATTCAAATTATTAATTAAAAGATTTTTAGTTATTCGTGCATATCAATTATTACCAAAAATAATCTATGTTGTCAGAATAGTATAATTCAATCAAAAAATGAATGCGCTAAATAACAATGTCCAGGATTTGCATGATGTTTATAAATGTTTTACAAAGCGTGCAATCCCAGGAGTTGACAATGATGCTAATAAGATTTCACTGCCGCTTGTTGATGTTCCTACTTTGAGACACATTTGTGGTTGTGCAGCAGAAGCTTTCAGACGAGACGAAAAGATTATGCATTTAAACGGCAAGTATATAGTGATTGGAGATTTACATGGACACCTTATGGACCTCTTCAGGATTTTCAAGCACTTCGGTTGGCCTCCTCGCAACAAATATCTATTTCTTGGAGATATTGTTGATAGAGGTGAATTCTCTCTTGAGACATGCACAATTATCTTTCTTCTCAAAGTACTTTATCCAGAGCACGTTTTTGTAATCCGAGGAAATCATGAATTTGCAGAAATGTACAAAACCAGCGGCTTTGGAGATGAACTGCGAAATTCATATAAAGAATTTGATGTTTCTCCATTTTTCGACATGGCTTTCTGCGAAATTCCAATAGCCGCCATTATCAATTTGAGATATTTATGTATTCATGGAGGAATTGGTCCAAGATTCTTAAATATCTCTGACATTGAAATGATTCCAAGGCCATTAGTTGGCTACTTGGATGATTTATCTCAATCCATTTTATGGTCCGATCCAAATCTATATGTAGTAGGTTTTCAGCCATCTTCCCGTGGATGTGGATTCTTCTTTGGAGAAGATGTTTGTTCAAGCTTCCTTGACAGAAATTGCATCGATATGATAGTCAGGGGACATGAATGTGTTGAAAAAGGAGTTGAATTCGTATTCAATAGAAAATGCATGACAGTCTTTTCAGCATCAAAATATTGCAATAATATTGAAAACAAGTGCGGCGTTGTTACTTTCATTGAAGGCGGAACCTTTGAAATAACTACATTCCCACCAGTAAAATCATATGTTCTTCGATCAAAATCCAGATTCTATTCTCTCGATTTCTTTATTCATCGATTGCCAAAACTGCCTTCGATTTCTAAGCAAAGTGTTGAAGCTCAAGTTTCTTTTAGGAAAACTCCTCTTGTTCCTATGAAGAAAGGAATTTCGAAAGCTGTATCTGTTCAGAGACTAACTCCATTAAAGCCACTTCATTCATTTGAGATGCTTTGAAGTATGTTTGAATTATGAATAAACGTTAAACTATCTAATTATTTGTATAAATATCTTGATCAATCATAAAAATTTTTGAGTTATTCAATTATTACTCATAAAAGGACCGGAGAGGCACGCCATAAATCTTAAGAATGTTCTTAATTCTAATGAAGGTAGTGGTCAGATAAGATAAGGTTACTTACTTCCTATTCAAAGTGATGTCTCTCTCAAACATCTCTTTAAAAGAATTCAAATGGGGCTCCACCGAGTATCTGGAGAGCGTTGCTTTACGTGACCTGATTCTTAGAAAACCTCTTGGTAGAAGTATCAAAGATGATGATCTTGAAAAGGAAAAGCAATCGAAATATCATCATTTTGGTGCATTCATGGACAATAAACTTGTAGGTACAATATATTCTGTTGAGCAAATCCCTAGGGTTGTTCAATTAAAGCAATTTGCTGTTTCTCCAGATCTCCAAAGTCATGGAATTGGAAGAAAACTCATGAATTTCACAGAACAGCAACTCAAAGACTATGGTGTTAAAGAAATTTTGATATTTGCTCGTCAAACTGCATTACCTTTCTATCAAAAGATCGGATATCCAATCATATGCGATCCATTCATTGAAGTTGGCATACCACATCGCTTACTCATCAAGCATTTAGAATAATTTTGTTAATTTAATATAGAATTTTTTTAACTAAACAATTACTATCCAAAGTTTATACGAGAACATTTTATTTTGATCAAAATAGCAAAATTATAAATTACTAGATTGAATTCAATGAATTACACAAAAAAAAATTATATACATACGTTGCTGTTAGATTTTTTAGATTAATTCATCATATCTATAGAATAAAAACCCGATATTCAATATACTATAATCACAATAAGGAAAATACGGAAGATTGATGTTGAACAACCTTCATTATTGAATCTAATGCTAAATAATCATAATCATTGATTACCTATCAACAAATAGGTATGATAATGATGTTGTGAATTTATATTTTATTCAATATAATTTGTTTTGAAAAAATTATAATACAATTCCGATGTATTGATTAACGGAAGACTTAAGTTAGATAGGAATATACAAAAATCTACTTAATTTAACCTAAAAAGGGAAATTTCAAATTTTCATTTCCTAAATTTAGTTTTTTTAAAAAAGGTAAAATCAAAATGAGATTATATTTACTTGATATAAAAAACTGAAAAAAATCTTTTAATTCTGCTTAAGGCTAACAACTGCTGCAACAGCATCAGTAGTAACACCGCAGTTCTTTGTCTGATCTTCCATCTGTATATAGATATAACCATCCCATCCCCAATATGTTGACCATGAGTTCTTAACTTCCCAGGCGAGCTTTCCATCGATTTCAGCCCAGCCAGTAAGAAGAACAGCGTGCACGAGGTCACTCTGTGCGCCTGTGCATGTCTCGTCATCGATAACACCGTTTGTGTAGAGCATCATTGGCTCAATAACGTTGATAGCGATACCGAGTGGTCCGAATGTGTAGATGGCCTCCATGACGGATCTTGTTCTCTGCTCAATCTTGTAGCAGCCAGTAACTGTTCCGAGGTAGTCATCCTTGTTGTTGTCGCAGAACTGAGAAGATGCGCCAAGATAAGGATAATCAGATTCCTTAGCAATCTTGATCTTCTTGTTCTTGAGAGCATCGAGAGCGATATCGACTTCACCACCCTGGCAGCCGTAGTTGTTATCGCCCCAGCCAAATGTGCAATCCATAATCTGATTTGTAGAAACTTCGTGGAATTCCTTGGAGGCGATACCGAATGCGCCTTCAAGAACTTCGGCTGTACCGAATGCCCAGCAGGAACCGCATGCGACTTGATCACGTGGTTTGCCAACAACCTGGGTATTGTTACGCCATGAAAAAGTGCGAGGAAGTTCCTTTCCGGTGCCTTTCCATGTTGGGCAGTACTGTGAATCGCCTCTACGCTTAAGACGATCATTACGGGCCTTGCGCTGCATTTCGACATGCTTCATGAACTCGGACTTATCGAGGTGTGCAAAGCGGCCGTTGGTCTGTTCGCCGGAAGCAAGTCTGGCTCTGACATTCTTCTGGACGTTCTTATGGGAATGAGACTTAGGGAAGAAGAATCCCATCTGGTCTCCTGGGTATGGGTCTGGTAATGGATTGTTGCAGATAGCTGGGATGTTCCAGTATCCTGGAAGGACATCTCTTATGAATGTGTCGATTTCGAGAATGTAAACGTCGTAGTGGGAGTGGAAAATGGAAATAGCCTTTGAAACGTATGCTACTGGATTTCCTTGCTTGTCGATGTACATTCTGTATGTCTGTGTTTTATTTCCGTCAACAACTTTTTCCCAAATATCGCAAACTTTGCCATGATATGTATATTCACCGTCGAGTAATTTGAAGCCTTCTGGATCTGGAAGGAACTGTGTAATCTCGACATCAAATGGTTGATCATCTGGAATTCCGTAACAAATTGTTCCGTTGCCTGTTCCAACAATTTTACGATGAATACGCTCCTCTGGACCGGATCTCCAGATTTGCTCGACTCCATTTAACTGATTTTGATATTGACGACCTGGAGAGTGAACGACTGTGATTGGATTTGAAAGATTTGTATATGGAACTTTCCATGTACCAATGATAGTATAACTCGATGGCCATGCCGGGAAGGAAATAGCCTGAACAAGTAAACTAGCAAACATTAATATTGAATTATGGCCTTGAAAACGTGACGGTTCCTTTCAAAATCAAACTGAAGTTCTCAACCGAATGTCACGTTTTTGATATCATAATATTATGAAATTTCAGCAATACAATGATTTCTATCATTTACGTCTAAGATTTGAAATATTTATCCTATTTTTATCACTGATTAGAGAAGATAGAGGGCGAAATGTAAAAATCCGGCTGATTGGTAGTCTAGATAACATTAACCATGCGAAAAAGATTGGATATCAGTTGAACATACTAATGAATTTCAATGTTTTAATAATTGAAATTTGGAAATTGCTTTTATTATTCAAAATTTGGTCAGTCTAAGGGAAAAAACTTATTGACTTTAATCATCATATTCTAATTTGATAATTCGCTATAAATGAATGATTTATGTGTGTTTTTGATCAATTCCTCCTAATAAACTATTTCCATCGTTCTTACTATGCACATATTCTCAATTTTGAGAATACTTTCATTTGATAGGATATAAATCTAAATTGATTTATAGGAAAATCCTATGGATTATGTATTCATATAGACTCATACAAATAACTAGAATAAGTTCTAAATTTTGTAACAAAAAAAAGGAAATTTAGAACCAACAAAATAAATGCTCAAAAAGCCTTCTGCTCATTATAAAATTAGTTAGAGAAACTCAGGCATTACAATGGGAGATACCTTATTTGAGAAATCCTTAAATAAAATTGTTAAATTGTCAGAATTTTTATGAACATGAAATGGGGAAGGTGAACAGCATTTGAATCAATAGCAAATGTATTCAAGAGGATTCAACATTTTATCTTTTTTCAAAATCCAAAGAATTACACTTTTCCAGTAATTTATATTAGATCCATACCCCTTTCAAAAATTGAAATGTCATAAATTTTGTGTGAAAAGTCGCAAAATTATTTCGATGAGTGAAGACCTCATAGTTGATTTGAATTTCATTTCTAAAAACATTCAAACATACATCAATGAAGATAACTTCTATGAAATTGTTGATAAAGAAGACATTCCTCAAGTTTTAAAAAAATCAAAACTTAAATCCAACGATTTCAATGCTCTTCTTTCCCAAGGTAAATTAAAATTTAGTACTCATAAGCTTTTTACGTATGCGCGGAAATGCAATGTTTTTATTGATTCAATAGAAGACGTGATTAACATTCTCAATAGCTATAAAAGGAACTTCAAACTCAAATCTTCGCGTGCATTAGTTAACTACCTTAATGCATACAATGCAAATATTAATTCAGATCCAAATGAAATTATAAAATTAAAAAATGAAAATGAAAACCTCAAATCAAAGATTTCAGCGATGGAAGATGAAATCAACCAATCCAAAAATGAAGAAACACAATACAACGATGAGGTATCAATTCTTAAAAATGAATTGAATCACACTCAAACAGAAAATGCAAAATACAAAAAGGAAATATCAACTCTTAATAACGAATTGAATCAAATCCAAGAAGAAAATGTAAAATGCAAAAATGATATATCAACTCTCAATAACAAATTGAATCAAACTCAAGAAGAAAATACGAAATACAAAGAGGAAATATCAACTCTTAATAACGAATTGAATCAAATCCAAGAAGAAAATGTAAAATGCAAAAATGATATATCAACTCTCAATAACAAATTGAATCAAATTCAAGCAGAAAATGCATTATACAAAAATGATATATCAACTCTCAATTACAAATTGCAGCAAATTCCAACAAGAGTTACAGAATATGAAAATGAAATATCAATTCTGAATAACAAATTGAATCAAATTCAAGAAGAAAATACAAAGTACAAAAATGAAATATCAATTGTTGATGCCAGATCGAAACGAAATCAAACAAAATACAAAAAGGTTATATCAGTTTCCAATAACATATTGAATCAAATTCAAGCAGAAAATACAAAATACAAAGATAAAATATCAGCTCTCAATAGCGAAAAGAATCAAATTCAACAAGAAAATACAAGATACATAAAGGATATATCAACTCTCGGTAACAAATTAAATCAAATTCAACAAGAAAATACAAGATACATAAAGGATATATCAATTCTGAATAACAAATTAAATCAAATTCAACAAGAAAATACAAAGTACAAAAATGATATATCAATTCTTAACGACAAAAACAATCAGTTACATCAATACATAATTGAATTTGCTAACATTTGCGAAATACCTTTGAATTCTAATGATTTTGTTACAGTTTATAACTTCCTAAAGGGACTCTGTGATAAAGATGATAAACTGAAAATGTCTATTTCATGTGCCATAGGATTAAGTGAAATGAAGAATGATGATGGTAATACTCCACTTATTATGTCATGTGTTTTTGGAGATCTACAATTGACAAAATCTCTTATCGAAGGAGGTTGTGATAAACATGCAACGAATAAATTCGGAAATAATTGTTTAATCGAAGCGTCATTAAAAGGACATCTTGAAATTATAAAATATTTAATTAGAGCTGGCTTTGATAAAAATTGGCGAAAGGGAACTGATGGATTTAATGCGATTCTTTGTGCTTCACAAGAAGGTCATCTTGAAACAATTAAATATTTGAAAAGTATTGGCTGTGATGTAAACTCTAAACAAAATGATAATGCAAATTGTGTTTACTTGGCATCATTAAACGGTCATCTTGAAACAATTAAATATCTTGTTTCAGTTGGAGTAAATCCGGATGAGAAAGAATATAATGGATGGTCTCCAATAACTGTAGCATCAAAATTTGGTCATGTAGAAGTAGTTAAATATTTGATTCAAATGGGATGTAATAAGAATGATAAAACTAATTATAATAGTTCATCACTTCATTTGGCAGCGGAATATGGACATTTTGAAGTTGTTGAATATTTAATTTCAATTCGTGTGAATCTTAGTGATAAAGACAATGGAGGAAGAACTCCCCTTGATTGTGCGAAAGCGAAACAAAACCAGAATCAAAATTATAAGAATATCATGAATCTTCTTCTTACATCAGGTGCGAAATAATGTCAATTGAAAATATTTTGTCAACATGTGAATAAAATTTAAATTTGATTTTGAATTTTTTCCCCCCCCTCAAAATGTGATCAAGAATTTCCAAATCATATAATACATTTGATCATGAAATGATTTAATCTTGAAAGTTGGGAGTAAATAAATCATTAAGAAAGAAATAACAACTTATATAAGAGAGAGATTTCCCTTTATCTTGATATATATACTGCACATCTTCATCAGCTTTCAATTTTTGATTAGAAATTCAAATCTCAAATAGGATTTTGTTATATTTATTATGCTAAAATATGTCTATAGACTTAATTATTTATTCTACTACAATATAGTATATAAAAATCAATATTTAATGTTAAGATTGCATTGAGATCATCCAAAATTGGATAATATCTCGGAATATCAAATCAGTATAGGCAACATATTCTCTCGTAAATGTCCTTATCCAAATACTTTGTATTAAGATGTCTACAGCTTTTTTCGTTGTCTACAACTTATTTCGGGTACTCTATATATATCGAAAACAATTCTTTAGGAGTTCATGAAAGAGAAAGGTATTTATAGATTTGGAGAATATAATGATTGAGTTACTCTACACAAATAGTTTTTAAGTAATCCCTTACATTATTTGTTGCTGCCATCAGTGCGGTTTTTCCATTTTTATCCTTTGCTTCTTTATTAGCTCCAACTGAGATAAGATATTGAACAACTTCAAGTTTACTATATTTTGATGCATAAATGAGTGGAGTATGTCCACAATTATCCTTTGCTTCTTTATTAGCTCCAACTGAGATAAGATATTTAACAACTTCAAGATGACCATTAACTGATGCATAAGTGAGTGGAGTAGATCCATAATTATCCTTTGCTTATTTATCAGCTCCAACAGAGATAAGATATTTAACAACTTCAAGATGACCATGTCTTGATGCTTCAATGAGTGGAGTATTATTATTTCCTTCTTTATTAGCTCCAATTGAAATAAGATATTTAACAACTTCAAGATGACTATTTCTTGATGCCCAAAAGAGTGGAGTATGTCCACAATTATCCTCTGCTTCTTTGTCGCAGCCACATTCGATGAGTGATTGAACAAGTCTGAGATTTCCGTTTTCACTTGCAAAATGAAGAACATTCCTATCAGGATCATGATTATATTTTTTAGGAGCAATCTTTTTCCAAAGTCCTGCTTCGATTGATTTTGAAATCATTTCATGGTTTCCTTTCGAAGAAAGTTCATCAAGGAATTTGTAAACGGCTTCAAAATCACTAGATTCCTTAAGTTCTGTGATTTTAGTCAAAATGTCTCGTGAATGATTGTAATTTTCATTGGTTACATTGGTAGTCGTATCTTTGGTCGCATTTTCATTATTAGTCTGAAATGCTTTGGATTTATCTTGATTTCTTTCTTTTTCGATCGTAGAAGAGTTTAATACTTCCTCATTATGTTTTAAAAAATCAATGATACCATCAAATATACTGAATTTCATGTATTTTTTGACAGATTTCAGAACTAAAACAACTTCTTCGAAGTTTTTGATAGTAACTTTTGCTTTTCGTGTACATGTATATAATTCTTTAGCATTGATAGTTGAAAGAGATTGTTTAAGAAGAGTAACGTATTGATCAGCTGTCAAACGTGAATATTTCATGATTGTTTTGATATCTTTCATATTAAATGTATCGAAGAAGTTTTCATTATTAATATAATCGCTGATATGAGCAGCAATGTATTCGAAATTCAGATCCATGTCCTGTTTCGTTTTTGAAAAGTCACAACTTTACAAAAAAAATTGTTCCAAATTTAAGGGTGCACTTACCCCCAATGGTATGGCCTTCAATTCAGATGTTCAAAGGTAATATTTAATGACGCTTCACGCCAGTTGTCAAAAATGGATTTAAGTCAGATGGGCCTAAGTGCAGCCATAATGCTTTATTTATAATGCTGTCTATAAAAAAGAATGGCATCCACATTTTTTACTACATAGTGATTTATAATAAAAATAATTTAGAAGATTACTTACTAACTCGCTTTCAAAATTGAATAGCCATGTCAGTAAATTGCCAATGATGGGTGCAAATTCTGCCTGGCAAAGCCTGTATGAGGCAAAACCGGGGCAAATGTTCCCAAAATTGATGAAAGGTTTGGCTATATAAATATGGCATATTTTCCAGTTACATTAAATATGATTTACTTTATAAAATAATAATAAACATTTATGCATTAGTGTTAATACGTGATGCAGGAGTGATACTAAATGGGAAATTCTGAGGAATCTCGTCTTCGTCGTCATTTTCAACCGATTGATCATCAACTTTTCCCAAATAAACAATATATTGTCCAAACAACTCAAACTGTTTAGAAGAAAGGTGTCCAGACGCATCTTTCGTTAATCTCCATCTGATGTATCGATAAGCCTTATCTGCTTGGCATGGCCACTGATGTACACGATCATTACCTCCCATGTCTTTGTTCTTGACTTTTTCGTCAATAATCGTGTAATTTATGTTATCATTCGATCCTTCAATGATCCAGCTCTGTTCGTTATCCCAATGAGAACTAGATCCGCTTTTAATGGAATATCCATTAATAAGAACTTTCGCTGCTTTGAAATACAGTAACAAATAATTTCCTTTCTTTTCACTCAAACTCCATTGAGTTTTAGCATTCAGATCGAACAAAAACTTTGATTTGTTCTGTGTTTCTTCGCCATGTGAACTTACATCAACAAATCCGGCATCAACAGGGTTGGAATTGCTCCGTTTGAAGAGCATACTAAATATACCATCTAATTCTTCATTGTTGAAGTTACATTCAGTAATGTTTCTGAAGTATCTTGGTCCTTTTTCTAATTCTCTGGTTACATTTCCGTTTATTCGAGCTTTGAGGCTTTCCCAGAGTTGGGATGTAAGGGTATTCGGGTTTATATGAGAAAGAGCTTCGTTTAATGTATCCATGCTTAAATTTTCAAAAACAATATGAGAGAATAAAGAAACAGGTTGAGGATCTCGAGAAACGACTATATCCCTGATGTATTTGAATAAAGTGTCTTCATCTTGGACTAATATCAATGGCGAAGAAAAGATTCTTTCTAATAAAATTACAGGAGTTTTTGCGAAAGCTGTTGGTTGGATAGATGTAAGGCTCTTTGCGATAAATTCTATTTCTGTGGATGCATCCATGCCATTCGCATACTTCTCTTCTAAGCGAGAAACAACATTTTGTGTATTTAATCCGGAATTATCATTAAATTTCTTGTGCAATTCGTCATTCCCTAGTATCTTAGCAAATTCTCTTAACGAATATACTTGGATTTCTGTTGGTTTGATGGGTTTTCCGTACATTAAGTCCATAACAAGCTGAAAGTTCTGGTTTCCGTCATCTATAGGCAATATAAACGTGTTTACATTTGGATCTGATGCATGTAAAAGAGCTACCTTTGGAGAGATAAAGTTTGCGAAAAATGAATTACACGGATACTCTTTATAAGGAGGTTTTTTGCCTACCAGAAACTTAAAGTCTTGTTTTACAATATGCTTCCTTGCGTTTGCTAAACCAGATGAAGATAGATGGAAAGATGTATTTTTCTTCTGCTCCATAATTATTTTGACTGAAAATTTTGGAAAATCTCTAGATAATTTAATATAACTCATCTAATTTTACTATTGTTTTAAAAATTAACCAATAATTATTTATTTTTTGTCACTTTTGGAATATTTCCAAAATGTTTGATTGGCTTTGGAGACTTTTAAATTATATATTATCACCATTCAAGACACCAACAATTTTGATTGTTGGTCCTCCAGGTTCTGGCAAAACAACATTGCTTCATATGGTAAAAACAGGAAGATTTATCACATTTGAGAGCACTAAATCATATTGCAAAGAAACATTATCATTCGAACAGAGTAATGTTACGTTCATTGATTTAGGAGATTCATATAAAGGTTTCGAATCTCTTGAAGAATTTTCACAGAACGTCAGTGGTATTGTTTTAGTTGTTGATGCTTCTGACAGTGATTCTGTCAATAATGCAAAGAAATATTTGGATTCTATTTACAATCTTCAAGTTTATAAAACAAAGAACATCCCTGTTTTAATTTTCGGAAACAAACAAGATGTTGTCGGATGTATATCGCGTGAAGAGCTCAAAGAACGTCTAAACATTGTCGAGAAAAAGTCAAAACACGAAAAAGTTAATCCAGAAACTACAAGAGTTCAAGTTCAGATGATGTCTGCAAAACAAAACTTTGGTTACCAACTTGGCCTTAGATGGCTTGTCTCAAAGGCTAGAACTGTTTAAATTTTTACGAAATCGAAAGTTAATAGGAATTTATAACATTTGATATCGATTAACTAATTCAAAAGAATATAGAGTCCATCGGTATATTGAATTTCTCGAAAAAAATCCTAAATAATTTTCTGAAAAACTTGAATCTGCAATTATTAATCGACAATCCTTGGTCTTACCTGTCGAAATATTAACTTATACCGGAGTTTCTATTAACTTTCTCCTTCAATTTTCGTATTTTAATATACATTTTATTTTGTTGTTTGAACTTGATAAAAATATACGTTTACTACTTTTAAGTCATACGTAACAACTTTTAAGAAAACTTTTCCAACATTAAAAAATATAATTTAGAGCGTTTTATATTAATTGAACTTTGAGATCTTGACAACCAATAACATCGCAAAAACAGAAGCATTGGTAATTGAATTGTTCACTTTTATGATTATAGAGTGAAAAATGTTGCAAATTGGATCAATAGAACCATAGATATGCCAACAAATCTGAAAATCCTAGTTAACTGATATAATGTTTGTTAAAAATATCACTAGTTATAATGATGTGCCCTCGAGATTTTTTTACAAAATTCATCCAAAATTTTATGACCAAAATCCAACTCTTTCCAAATTTCCAGACAACACTTCCATCCACATCACCATACGTTCTCCATCCATACGAAAACGAACCTCCAAACGATCCTGAAACACAAAAGGCTTTAAGAGTCTTAGGTGATCAAATTTTCAAAGAAAATACAGTTTCAAGACAATTCATCTACAACACTAAGTTCATTGTCCTTCTTAGACCATTAGAATACTTCCCAGACTATGAGGGCAAGAAATCAATCTATGGCTACGATTGGTTTGCAGGACACTACGACTGGGGCACACTTCTCACAAAGGCACTCGAAATCCAAGCCGATTCAACTGAGAAGCAAGCTCTTTACATGGTCCCAACACTCGGCCAATCCCTCCAAGGCTCAAGACGTCATGATTTGACATATAACGTTTTCGTTACTCCAGAGAATCTTCCACCATTCACACAGTTATGCGAGCGCAGACCACTTCCAGACGATGGCAAGGAAGTAGATTTAGACCTTGACAAGAAATCAGATCCAATTTACTACAGATCTCTTGAATCTCTCGATCTCGAGTGGAAGCACGCCTATACATTCGACAAGACAATCGTTCCTGATTTCCAAGATTACTCATTCAAAGTTTTCATGTTCGGAGCTACAAATAAATTCATTACAGGCCTTTCTAGAATGCCAGAAGACCAATTTAATACATGGTATGATATTGTCATGGGTAATTTCCTTCCATCTATACCACATCCTACAACAGGAGATCATGTAATCAATACTTTACCATTAGTCATTGTTGATCCAGTAGAATGCACTCCACCATGCTACAGAAAGCTCATGGATACAATTGACAAGGTAAATAATACAATTGGCGGTGAAGAACGCGCAATTATTAATACAGTTAAATATTGGCAGATTTCTCCAGTCCAAATCTCCGAAGCCTTGCCTATTTTTATCAATAATGGTCTTGCAATTCCTGAAAAGAACAAGGAGTTCAATCTTTTGTTCGCAGATTTGTTTGTTGTCGTCAGAGAATTCATTGTTGATGAAATTTTCGCTAATTTCTTACACATTAAGAGAAAATTAGTTCCAGACAATCCAGATGATCCAGAAGAAAGAGATATCGCAGAAGAACCAGCAGAATGGCGTGGCGCACAAGCAGAAATCGATTGGGAACTCGATTACTTCGATGAAAAAGCCAAAAAACTTTATGGATCAAGACCAGAAGTTATGGCAGTTTTGAAGGAATTGAAGGACCAAATTCCATTCTGGTTCGAGCGTGATGACATGCAGACAATATTCAATGAGTTCAAGGTATCTATTACTAACGCTCTCAAGCAAATGATTCAGTCTGAGTCATTCTCCGCTTACATGGAAATTTCAAAGAAGGAAAACAGTAATCCAGTGAGAAATGAATGGTTAAAGAAGTACTACAACAGTGAAGTTTCATTCTGCATGTGGCCAACAATTTACAAAGTTACTGGACCACTCGAAAAGGATACAAACGAATTACTCGTGAAGACAGAAAGTGAATTACTTTCAACTGCTCACGTGTCAATCCCAGGTGTAAAAGGAATTGTTCTTCCACCTAAATAAAAAAAAATAGAGTTTATATATATATTCATCTAGATATCTTTTTTAAATTCTGCAATGATAAGAAAATATATAATGATGTTATAATGTTTGTTCAAAAAAATGCCAATTCCATCATTATGAAATTAAATCTTTGAGTGATGAAAATTGACTAGAAGTAATCTAAGCTCGTGATCCCGTAAATATGCCAAATATCCTCGTATTAGGTGATAACATCATTGTCGTTTTTGACCTTTATTTTTACCAATTTACACAAATTTCATTATTCATGTTTAAAATGTTTTGACTAGCTAATGAAATGGAAAATATATAACTAAGACATTATATGTTAGTTATATCCAAGGTAATGATGATCTTTAAAAAATAAGATTTTTTATTTCTCCATAATAACCTTATTATCTCTAACTCGAGATTGAACTTTCGGTTTTATTTTCTCTTTATATTGTGTGTTGCACCATTAATACTTAACTTTCAATATATATATAAGCTTAAGCATTAAAGTATGTGTGATTCAATATATTTCTTAATTCCATTTAACTACTCATTTAGATATATCTATGCGATAGCTTAGGCATGCTTATTACATTGAACCCACAATGATTGAATCAGGTTTTTTGAATATGATGCAAGTTCAAACTTGATTCCATAGATATACAAAACCTATTGGTCAAAGAGTTTATGATTGCTGATAAATATGTCTAAATATCGTTAGTCGAAAATTTCAGATCAATTTCAAGGTGAAATAGATAAAATAATTTAATTACGCATTTTTGATTTTTGAATGATTCTTGATAATATTGCCAATAAATTAGGTGAGTGAAAAAGCTTGAGGTGTCACTTTTAAATTTTTCTGAAATGGTTGATTTTAAACACCAGCTTATGCATGATAACATTTCCATGCTTTTCTTTGTATTCTGGATCATGTGGACATTCTTCTATATCTACAACGTCATTCTTTTCTTCAAAAATCGAAAATCCGTTTACATTCAGAAGCGTCTTCCATGGCTTATCTTCATGTCATCAATTGGACAATATTTAATGATTTGCTCACTCACATTCAAGATTATCGTAACTCCAAAACAATTCCCAAATATTGTCGATCACTGGTATCTTTGGCTCCTTATGCCAACGCACTTTGCTCCTTATCCGATTCGCGCTTTCAACTTCATTCTCACATACTACATTGCTAAAAATAGACCAACAGACGAGTCAGATCAAGTTGATGAAGAAACTAAAGAGAAATTCTCATGTGTGAGCTTACTTCATTGGTTGGCTAGGCATCCTAAGTTCTTACGTCACAAAGCTTTCTTCATTTACTCGTGCATTATCCAAGGAATTGCGTTCATTATAGGAGTTATTCGTCAGATAACAGTTAAGAGCAATCTTCCTAGAGCAGAAAATGTCGGTGAAGGTGTGCAACAGCTTTCATATATTATGTTCTTATTAATTGTTACTGTTGTCAGTATTTTCCTATGGATTTGCGTACACAAGCTCAAATCAATCAACGATAACCTCAAAATTAACGCCGAGCTTATTACAATAGGTATCCTTTGGATAATCCTCTTCCTTCCTTTCATTGGAACAGGATGGTTATCATTAAAGGGCTACATTCCATGGGATCGCCTTTCTCCTATCTTCTGCGTCGTCCTTTGCGTCATCTCGTTCCTTGTTTCCTTCGGAATGCCCGTTCACATGGCGATTGTCCAGCCAAAAGATATTAAATTGGGAACAAAGATTTTGGATTCGCTTGAATCGATTCTTGCCGATGAAAGAGCATCAGAGCTTCTCATAAGTTACTTAGAAAGACAATGTTGCGTTGATAATTATTATTTCCTCAAAAGAGTCAAAGAATATCAACAAATTACAAACCCTGATGAACTAAACGAGCGCTACGAAAAGATCATCAAGGAATTTATCAATTCTGACTCGGTCAGCCACATCAATATTTCTGATCAAATGACTAAGAAGCTTTTGAAGGAGAGAAGTGACGGAGTCAAGCCATCTTCTCACTCTTTCAACGAACCTTATCAGGAAATTAACAAAGTTACGGCCCAAAACATTGCATTTGGTTTCAAGGATGATCCGGCAGTCCGCAAGTACGCTCGCCAGCTGAACGCTCAATCTCTTGAAACTGGTGATTAATCTTATATATATATTTCGGAATTTCCAACTGTTTAATTTTAAAAATAAATTTTTTATTTTTTTATTGTCTTCTTACATCAATTATAACTAACTATGTGTTGTATACAAGCAATTTTCTTTCTTAATCACCTTAAAAATCTAGAAATAAAATGAGATGATTATATTATTGACACATTTCAAGAAAAATATTTACAATATATGTTAATATAGTAGCTTTTATTTCGATTTACCTCGTAATTATTATAAAATTTTCATTTTAAGTATATGGAAGGTGAATATAAGGATCAAGATGAATCATTAAAGGCAAGACATATTAATGAAGATGATGATAGTTATGAAAGCGAACCCGAAGAACAGCAAATCGAAGAATTTAATCCAGATGCTGCAATTCAAATTTGCGAATTATTAATAGCAGACGATATTGATCAGATTGCTCAAGCGATTATACAACTTACAAACGTTTTCAATAAGAATGAAGATAAAATTCCTATAATTTTAGATGATGGAGTTTTATTTACAAGTTTATCGGCGTTTATTGTTGATTACAATCCAGAAATCACACCTTTAGTCATAAATTTATTACAAAATTATGTAGATTTTAGCACAGATCAGCATCAAATTGAAATTTTCTTAAAAGAAGGAGTTCACGTTCATTTGGTGACAAAATTAACCGAAGAAATACCATTTGTATACGCGATACACATTATTCAGCTTTTTAATTCAATTATTTCGAAATATAAAAAATTACAAAAAGAATTAAGGAAACATGGCGTAATGACAGTAGTTCTCGACATACTTGATTACTATTGCATCGATCGTAATCCGGGTCGAAGAGAAACATGTGAAAAATTTGAAGTCAAATATTATCAAGAAAAAGGCATTGATCTTTCGGAAGAAGAAATAGCCGAGCTTGTCAAGCAATGTATCCTGTTCATTCGTACATTTATTATTAACAAAAAGAACTGGAATTGCTTTATAATTACAGAAGGATTATGTTCTTTGAATTTATACGCCAATTTCAGGAATACAACTGCTCTAGAAGCTTTACTATCAATAACTACTAATATTCACCTTGACAAACTTTCAATTTTCTCAAGTTGTTTCGTAAATTGCGATTCTCCACGAAAAATGGTAGAATTTGCAGCAGATAACGATATAACTGCTTGGAAAATCATCAAGGATACTCTTGCTGATGAAATAATCACAAAACATTACATGGTTTCTAATTTCGGAGAATTATTATTAAATACTATCAGTAACAAAGACTCTGATTTCATTGAAGCAGCTCTTACGTGTTTACTAGACTTAACATATTCTGATCCGCATGGTTTCAACAGCTTTTTCTTGGAATCTGGAATGATTGATATTGTATTGAACTTTATTGAGACAGAAACATCGAAAAACAAGATACTTTCTGTTGGTATCATTGCTCATTTCATTGAAAGGACTTCTGTTGAAATAGTTATGGAAAAATGCCCAAATTTTGTAAATTTGGCTTTAGACTTAGCAGTAAACATGGATTCAAGTGATGCAATTGTTATTCTTGAATCTCTGGAACCTGTAGCTCAAGCAGCAATTGCAAATGGATTCAATGTTTCCGAAATTTTTGGCGGAGAAGAAGGATATGAGATTTTGCAGGATATGATAGATAATAGACCTGTCAATGTATGCGATCATGCTGCTCTCTTGAGCTCCCTCGTTTTTCCTGAATCTGATGAAAAATAATTTTTTTATTTTTATCAAAACTTTCATTTATTAATTATTTGTTGCTGTAAAAAATTATATTTGTACTATAACTATAAAGTTTGTTATTTCTTTTAATCGAAAAAAAAAACATTTAAAAAAATTAATTTTGATATCGAAAAAAAAAGTTTTTAAATAATTATTTTTAAACTTCCGCGGCCTTTGCATCTTCTGGGCTTGAAACACTTGGAGCGCAGCAGCATGCGAAGCAGCTTGCACAGCAAGCATTGCAGCAGCAGCATGTGCAGCAAACGCAGCAAAGGATACAGCCAATGATGACAATGATAGCAACAATTAAAATAATAGCCCAAAGTGGAAAACTTGTCTTCAATGTTACTACTTCGATGCCTTTGTCATCCTTTGAATAAACCTTTGGATAGTTTCCGACAGTGATGATGAACTTAGCAAACTTGCTAGCAAACTTAGTAGAACCGGATCTCTTTGAATACTTAACAATGGAGTGGGAACTATAATCAGAGGTTGTTTGATAGTCAGACCATGTTCTGTATTGCTTTGTGTTATTATTCTCAAAAACATAAATCTTGGTGCCCTTTCCTTCCTCTATTGTTTCATCGATGTAGGAATCTGTTGTGACCATTGCTACTTGGTTAGCATGTTTGTATTTAAGAGCTGGGGCAGAACCTGTATAAGTCTAATTCGCCTGAGTCTTTTGTAGCTATTGTTACCCAGAAGTAATCTTGAATATCATATCCAGAGACTCCATTTAATTCACCTTTAAGGAAGTAATGAGTGGGAGTATAAGGAATATTCATGATTTCAATATCGCAGGTAGCATCGTTGCACTGAATTTGAGTGTATGGAGTATAGCATCTGTCTAATCCGGAGTATGTGTTGCAGGCTCCCATTACAATTGAAGGATTATCTATCCATTCTGTTTTATTTTCTTCAATTGAACCTGTATAGAAAGTAGTTTGAAGCTTGTAGCTCTGGTCAGATCCAATCATGAATGATCCTCTGATGCATAACGTTTCGCCAGATTGAAGAGGAGCAAATCCATCAAAGATTTGTGGACCTCCAGTGCTAATTGTGTCATATTTTTGTTGATAAGGAGTATAATCTAAATTGTAAGTGCAGCTTGTTCCTGCAGACACTGAATAAGATGCAAATAATGGAAGCATCTAAATAAAAATGAAATGAATTTCTCAAATTCTGAGTTACTTTGAAATATCAACCAATTGAATAGTAATAGAAATATATTATTTATTAATAATATATTTTAAGAATAGTTATAACAAACTAGTTGTAAATGTCCATTATAACGGCTGTGAATTTTAAAAACAAAATTTTACAGCTATTCAATTATGAATATTTGATAAAAATTAAGATCAATGATAAAAGAAAATACTAAAATCACTTAGTTTTTATTAAAAAATATGAGGCAAAAATGTGGGGAATTTTATTAACCCAAATTTTGATAATTCTCTCAATAAAAAAACAAAATTGAATATGTAGCGCCGTTGGTAATACAATTTCTAAATTAATTTCACTAAAAATATACATATATCATATAACAAACATATTATTATAAAATTAATTCAATAGAAAACCGTTAAGAAAGCTATTTTCAAAGTCTGGTGAAATTATTGTTGTTTTTCAAATTTTTATTTTTTTGAACTAAGCTAATGATATTGTTTAAGATCACTCAGTTCACAAAATTGCGGTCATCGTACTCTTAAATTAGTTATGATATCAATTATATTTAAATATTGATTTTTGTTCAATATATTATCTATTGTTAAATTAAGATATTCTCAATTTTTTGATAAATTAATCGGTTATTGTTCAATTTTTATAGCACGTTCAACAAAAGTTGGACGTTGTTTTTTAATTTTACGTAAAATATATATTATGATAGCAGCTAATAAGGTTCTCTTCAATAATTAATGCATAGTTTTAAAATTAAAAAAAGAAAAAGATCATATTGTTTATGACGTTCTTAAATGATTTATCGGTATTATTATTTGACCTTATTCCGTAGTACAAGAACAATAGTTATGACTTTTCCGAATTTTTTTTCCCCCAATATTTTTTTTTTATTTTTCTCCAATAGCTGAACCATTCTGACCGCAATCTGAATGCAATTTCAAATACAGACATCGTTAATATTTATTTTTCTCTTTTTATAGTTCGAGTTCAAATCATATTTTCAGATAAAAATATGCTCCAATTTTACTCAAATATGTTTAACTGTAAAAGTTTGAAACAGTGTTTATATGTGGAAGTGTATAGAGTTAACTTAGAGTTGTTTTATTGATGAATTGAATTTGAACGGTATTTGAATTAAATTGGATCATAGATTAAACTTCATAATACTCGCACTATTAGCATATAGGAGAGGTAAAGTTATTATATCGTTTAATTCTTTGAATTGGAATATGATGATTTAAATTGTTAGTGGTACTCTGATTTTTATCGATACATCGAACTATTACAACTATTATAAAGCTTTTTTCATTTTAAACGTTTTAAAGACTCTTTTTTTTTTAATATGATTTCAACAAGTGACATTTCTGGGTGATATCATATTGGTTAGTCAGTACTAGTTTGTAGGTACTATCGATTCTATAAAGGTTACGTGCTCTAAAAACATCGCAGGTAGAGAAATAATGGAGAATTCAAAAAATCCATTTCAAACGACCTCAAGTAGTCGGTTTTGGAACTAAACTCAGAAAAATTTCAGGTGAATATTGGTGCATTGGTTTATCCTTTCTAATGAGCAGAATATTCCATATATTTTAAAAATTTGAAGACAATGAGAAATTTTCCTCTTTAATTTGTGCAGAATCAGTGTATAAGAGAAATTTGTTATATATTCCAATTCCTTTGGATAATTTTCTTTGCAACTCGCCCAAAATTTTTTGTCAGAGAAAATTTCCAAAATTCAATAATTTTTATTCTGACAATTTGGCAGATTTTCAAATATGGATAGTGTTATATTCACCAACGAGACATTTTCTATTCTAGCTCCAGAAGGAATCGCCAACCAAATTAATTTTGAGCTTAATAATGCCGACCGAGAATTTCTCATAAATAATTTAATACGAGATCAAGAACATTATAAGAGCGATGCAAATGGAGTTGTAGGAGCTGATGATATTGATCATATAGCTCGTTCATTTGTAGCGCATTATACAGTAAAAGTTCATTTATCAAGAAAACAAATTCAATTAAGAATCACCGAATTAGAGTTTCTTGATGAAAATCAATTACTTTCTTAGACTTTTCGGATTGTGAATAATAAAAGCAAATAAAAACAATTTTTTTAAATATAAAAACAACAGTAAAGTTCACCTTATTTAAATTGGATATTCTTCACAACTTGAGCGAGCTTAGCATAGTTTGAACGAGTTTCCTTGAGGATACTTTCAAAATTCTGAATAATTTCTTGGCTTGTTGCCTGGGCTTCATCTCTTGTCCTCAGCTCATAATGAAGCTTATCAATTTCATTTTGCATCTGTGAAATCTTCATTTTATAAGCATGAAGAGTCACATTCATTGGCTGATTACTTTCTTCTTGCTTGAAAACAGGGCAATTCTTTGCTTTTTCGGCTTCAAGGATAATAATCTTTGAGCGTAGTCTGTTTAATTCTTTTGTAAGAGCGACTGACTGGTTGTTATTTTGAGATGATATATGTTGACGCCTTGCTTCTGTAAGTTTGGCATCCAAATCCATAACCTTTTCTACCAAATCAAGCTTCTCTTTATCTTGATTAATCATATCATTTGCTCTTTGCTTTTCATCCTGAAGTGATCTCTTCAAATTACTGATTGTTGCCTCATAATCCATGACTTTCTTTGTTAGTTCACTATTCATAGATTTAGCTTTTTCAATTTCGGTCTTCTGCTGCGTTTCAAGCTTTGAAAGTTTTTCTGTAAGCATAACATTATTAATTTTTGCTTCTTCTAATTGTGAAGTTGTTTTCATGAGTTCGTCCCTCATGTTATTCATTTGTTTTGTTGTCTGACTAATATTTGTGCCTATAGCATTATCTTTAGCTGTTAATTTCTCCTTTAACATGCCATTGTCTGATGAAATAATATCATATTTCCTTTGTAACTCTTTGAATTTTTCGTTTGATGTTTCTGAAACTTTTTGTGATTCTTTTAACTTCTTCAATAAATCTTCATATTGTGTTTGTAACTTTATCTGCTCTGCACTGCACGAACTCTGTAAATTCTTAATTGTTGCATTAAGTCTTTCTATTTCGCACTTTGATTGTTCATATTGAGCAGAAATTTGTGCTTTTGATGTCGATAAAGATGCAACTTCCGAATTTGCATTCATTATCTTTGTAGAAAGATCTGCATTCTCTTGAGTAAGATTTGCTATTTGATCTTTAAACATTTGCATTTGTTGAGATGATTGCTTTACTTGATTTTGAATTTGTTTGCTCATTGAGTTGTCAAAATCATTTTTCATTTTTACAGAATCTGCTTTGAGAGTTTCGATTTGAGCTTTCAATTGATCGATTTGCTGTTGAAGAGCTTGATTTGCTACTTTCAATGTTTCATTGGATATGTTTGCCTGGTCAAGGCTTTGTTCTGTTTCAGATTTATAAGATTTAATTCTTGTGATTTCTTTTTCTAAAGAAGCAACCTTTTCATTTGCAGCATTAAGATCTGCTTTTACTGAATCTTGTGTCTTCTGAAGTTCTTCGTATTGGCGAGATTTTTCATTTAATTTGCCAATTAAAGCAGCTTGCTCTTCTTCAACTTCACTTGCATGCTCTTGCATTGACTCGAGTTCTGCTGCACTCTTTTTAGTCTGTTCTTGTAAATCATTGATTTCTTTTTGTAATTTAGAAATTTCTTCGTCTTTGGATGAAATTGTAGTCTTAAGTTGTGCATTTTCTTCTTGTAAGTGCTTCTGTTCGAATGTTGCTGATTCTACAACGTTATTTGCGTTATCTAACTGCTTTTTAAGATCGAAAAGAGTAGATTCTGTATCCATTGCCTTATTCCTAGTTTCTGTAAGCTCTGGTTCTAATCCGGCTAGCTTGTTCTTAAGTTCAGTAATTAAAGCGTTCTTTCTCTCCAATTCGTTCTGAATATCTCCAATTCCGGTCAACTTACTTCTTTCTTCTGCAAGTTCTTGTTCTAAACGTTCGATTTGAAGTTCGAATTGATGCTTCTCCTTCTCGACGACAATAAGTTTTTGTTCGTATTCTTTATTTTTTTCGCATAAGCGCTTCATGCTTGGTGGAACATTCGGTTCTTTGTCTTTACCTTTCTTTGTTATGACAACATTGGGTTCAGCATTTTCGCGAGAGCGTGGTTTTGGGATTTTCGACATTTATTTTTAAACGTACAGTAATGAAGCAAAATTTTATGCATAACTTTGAATAATTTCCCCAACATTAGATTTGTATATAGAAGGGAATATCATGCTTTATTTTTTGCAACTAAAAGTTTGAGATTGGAATAGAGGAACTTGCATTTTCAATCTGGAACTAATATCTCATAATAAATATATATTAAATTGAAAATAAAGTAAGTTTGTACTAGAGATAAAGAATATTTTAGTTTATTTCAAATGAAATAGAATAGATTTATGTAGTTTTCTTTCATGGTAAAAAGTATCATATTATATAACGCCAAATCAACAGTTTACTCGATTTACAATATGTATTATATTATCAATATAAAACAAAATCTTCAAAAGCTGCCACATTGCTAAATTACTTTGGGAAACTTCATTATGTGAGCAATTCATATCCAAATAAATTTGCTGATCAAAAGAACTAGTGTCTCGAATTGAGATTTACTTAGATTTCGGAGGTAAAATAATGAATTATCAATCGTTCGTCTGTAGGATATGTGTAATTTCATCTTTTGTGGAAATTTATTATATCTGTAATTCGATTGGTCGATTTATTGATTAGTGAAATGATGTAGAAATCACTTTCTCCAAAGATTTTAAAATTAATTTTTGTTTAAATCAATCCCATACAACTAAACATAATGTTTGAAATGCAGGAAGCAATATTATTCTTCGTTTGGATCTCAAACTGGCCGACCAAATATTTTCAGAAAAATATCTCACTAAGAAAATGCGCTTTTGGAGTCTTTGGCTTCTTTTGCTCCTTTCTTTGGCATTTGATGCTGTTTTAGCCTATTTCTTGCTACAGAATGGATCCCATGAGATTGAATGGGTAACTAATTTAAAGAATAACTACGGATATGAAGGTAAACTTAGCAGAATTCGTAGAACAGATATGCTTCAACTTAATGGTTCTACATATCTTGACTATACAGGCAGTGGTCTCTACCGTACATCACAAATTCGTGATATTATGGCAACCCTTCAACAAAACTTATTTGCTAACCCTCACTCTGAGTCTCCAGCTTCTTCATTTACAACAGATCTTGTTGAAGAAGTCAGAGAAGAAGTTTTGAAGTTTGTTGGCGCAAATGCAAATGAATACTCAGTAATCTTCACAGCGTCTGCAACATCATCACTCAAACTTCTTGCAGAGTCATTCCCATGGTCGAACGAGTCCCTCTATCTTTACACAAGAGATAATCATAACTCAGTTTTAGGAGTTCGCCGCTGGGCAAGGCACTTTGGAGGAAACTTCAAGGCGGTCGATCCATCAGACCTTGAAGGCGATGGAAAAACCCTTACATCCTCAAACGATGGCCCTTATAACTTATTTGCTTTTCCAGCTGAAGAGAACTTCGCCGGAAAGAAGTACGATCTCAACCTCATTCAGAAATTCAGAACAACAGACTACGGAAACAAGTTCGCCAAAGGAAAATGGTTTGTTTTACTTGATGCCGCCGCATATCTCCCAACAAACCGCTTAAACCTCAAGAAGACACAAGCAGATTTCGTTGTCATGAGTTTCTACAAGATCTTCGGCTATCCAAACCTCGGAGCTCTCATTGTAAGAAATGATGCCCTTAAATATCTCGAGAAACGCGATTTCTCAGGCGGCACAGTTGTTATTGCAACATGTGGTACAGACTACGTTCTCTTCCAGCCACGTACTTGCGCCAAATTCGAAGATGGAACAATTCCATTTTTATCTATCATTGCTTTGAAGGAAGGCTTCAAGAAACTTAACGAGCTTGGCATTGACAACATCAACAAGCACGTATGGGCTCTTACAAGAGAACTCTACACCAGATTATCCAGATTAAGACATAAATCTACAGGAAGGCCAGTAGTTAAGATCTACGGTAACCACATGAAGAACAATGACAAGTTACAGGGTGGTATTCTCGCTGTTAACTTCTTGAATCAGACAGGCGGATTCGTCGGATACAATGAAGTCATGAAGAAGTCCGCCAAAGCTAACATCAACCTCCGTGTTGGATGCTTCTGCAATCCAGGTGCATGCACAGCTGCCGCTGGACTCCAGGACGACCAAGTAATGCAGTATTTCAGCAAAAAGACTTCTTGCCACGACGCTATTGATATTGTTGATGGTGTTCCCCTTGGTGCAGTAAGAATCTCACTCGGTGCATATACAACTATCGAAGATGTCGTTAAAATAGAACAATTCGTAATTGATAACTTCGTCCATTAAATTATACAAAAACTTATCCGTGTAAACATAACAATTTAATTCAATTTTTCTTTTTATTTCGGAAATATTATAAAACATCATTATATAACTTAGTTTTATAAGTTGATATTGGAGAATTAGACTAGATCTTCTATGAAGTCTCCCCAGAGAATTTTTATAAATCTATTTTCTATTCCATTATTTTTTCATATTATTCAAAATTTATGCAATTATTCATAATGAAATCACCAATAACAGGAAGTCGTGTTTGAATTAAGGTTGCAGTTTTATGAGTTGTGTTACTTTTATAGGTCTCTTGTGTATGACTTAAAATATCTAAAAAAAAATTTAACTCTCATTCGGAAAAGGCCGGAGCCGAAGTTATATATATATATATATATATTCGAATTTAGAAGTATTGATATAAATTTATTAATAATAGCCATAATGTACAGCTTTGATATGGGCATAACACTCATTTAGTGAATTAAAGCATGCTTTGCAACGCCAGCAGAAATGTGCGCCACAGAGGCATGTCATTAGATCGCTACCTATCTCTCTGAAGATCATAACTCCGCATCGTGGACATTTCTTCTTACAGTCATTTTCGGGAAGATTTTCTTCTAAGTTTTTCCTGCAAACCTCACCTTGGTTGTGGTGTGTCATGCACTTCTTGCAGAATCTCTTATGGCAGATTGGACATTCCGAGATCTTGTTGAAATCATAGACTGTTTCTCCGTGTTCTGGACAGGAAAAGATTTTTTCGGGTGATGTATGCAATGTAGCAATGATAACTGATTTAAGCCAACGCTGCATCAAATCAAACACTTTGTCATCTGAAAGAGAAAAGAACATCTGACCGATAGGTGAGTATCCTTCGAAGTTGATCGCGCGTGGCATTTTGTTGTACTTATTTCCTTTATTCTCATTAAATGTATCATCTAAAAACTTTTCTAAACATGTCAAACAAAAATGTTTCGCTTGACTTGTATTGTTTTTAACATCATATGCAACAATGTAATTCTTACTTTCTTCTGGATTGTCACATATATCGGTGCATCCAAATACTTTGACGTCATCAAAATCTTCGATTTCATTTTCATAAACAAAATCAGACAAAATGGATTTCGCAGTTTCACTTTCGTTTTCTGGAACAATCAAAAGTTTTCGTTGACTGTCAACAACCCAATATGGTGAGATTTCACTAGTTTTGCTGATAACTAATGAAAGAGAAACATCTTTCTTGATGTTCAATGTTTTGAATGGTGGATGAAATTCTACATCTTCTTCTAAAATGTTCCTTGCTTTTTGTGCATCTTGCCATGACATACCGATTTTATTATTATCACGGAAACAAACGATATCATGTGCTCTCAAGTATTCAAGAAGAAATTCAACTGCACCTTGCGAGTTGAATAAACTTGGATGGAATTTGTAAGCTGGAGGATTGAAGATAACTTCATCAACTGCAATGTTCTCATGTTGACTTAATTCTCGTAAATCACAGACGTATTCGGTCTTTGGATTTTGATTGAATCGGATGACTTCTGAAGGAATTTGAATAGCTTTGTTTGAAACTAAAACAAGAGGAATGTTTTTGTCAATGTATGAAATTCTCAATGATTTGTCTGGATCATTCAGCAAATTGATATTTTTCAAACAAAAATCAAAACAATGCTTATCAAATTTGTAAAAGAAAAGTGAATTAGTGTCAACAAGTCTTGTGATTAACTTATCGTCAATTGAATACACTTCTAAACTGATGTTATTCATGATTTCAATAGCAAACATTGTTTCACCAACAAATGGCATGAGAGAAGCAATATCTTTAACTGTTTTTTCAATCATTTGTTGCATCTTTGGGTCTTCAATGACTATTTTGTTTTGGTAAACCTTCAATTTCATGTTTGGAGAAACCATGTCAAGAATCATTGTGAAATAATCTGAATGGACACATCCTGGACAAGTCAATGAACGTGAAATTGTTCTTATCAGTGAATCTATCGAATTCATCATCATTCAAGTAAGCATCAGCTATACTATCATATTCTCTCTCTTCTCTTGTCTTAGATCTTTGTTCAGCACTTTCCAAAATCAGATATTTATAATTTCCATGAACATTTGAAATTTTATGCATATAATTCATATCATTCTTGCAGCCATTGATTGCGAAACTACAGTTCATGATTGCGCTCTGTGTATCTCAGAAAACAAACAAAACAAAAATGGAAGAATTAGGATTTTGCGTGTTAAATAAATTCAAATGTGATTTGATGTTCGAAAAACAAAGGAATTAAACAGGATTTGCTCTCACACAATGATAAAATGTCTTTGGCACTTGTTTCTGGTGTCATTTCAGGTGAAATGACTGTTAAATTCGATGTTTGTTTTTGGTATTCGTTAATTATGTTCTTAACATCGAATAAAGAGTCAACAAAGTAGACAATCTTAGATCCATATCTATTCCTATTGTTAGTAGCATATGTAAGTGCTTCAATTTGCGATTTTTGGGCAAATTGAAGATTAATATTTAATTGTTTGGTATCGGAAACTTCGAAACCAACATCAATGGGATTAGAAAGTGATAGAATGAACTTCAGTTGACGTTCTTTGCATATTTTTCTTACAACGTCTAAGATACTAAAGTATTTGATGTTTTTATGGTCAATTGCGTGGTAAACAACCAACATTTTAGGTGTGTTCTTATCACAGTTTTGTATCATGAATGTTGTTGCGTCGAAAATTGAAATGAAAGCGAGAACTTTACGATCTTCGTTAAATGCTGTTTGTAAACTATTGAGATCTGTAACAATATCGAGTTCTGTGTATCGGTTATGGAACCATAATGCGTTTTCATGTATCAAACCCTCGTCATCTGATGTAAAAATGATAATATTGGTTCTACTGTCAGTAAGTTTGAAAAGCGGGATGAGGATTCGATCACGGTACTCATAGTTGAATGCATAAACACTTGGATATTCAAAAATTTTGTGTGTGTAAGGAGGATAGTAAATAAATGAGTATTGATCTGTTTGTTCTTGAGTAATAGATAAGCAAGCATGGTATAAAGCACGAGCAGATTGAATTTCATCCTGGTCTTCGGAATTACGTATACTTTCTAACAAAAATATTCCGAATTCAAAAAAGTCGATAATATTATTAAAACCATTTCCATTGTTTGGCTTGCACTTAGCAAGAATTTGAGTATGTGAAAGAAATTCATCAAGAAAAGTACTTCAAGATTGTAGATTTTTGATATTCTTTAAAGAGGTTATACAATCAGCAATCAGTTGGTGAACTTTGTCCTCTGAAGCTCGTGAAGCAGTAATAGCGAGATCCTTTAAGCTGGAATCACATCTACTTATTATATCCATTTCAACTTTAAAAAAAAATGATGTGAATAGAGGTATTTTGACTACCTCCGTCACAATTTTTTATATAGTCTTTCAATTTTTTTTCAAATGTATCTATGCACGACACAATGGAGTATTGATATATTATGCCTCTTGAGAATTTTACATGATTGTTCTGGAATTACCAGTGAAATGTTAGGGGCGTGAATCGATCATATGACCGCGAAAATATCTATAATAAATCAACAATATTCTTGATGTTATTTAAAGCTATGATCTTGCGTAAATTAGATAAAATGGAGTTCAAACTTGAGAAACTAGACATAATTCTCTTAAGGATACCCTTACATTGCGTAGTTAGAAAGAGAATATGATATTGTCATGATTGCTAAAGTTTTAGGCTCCAGAAATGAATATACATCAAACTGAAACAATTGATAAATTGAATGAACTTTTGAGAGGTTCTCAAATAAAAAAAATTATCTAATTTTTTACAATATTACTATTATTTTATCCACATATGTATATATAGTAATTTGAGAAAACTTTTAGGAAAAAATAAGTTTAATAAAAATCTGAATTTTACTTGTTGTGGGATTGTTATTAATTGACACTCCAGACGTATTACTAATAGTTATGCGTATGCAATTAAAGTATTTCTGATGGACAAAATGTGAGATTTATATCAGATAATTCATCTATATTACTATTATAGTTCATTTATGAAGTTTGCACTTATATTCGCACTAAATAAATAACTATTAAAAATTGTTTTAATTAATTGACACCATATAATAGAGTGAATTTTGTTTGATCAAACAACAATAGATGATAGATATAAAGCCAAGAAACTTGCTATTAATATGCTCTACTTGCTATTTCAATGTAAGTATGATATTTTCTAAATGTTTCGTTCAGATAACTTAGTTAGATATATTAGTCAAAATTTGAAATTTTAATAGCACATATATTAAAAATAATTATTATTCATAAAAGATTAATGAAATAGTAAAAAATCAATCAAATATAAAAAATACAACATTTAGAAGAATTCTTATTATCCTTCAAAAAGTCAGTATTTCTGCTGTAATTTTCTACAACATTGTAGTTATTGCACTTTGTCTATGAATTTGTATATATGTTATATATAAATTATATATTTAAACTGCCCATAAGTGCAATTTTTATATAAATTGTTTATTTCTTTAACAATTTTCATATGAAATATGCTTTTTTAAGCGTATCAAAGCTGTGTTCTTAATGTGCATGGATATATCAAGAAAAATGTCGAAAAAAAAATGTGAATTCACAAATTCACTGAATTTTCACCGTTTTTTGAATTTTGCTACAGCACTAATATTAAATAATACTAAAATCTTCTGTCTTTGTAAAAGAATAAATTCTGACAAAAAGTGCTCGTTTAAATTTAATGATCATCTGTATGACTAAGTGGTAAAAAGTGTTTATGACCAAAAAAGGGTTACATGCTTAGTCTATTTTTCTGACAGGATACTCTAGATTTACATGATCTCTATTTCATATCTCCGTTTTTTAGATTCTTCGACAGATTTTATGATAGAAAACCAAGATTAACAAATTTCCGGCATGTTAATGAAGAAATCTGCAGCTACCCTCAATATTATTTCAATAATCAGTATCGTTTCTCTTACAATTTATTTTTTTCTCAATAATTTAACAAGAAATAACAATACACATTTGGTTTTACGTATAAAAGCTAAGTGTCGAACTTAATCAACTTTACTTACTTAGCAAATGAATATTTTTGTGGTTGCGAGTTCTGAATGCTGAAGTTTTAGATTTCTCTATAAATGATATCATTGCACTTACAATGTTGTTCCAGCCTATCGCATAAATCATAGAAAATCCAAAAAAAAAATAATATAAAGAAAATTCATGTCATGAAGTTCAAAAAATACCGTGTAACATTAAAATTTGTTATGCATAATACATTTTAGCTATTATTGATTTTTTTTAATTTTCGAGAAATTGAATGGTGAGTCCGATAGAGAAATTTTTAAAAATCCTAGTGCCTCATAGAAGTAATTTCCCTCGTCTCCCATACTTCCAAATGTATGCATATGACATAAACTTTTATGCATTACACAAATGGCCAATAATATCTATAGAGTAAAAAATTAGAAATTTAATTTTTTTATATGATAGTTATATTTCAGATTTGCGAGCGTAACTTTTTTCTCCATGGCATACTTGTTTTAAGAGCAAATGATCAAAATCGTCCTTCAATTATTGAAGGAGCTGATATCTTTTGAAAATTGAATTGAAAGGGTATTCAATTTTCAAATTTCCTCTCAATTTTGGAAACATATCAACTCTATGAATTAACAATTATGTGCCTTCACAGTTTATCAGTCATATAAGGTGCTTATAAAGAAAAAAGTTACGCTCGCAAAATATGTTTTTATATAGATTTCACATAAAATAATTATGTAATTTCTAAAAAGAATATTTTTGTTCTTGAATATTAAAGTGTATTGTAGTTTAAAAAGTTTTAAATATGTTGCTAAAATTTCAGGTTTATAGCTCATGTCTAGCATGACTTCTTCGTATGCGCAAAAAATCTGACACGTAAGGGTATCCTTAAAATAAGATATTTGAGAATAACAATTAGGACTGGCCAATCCTGGTATCACAATTTTGAGAAGATTCTCAAATGGTTTCTATCAAAATGGCGTTGAATTTTTAATTTTAATTTTGATTATTTATGGTTTCACAGAAGGAATTTTATACTATGGAGCTACATTTGTAGGAAAGAAAGAAAATGGGAAAGAATTCACTAGTGATGCACTTATTACAATTTTATGATATGCATTCTCTGAAACTTGGTGTTTAACTAATTTCAAATTCTTTTTGGGACAAGAAGAAAGAGCTGTACAATCAGCTGAACGTGTTCTTGATAAGATAGGTTATCAACCTTCAATAAACCTTGACGAAGGAATCCAATACGATGACTTCAAATGGAAATTGTTTTTGATCATGTTTCATTCAAGTATCCTTCAAGAAATGTGTTTACTCTAAACGATGTGTCTTTTCAGATTAAGTCAGGACAGAGCGTTGCTTTTGTCGACCATTCGGGAAGCGGAAAATCAACGATTGTTCAATTGATCGAAAGATTCTATGACATCACAGAGGGATCTATTACGATTGATGGCCAAAATATTAAAGATTTTGATATAAGATGGTTACACAAGCAAATGCCTTTCATTTCACAAGAACCATTTTTGTTCCATGGAACAATAAAAGAAAACGTTTTATATGGTGTCTTTGATGAAAAGACAGATGAAGAAATCATGGATGTTTTGGAACAAGCAAATGCAAAGAAATTCTTTATATAGTTTGATGATGGTTTAAATCATCAAGTTGGTGATCGTGGATCTATCTTGACATGTGGTCAATGTCAAAGAATTTCGATTGCGCAAGTAGTTATGAAGGATCCAAAGATCTTGATAACAGATGAAGCAACATCAGCTCTTGACAGTGAAAGTGAAAAGAAAGTTCAAAATGCACTTGACAAAGTACTTGTTGGAAGAACAGGTATTGCTGTTGCACATCGTCTCTCAACGGTCATCAGTTGTCATGTTATTTTTGTTATCGAATAGGAAAAATCGTTGAACAAGGCGCACATACAGAACTTGTTGAAAATGATGGTGCCTATTACAATCTTGTCAAATATCAATTGAGCAAACAAGAATCCAAGGAATAAAAACAAATTATTTTTTATCATTATCCAAATTTTTAAAATTGATTCGTTTATATTCAAACTCCATATATAAGCGTAAACTTAAAGTAAAGAGAAGTTTGATTGCAAGCCATTGAAAGTCTCTAATTCAAATAAAAATTGATATTTTTTTGTTTAAACTTACTAGTTTAGTATTAATATAACAAACAATACACATATGTCTACAAGATTATTGAAGTATATGTTCCAATACTTCATCAGCAAAATTCTGAGGTGGAATTTGAATGAAATAGCCAATTTCATTTTCAAAATATTCAGACCATATATTATTGAATATTTCTACATCGGATGGAAATGAAATTTCAAGCTTCTGCACAAAATTATTAAGCAAATGAATAGAATCATAAATAAAATCAGGTGATGCAGAATGAAATGTACTTAAAATATCTTCTATTAGATCTGGTGTAATAATTCTAACCATAATATCTGCATTTGCATGATAAGATAAAATCAAAAATAATTTCATGATTTCATACTTCACATCGAATGCAGAAGTGTCATACAGGCTTTCAAATGGTATTTGCACTAGAAAACTATATAAAGAATTCAAATAATTTTCATTTTCGTTATCACACCAACTTCTAAGGAAAGAAATGACAGAAATCATTATAATACTGTAGTACTCAGTATTTTCTTTTTGATATTCATCTAAAAGTATCTTTTTTGATTCATAAAATATATTATATCTTGAAATTTCTTCATACATGTCATTTCCATATGGGCATAGGTGACCAAGAAACTGAAATACTGCAATTTGTAAATAATGATCATCTGATGTGCAATGCATGGCTAAAGTTTCTATTAAATTAGTTTCTTTAATTTGATTTGAAATATTTGTTGAATTTGAAAGGATATTAGTAAGAATTCTCAATGATTTCGTTATAAATATTGTGTTTTCAGAGAAATTAACAAGATCAATTAATGGTGAAATAATATTTTCGCAAATACCTGGATTAAAGTCATCAATTTTTGTTGCATTACAAATTATTTGAAGTGAAATCTCTGTTAACTCGTTTTCTTCAATAATATTAGGCTCTAAAGCATGAAATATCCCAGCTTCATACATTTTTTGTGTTGAAACATCAGGATGCATTGATAATAGAATTATAAGTTCTAATGCATAATACTTCAAGTCTTTTGCTATTTGTTTCTTAATTGATTGAGAAAGATAAAAAATGATTGGTGATTCTACAATATCTGGAATTAAAGCATCGCCATTTCTTACAATACAAGAAATGAATCGAAAAACATTCTTTCTTGATCCTTTTCTTTTGCATAATAGGACTAAATCTTTAATATTTTCGGATACGACAAAATCAGTGATAATATTAGGATTTTTTGAGATAATGTCAAGAGCATTTGATAAGATTTGTGAAGAATCTTTAGGATTTTCGTTATCAAAACTTGCAAATATGGAATTAAGACGTGCAAGCAAAGATTCATTAATAGCAGACAATTCAACTTCATCATATATATGTACATCAGCATCAGAATCTGATAAGTTTTCCTGATTGGAATCGTCTTTTTTGTATTCCATAATGAAATTTAAGTAATAATCATTAACATTTGGATGCACTTAAAAACTAATAACAGCGGATCCTATTACCAACCCGAATTTTATAATGGTTTCTTAAAATTAATAGTTCTCATCGCCAATAATCATAAAACTGCCAAGGCATAGTTAGTCCTATCATAGAAAGAGCTACCATTTCAAGATCAACGCCAGAAATTCTAGTTTTAAAATTTGCTATTATTTTTATCCAAGACAACATCTATAGACAAAAATATATGATCATGAGTAGCAAAGGAAAGAGGATTTACAAGAATTTTGATAACGACAATATCGGCATCGTCCGATAAAGAAAAACAGCAAAAAAAATACGAATAAATCCTTTCAAAATTGAATAAAAACCGATAGAGAATTGCTAGCGATATTTCACTTCTGTTGAAAGATGAGTGATATCTTGTTTGTAGGACATTGCACTAAAGATGTTATTACCATTAACAATGAGACATCATACTTACCAGGTGGTGGTGTCTATTTCGGAGCAGTTTCCGCTGGTTATTGCCTCAAAGCACATCCATCCGACAAGGACATCAAACTCATTGTTCTTACAATCGGTAAGAAGGAAGATTACGTAAAAGTCCAACATGAAATGGATGCTTGCGGTGCAAAATTGATCCTTATCGAAGACGACAAGACAACAACATTCGTCCACTCATTCGAGGATAACAACCCAGATAAGCGTATATCTTCCGTTACAGACATTGCCAGATCTTTTACATGGGACGATGTTAAAAATTACAAGGCTAAGTTCTGCTATGTTAATCCACTCTTCTTTGGAGAAGTTGATCCATCTCTCTTCAAGCTTCTTCACCAGAACTGTGAATACGTATCCTGTGATGCTCAAGGCCTTCTTCGTCATCAAAAAGACGGAAAGGTCTATCTCAAGGCACCAGAGAACATTCCAGCCGTCTTAGATGGAATCGATATCCTCAAGGTTGATGCTGGCGAAGCTACAGCTCTTACAGGAATTAAAGATGATACAAGAAAGGCCTGCCTTCAGCTTCTCAGCTACGGCCCACGTTGGGTTATCTGCACACAATCAGATTATGTCGAACTTCATACAAAAGAGTCTGTTATCAGCTCCAAATTTGGACAATGGTCTCTTGCTGGTCGTACAGGTCGTGGCGATACTGTTTCAGCTGCTTTCATCCTTGAACACTTCCTTGCTGAGGTTGATGCTCAGAAATCTCTTGATATCGCTGCCACTGCCACAGGAAAGAAGATGATGCATCCTGGCGCAGCTGTATTAGCTGATTATCAGTAATCGCTCTTATCAAAGACGTACAATTAGATTTTTTCACATTTTTTGATTAAAAATATTAAATTTCTTCAATCATTTCTGAATAAAACCCAATGAATCCAATTAATCAGGACTTCATCTTTTTATATATCACATAAACTCAAAATCGGGGATCAAAAATTTTTGAGATACTTCCCCAGGGAACTACGATTATTTGAAGGAGAAAAAAATTTCAAATGACTGAGCATCGAATTCTCCAGCTCGATGAATCAGTTATCAAAAGGATTGCAGCTGGAGAAGTCATTAATTTTCCGTCAAATGTTGCAAAAGAGTTATTAGAAAACTCAATTGATGCCGGATCAAAAAGAATATCAACCGAACTTCAAAACGGCGGCTATTCTCTCATTAAGATTTCTGATAATGGCTGTGGAATAAATGCTGCGGATATGCCTTTAGCTTGTCAGCGTCATGCAACGTCTAAAATTCAAAGTTTCAACGATTTAAGGAACGTAACTACATTTGGATTCAGAGGTGAGGCTTTGTTTTCAATGTCCTGTGTTTCTCATCTCAGTATTTTATCTAAAACAGAAGAAAGTTCATTTGGATACTCCGGAAACTTCCAAGACGGAAATCTGATCGGCGAATTATCAACAGTACCCATAACAATAGGAACTACAGTCACCATTTCCGATCTATTCTATAACAAACCGACCAAATTACGAACATCTCCAGATTCAGCCACTCAAAACCGAAAAATCCTACAAATAGTCCAAAGATACGCAATCGCATACCCAGAGATCAGCTTCTCTGTCATCTGCGACGGCAAAGAGAAGATGATGACCCATGGATCTTCATCACATTACGATGTCATCTCATTATTATATGGTATCGATGCCAGATCAGCGACATTTGTCCTTACAGGTGATATCGCGAAGAACACAACCGTTGAAATGTATCTAGGTTCTCCATCGGCCAAAAAACAACTCAAAGAATCAGCGGTTTTTGTAAATGGCAGACTTGTTCAATGCGACCACATTAAAAGGGCGATTAATGCTGTTTACGGCAGTTTCTTGATGAGGGGCGAGAAACCATTTGCTTTTGTTTTATTAAGGATGCCGCCAGATAAAGTAGATGTGAATGTACATCCAACGAAAAAAGATGTTATATTTACTAATGAACAGAGTTTGATTGATAATATATGTGACATTATTTTGGCTGAGCTAAAGAATCAGTCAAAAACAAGGAATTTCTCAGAGAAAACAGAGAAAAAGAAAGATAAGAAAAATGATGATGAAAGATTGAGTTCTTTTGTTTCTTCAAAGGAAATAAAAAGAAAAACTTTGGATGAAAAATATGAAGATCTTGTCGAAGATGATGAAAAAATAACTGTCAATAACCCAATACAAGAAAAATTTAACCAAATTATTGGTTCAAACAGATCTGTTCAAAATAAAAGTGACAAAAATCAAAATGAAGATGAACTAAACGAAGAAGATTCATTCAACACATCAAACAAAGTTATTCAAAATAAAAGTGACATGAATCATGAGGAAGATTCGAATGAACTCAATCAAAATCAAGAAAATTCATTCAACGCATCAAACAAAGTTGTTCAAAATAAAGGTGACAAAAATCAAAATGATGAACTAAACGAAGAAGGTTCATTCAACACATCAAACAGAGATGTTCAAAATAAAAGTGACAAAAATTTACATGAAGAGGAAGAAGAAGAGAAAGATAGTATTGTTGAAGATGATGAAGAATCGCCAAAAGCGAAGATAGATATTGATAGAGAAAATAAAGGAAAATATGAATTATCTCCTGTATCTATAAATGAAGAGAATTTAACAGATATAACTCCTGCTTCTTCATCATCAGATACATCAGATACAGAAAATCCAAGAAAAAGAGCAAGAAGAAATCCTTATATGAAATTATCTTCCGATTTCCAAAATTTACAACAAATTGATGATTTACCAAAAAGTGACAATTTGACAAAACGTGACAGCGATCAAGAAAACTCTGAAATTCCAAAATCAAATATTCCTTCGTCACTTTTCAATAAAAGTGAAGTGACAGAAAAACCAAAACCGAGGGAAAGATCATCTATTTTTGATGAGTTAAAATTCACTCCAAAATCTATGGCAAGAGGAGATCCAAATCTACAAACACTTGAACAAGTCTTGAATATGTCTGCAGCCAAAGAAATGAAAAGGGATCCAACGAAAACGAAAAGAGAAATGAATTTAGTAACAGCAAGTTCACTTTTGTCTGATGAGAAAAAGAATTCTTTTGAACCTTTAATTACTTTGTTTAGAGCTCATTCTTTTGTTGGTTTGATTGGTTTGAAATATGGTTTAATACAAGCAGATGAAACTCTTTACGCAGTACATCTATTCCAAGTCTTCAGAGTTTTGTTTTATCAGTCTTGTTTAAGTAGAATTGGAAACTTTGGAAAAATAGTTTTTGACAAACCGTTAGATGTCAAAATTTTGGCAGATTCTGTAGAAGGATCTGACAGTTTACGTGTCAAAAATATTTTAATAGAACATAGAGAGATGCTTTCTGATTTATTTAATATTGTTATTAATGATATGGGATGTTTAGAAGAGATGCCGATGATTGTTGCAAATTACGAACCTTCTTTTTCTTTTCTCCCTATTTTCTTAGTGAGATTGGCTGAAACTGAGTGGGATGGAGAGTTGGAATGCATCAGTTACATTTGCGATGAATTGTCTATGTTGTATTCTCCTTGTGAAGAAGAATCAAATGATACGAAAAACATCGAAAAAATGAAAAAATCTATCAGAGATGTTCTGTTTCCTGAACTGAAAACAGCTATTTTCTTCCCTCCTGCTGCTTTGATTTCAAATCTTTCTGTTATTAGAGTTAGATCTCTCCATGAAATGTACAAAATCTTCGAAAGAAACTGAAATATTAAATTGTTATTTTTTTATTAAACATTTATCTTTATAAATTAATACTTTACATTATTTCCATTCAATATACAATATACGAGGCAAATTTTGAGGAAATGCATAGTTTGTCGATCATAAAACTGTTAAATTCAATCCAAAATCTGAGAACACAGAAAAATTACATATTTTTTTTTATTGAGGGATTATAAACCCATTTTTTGAACAAGGAGTATATTGTTACAAATAATTCATTACATACTTGCATTAAAGCTTTCAATGAGCTAGCTGGCACAATAATTATTGATTATTGAGAATATTGAGTGAGGGAATTGATTTTCAACTTATTGAAGGTTTTAAAATGATATTATAAGCTATAATTAAAGTCAATTTTGTATTTAAGCACCAAATACATCTTCTTTATTTATCTTATGATGTCAAAGTTTGAAATCATTTGGGAAACTAATAGTAATCATTATGCTCATAAACTTTACAGCTAGTTGATATATATATTCTCTAAAATTATTGTACCATATTTATTAATAACTCATTACATTTTTTGTAGATTATTAAATATTATAGATCCAAGTGATAATGATTCCATAAATGATAGAATTTGTGGAGATTAAAAAAAAATATGAAAAATTTTGTTACATATAGATATAATTTACAAGTCATGGACAAATTTACATTTTATTAGATACACAAACATCACTCTCTTCCATTAACTGGATAATGTTGCTCCAATTATTTTTATTATTCTGAATAAACGGGTGGTTGACTAATTCAGCAGCTGTCATTCTTTTATCAGGATCTTTGTCAAGTAATCCTCTAAGAATGTCCTTCAAATCCTTCGGTAGAATCGGATAATCAGGAAATGTAAGATCTCCCAACGGTTGTATTCTAGAAATATTGTTTTTAACCATATCTTGCCCTGACGTATCATATATTTTTTGTAAATCGTATGGATATGTTCCATAAATCAAGACATATGTTGTTACGCCAAGACTCCACATATCCGCTGGTTTTGGCTTATACTGTTCTTGATTGGCAACCTGTGGCGCCATGAAGAATGAAGTTCCTATTTCTCCTGACAATAATTCGTTTGGATCATGTAATTTTGCAGAAACAGAAAAATCACAGAGAGCAAATGTCGTATCAAAAATCAAAACATTCTGTGGTTTGATGTCTCTGTGAACATATCCGTTTTCATGCATATACTGTAAAGCGCTGCCAATTTGATCTAAAAATCTTACAGCGTCATAAATTGTTAATTCCGGTTGCTTTGTGATTTCAAATGCTCCATATTTTGCAAGAGGCATCGCGATTACATATTCATTGTTTGCCGTTAAGAATGAGCTTAAAATTGGAAGGCAATTTGGATGGTTTAATGAACTAGCAATTTCGATCTCGCGTGGTTTTTCATTTCCAAAGCGTTTGTCTTTTCTAAATACTTTTAATGCGATGATATCGGTGGAACCGATTTTTGTTGCAGAATAAACTGCTGCTTCTGCACCCTCGCCGATCTTTTTAAGTATCGCATAACCCTGTATCTCGGTCACTTCTGAGTTTTCCGATGCAATATCCGGTTTTGAGTTGATTGTATATTTATCTTCGATCAAACTCGAAGCAAAATCATCACAAAACCGATTAATTGGATTGTCTATTGATATCAGAAGCGACGAGGGGTTAACGTCGGCGAGATTGTTCCGTTCGCTATGCTCCCTCGATAAAAGCGCGCCCAAAACAAAAAATATAGGCTCATATTTTTATAGATTGAAAATGAAAATATAGCATATTGGATGATATTAGCATATATTAATGAAAATACATTCAAACGATAAGCTAGGTAGTTTTTAAATTTTTCAGAAGGGAATTTAAAATTGAAAAAGAATTATTTGTTCAGCCATTTAGGATTCAACGTGCATTAACTAAATCCAAACTTTATTTGCTATTTTATATTTTTGATAGAGCTCTTTCAAAATGTAATACCATTAATTACAACTTAACTATAATTTAAAATCATAAAAATCTTGAAAATTCTAATTGTTAACAATTTTCAATAGCCTCCTCATTATTTGATTGACGATGTCAAATTCAAATTTCTTAAATTTTCGTACTCTGTTTTACTATTTTGAATGGTAAAATATAATGAGGGAGACTTAACATGTTTAACAATGACTATTTTAATATTTCTTTTCAAGATTACATCAATGGATTTTTGAAACTCAAGAATACAGGTATTAAATTCGAAAAGATCATAATGGGATATTGTTTCAAACTATTTGGTCTTATTAAAATCAAATAGTATTGTCTCAATGACTCTTTACCATAAGAATTTTTATATTTACACGCTTTTGTCACTTTTCTATGAGTGTGCATCATCATGAATTAGCAAAAAAGTTTTTCGAGCATTTTTTTAAGCTTGCGACTAAGACAGAATCAATAGACCCATTCTTTACAGAAACATGCAACCTTACCTTCGGAGATGAACAATTTTCTGGTAAAGAAGCTGTTTTAGAGAAATTAGCCCCTCTGTTACCATTGACACCTTGTACAACACATAGCTTTGTCGAACAGCCATATTCAAATGGCCGATGCATTGTAACAGCAAACGCAAGAACAGAAATCCAACCAAAAATAGATGTTACAGAAAATGTTACCTGCGTTCACTTCATAATTACATTCTTACTTGCAGAAATTGACGTTTCAATTCATAGATATGGCATAACGCACATTATAGTTTTGCCAATTGAGCAATAATTTCATACAATATTTAATATTATATGTATGTTTTATAAATACTTTAATAATGAAATTTATTATTCCATCCCTTATCATTGTAATGTTTTAATATGTTTGATTATCTTAATCATTGAAGTTAAACCTCACTGTTCCTTAATTCATGCCTAAATATAAAAAAATTGTAATTTTCAATTTCAAATAATATTATTATTTAAATATTTTATGCTTCATCCTGCTATAATATGAATTTTTAAGATTTTTGCAGTCCAGTTGCTCAGATATAACTCAAATCAAAAAAAAATTTTATTCGATTAGCAATAGTATTTTTACTTTAAAAAGAAAAACAAATAACCAATATGGTTTTGTTACTTCTATTGTCACTTCAAGAATTTTTGTTTTGATAGGTGCACGTTTAAAATATGTCAAGTTCCTCATCTTCACATTCTTCAAGATTATCTTCACCACGAATTCAATCACCACTCCGTTACAATAAACCGAGTAATTCATTTGTTGAAAAAATCAAGGAGTTTCTTCACTCAAATCATTATATTTTTTTCACATTAGTAATTTCTCTGGCTCCATTATTCAAACTTGCGACTCTAAAAGTTACGATATATTGTCCAATATCTCATTCATCTTCAGTTTGTGTTCAATGTCCAAAGCATGCAATTTGCAATTTTGTCGAGTTTGAATGCATCGAAAATTACACTAAGTTTAATAAAATATGTATTCCTTCAGAAGAAGCATATTATTATAATGAATTATATAACGATATTTTTAATTCTTTCACTACCGATAATAATATTGTTCTTCAACAGCTTGAAAAGGAAAAGTTAATCAAAATTATTGAATCAAACAAACGATATTCTGTTGATGATAATGGAGATATTCATATGATACTTATTCCAAGTCTTATTTACACCATAATATCATCTATATGCTTGTTTTCATTACTGCAATGCATCAGATTTATTTTCTGAATGGATAAAATTTTCTTCATGAAGCCATTATTACCTCAATTATTGTTCAGTAGATCTTAAGATCAAAGTTAGCAGCAAACATCATTCCTCTATTCTGTTTTCCTGATCAACAAAATTTAATTCAAAAAAAGCACAGTTTAGGCTGGAACTAATACATATTGCATTTTTGGAATGCGTAATTTTAAATTTATAGTTGTGATGTCGATTTTCCTAATAAATAATTTTGTTTGAATAATATCAATTGAATTATAAGAAAGCAAACTTATTTTATACACAGTTATGTTATGTAAAAGATAATGAAGCCTCATTTAGATCCAAATCTACATTAATATTGAAAAAAATTTCACATTGACGTTCATTGAACCAAATTTCCTGAATAGAGAGAGACTTCATCGATTATAAAGATATAGGCCAATAATGTGCACATTGTACCTGACATATGAAGCATCATAAAAGTTTGTATGGACTCAATGAATCACTTCCTTTTGATTTCGAAATATATTATCATTTTTTATTATGTTATGAAAATTAAACGAAAAGGTAGCTAAATGACAGCAAAATTGGATATGAAGAAAGTAAATTGTTTATTGAAGAAACGCTTTTTTCGTTTTTTCTACAATTGCATATAAAATATTCACAAATAAGGATTTGTGATGAAAAATATTTTAAGAATTGGGTAAATAAATCGTTAGATTTTAGATTATATTAATAATTTCTTCTTACAACAAGATTATGGTAACAATGGCTGTGTATGATAGTGGGAGTATTGATAAATTGCACTAAAATTTGATATGTTTCAGAAACTATTTATAGTATGTTCAAAAATATTAGAATTCAATAACATACGGTAGCATTAACTGTAAGCAATCAATATTAAGTGATTGAAGAAAATCGATATCAATATTTAAAAATTTCGAGACTTTTTTGACTGAAATCAATTGCCTTGGACACCAGGAATGAAGTTCTCCTCGATGAATTTTTCTAAATTTTTTTTATTATTGAAAATGCCTAAACAATTTTCCATAAAATGAAATCGTTTTTTACTATTCTCAATTTTTTTTTGGAAACTGAGGTTAAAATCCATTAAGAATTCCAATTAATTCAGAAACAAAGCAATTTTATGATATTCTAAATCCATAGATGGGTTTTATTTTTATTATTCTATATTTTTTCTTCCAGAAAATATCAATTATACATTAGATTCAAATAATTATTTTTCAATGACATATAAAAGAAGCTTATTTTCCAAAATTTTAAATCATCTCTAATTATTTGTCAAACATAATAAGGATGTCAATTCGGAAAATTGTTTTCATTTTAGGAGAATATAATTTTCCTTTTCGAAAATTTAAAAAGTGAGACGCGCAGGATTCGAACTTTTTTAAAAGTTGATTTAAATATATACTAGTGTGGATTCTAAGGATAATATCATATTTAAAATAAGAATATACTAGTTTAGGTGGTATAATTTTTTTTGATAAATTTGAGAGCATGTACGTTTAGGACATCAAAAGTGTCAATTCGCTCAGCGAAAGCTGAGCTAGCTTCGTTCTCGAAAGAATAGGGAAGGAGTGAAAGAGAGTGATACAGATGTTGACACATTCATATCATTTCAACAAATTTTGATCAAATTGAAATGCAATGAAATTCAATTCACTTCATATCCTTCAGTCAGTACATTGACATCCTTCTACATCACAATGATAACTCGTGCATCAATAGTTCTACAACTAACTCAGAAAAAACAAGATTTTTCCTTCCAGCTTACAGCTTTTAAAAAGTTTCGATGATAAAAATCACTCTACTCTTGTTTATCGATATGTTGTGATAGTAGGTAAACGTATTCTTATCGATATTAATAAAAATATTTTTACGAAAATCTGAACCAATTACAGAGTTATTCATAAAGTTTATGATAACTGTAATTACTTCATCTTTGTTTTATATTTGAATAAACAATTTAATTTAATTTGCATAATTTTTTTTAGTTGAAAGACAGGAAACTTAGTTGAGTTTGTATTATTTTTATCGTTCAATTCATTGTATATGTGAGTGATCCAGATATTTAAGGGTCCACTGTAAGGCCAAATAAGGTCTATCGTCGTCCCAAAAATATTGCTCGAGATGGTGTTTTACTAAGGCCCAAAACTTAAAAAAACACAAAAAAATTAACTTTACTCTTTTGAGATCCTTATCAGATATGCATCAATTTGATGCAGTATCGCAGTTCAAATCTGATTTTTTAATGTAGATGTACTCTAACATCCTTTAAAAAATGCAAAATGATATTAATTAAGCTTTTCATTTCTGTATCATACACGAAACAAAATCGTTCATTATACTAAAATTTATCAAAGTTTGATTAATGAAAAAATAATATCTAAATTTTTACATTGAGTCGGCTATTGATATGGTTAATATTAAATCTTGTAAAAATTGGCATTATCCAGAATAATACCCACTAAAATACACAATTTTTTTTTAAAAAAATTTTAATCAATTGTTATGGTATATCTTTATGATAATGAATAAAATGCTTATTTTCATAAGTAAATACATAATTTATGCTTAAACACAAAAAATAACACGTGAAAATTTTTGGCCAACATATCAAAACTAAGGATAATGGTTTGAATATATAAACAATAATACTTTGTCCAGGGAATTAAATTTGTGCTATCCAATTGTCAATTCTTTGAATTTTTTTAAATGCAAGATATCCGGCATTAGCCTCAATAAATATATATATTATGCATCATAATATTAGTTTGTAATGGCATTAAAGCGAAATTCCTAATTTCTTCTCAATTAAATTCCTTGAAAAACATTGGAATTAATGATTGGAAATAGGTCAAAAAATTCCTAATATAAAACTTATACTTAAAATAAAATTAAAATTCGAAAATATCTATTTTTCAAAACACGCATCCAAAAGCGAAAAAATTCGAAAAAATCGTGTTCTTATAAAACTCACTGATTTTGCAATTTTTTGAGATTTGAAGTGATAGATATATTACCATCTTATTGAAACATATGCTTCATTGTTGTATTCACATAATATTAATCAGAACACTAGGAAAAGTGGATTTTCGAAAAATGACGATAACGATTATTTGCAAATCGCCTCTCAATTTTGAGAGACTTTCAATTTTTACAGTGGACCCTTAAGATATTTAGAAAAAATTTATTAATTTGATTAACAAATTTTAATCAAAATAGCAAAAATCTATTTGATAGCTGTAAGCAAATAATAATTTCTATTTCAACCAAAATCAATTATTTTCATCTAAACGTATAAAATTGTCAATTTTATGAGAATAAATTTAAAATCTCATGAAATATAAAGGAGAGTAATATTTTTCAATTTTCTTTTTTTCTTTCTCTCAAATATTCTATTTGGAATTTTCTTGTTATCAAAAAATAATTTTAATATTTGTTTATTTCATTACATACAATAAAATTTTAAAAACTCTATTTCTTCACAAGAAAATTTTTTTCCTTCATATGAAGAAACATTTTGTTCTCCATTTGATGCTGAGTCTAAATCTCGATTTTTGAATTTTCTTCTTTCCAAATTTCTTTTTTCCAAATTAGAAGTTTAATTCAAATTTTCAATAGTTTATATATTTTCTCAAACCGTCTTAGATTTTCTCACTTTTTAGGGATTTTCTCTCAAAATATACAAAAATAGTAATACCAATACATGGGTCTAATATACTTTAAAACCATCGTGATAAAATTCAAAAACGAAGTGTTCTTCTCTCCAAATTTTTTTCAAAATCAAAAAAATGAGATAAAAAAGCACATTTGGAAAATTCATTTTTAGCATTTTAGGAATTTTCTCACTTTTCTTCCAAATTGACATCCTTAAACATAATATAAAAGTATATATAGATCACAAGGAATTGTAAGCAATATAAAATAAAATCTGGTTCAAATTAAGGATTTGCTTTATATGTTTAAAAAACACTGCAAACATCTTGAAAACAATCAAATATATCATGATTTTATTCAAAGGTAAGTTCTGGATATAGATTACGATTTGCATTTCGATAATAAATCTGAATAAAATGTGTATGGAACTCGCATTTCAGATTTACCATCATAGCCATTTTATAAGTTATTGACTATTGATACAGAACAAGCAAAATTAGAACTGTATCTCTTAATCAAACGGAGATTAAGCTAAGATGTTTGAGATTTTATCGCTTGATAGTATGCATAATACTATACCAGGATGACTAGTCAATCTGTTGTTTCAATTTTATTTTAAATTTATTACACCAAAATAGTACCTGGGCTATCATTGGTAATACGTAAGGTTGCTACTGTTGTAATATTTCGAAAAAATAAAGGTATCAACTTTAATGCAAGATATGATGAGTTGAACTTCGAATAATTAGATTTTTGCAATATTAATATTCTTCAACCACTAGTATATCATTGTTTCATACTAATAACTTGGATCAATTCCGTTTCAACGATTAGATAAGGCATAAACAATATACTCAGTTGCCACTTTTTGGGACTAACAAATGAATTCTCTCTTTTTCCTGAATATTTAGCAAAGCTTACTTCATACTGTGATAATCCGTAATTCTTTAATTTCATCGAATGAAATTTAATTTGTTTCAATTTTTGAAAAGATTTGTCAAAATTTTAAAAATGGAAGAAATTGATAATACTTCACTTGCTATTAACAGACGCATACAAGCAATTCAAGAAAAAATATACCAAGGCGAGAGTGATAACGATTTTGAAGTAAGGTCAACTGATTCTCATCAATCAGGGTCACATAATCTTGAGTTTTTTGACGATGAATGGCATCCAGTTATTGAACAAGTAGATGAAGGCCACTTCGATGAATCTATGCGTCTGATAGAAGAAATTTACAAAAAATTAGTTGAAGATAAAGCAGAAAAATCCCTTCTAATCGATAAAGCCGATAGGAATTATGTTGACAGTAAAATTAAAGATGTAGAGGAAGATGTTTATATCGCACTAAAGCAAAAAGTTGAAGAAATTTATTTACCTGTCCAAGATAGAATTGATCAGATGAGAAATAATGCCGATGCAATACATCAGTATTTTACACAAACATCATTAACAATTAGAAAAGAACTAACGGCTTTACGTAAGAAATATGAGCAAAAAGATGAGCCTGAAGCACCTAAAATCCATCCTATATCTTCACCACCACAACATTTTCAAAAACCACGTTCAAAAACAGAGCCAACATGTGCGGTACTAAGTTCTCCTTATAAAAGACAAATGCCATATCATTCACCTTTGAAACAAAAGAAGAAAGTACCTGTTCCAGAGCTTCCAGAGCTCATGATATCACATCATGATATTTAATTTTTCATCATGATTTTAATTCCATACATTAGTAATCGTACATCTTTACATGGATAATACTTACTAGAAATTACGTTTTCTCCTTCTACCACGGTGATTTTGAAATTGATTTTTCCGTTGTCTTTATGAATTCTATGAGTTGACATTTAATTCATTTTATGAACGACAATGCAACTAATATATTCTATCCATAAGTGCCTCTTTAGAATATCGAATAATTTTATTAGAAGATTTATCGTATTGTTATGTTTTTTAGTTTAAATTTTACATGAATAACCTCTATTTTTATTTGCCATACATGTGTTAGATAAGCATAATTTAATATCAAAGGTATTTTTGTCAAATATGGGAGATATAAAGTTCTGCTCCTTTTAATCATTGCATCATTCCTAGCAAATGGGAGATTTTAGATGACAAATTTACATATTCTCTCATTAATACTTTCAATATTGATAAAATACCTTAATGAAGCCTTTATTAAATGAAATTTTAACATTTCATTGGATGGTTGCATGTATTATTAGAGAATTCTTGTATTTGATACCGAGGAAAAAATAATAAACAGAATTTTATTTTTGGGAAAATTTGATGATAGATAATAAAATAGCTCCGAAGAGTCCGTACTTTTTCAAGTCAACCATGAGTTTTGTTGATTCAGATGACGAAGACTTCAATGAGAGCAATTACAATCAAAATTCATCGATTTATGGCAAAGAAAGAGTTTTTACATTAATAATTTCAAAGAAAGGAGAAAAGGTTGATCTCCATCCTGCTCGAACACGTGAAATGCATTTTCGCTTTTCTTTTGACCAAAAAACAATTGAAGATATACCTCCAACTCAAGTTATTCCAAATAAATCGCAAAATAAGAATAATTTTCAATTAATAATGCAAGATTCTCATACAATACAGCAAGAAAGTTCAGATGAATTCGAAGAATCCGATAATTTTGAAGAAGAGGAAGAAAATATCCAAGAATACATTCAAGAAGAGGAAGAAGAATTTGAAGAGGAAGTTAATGAACAGAATCAATTTGTTGGATCTTCTGATGTTGAAGAAGAGAAATATGAACCAGACACTCCATTAAAAATACAAGATTTGGCAACATATATTGAACCAGATCAGGAAGATGAGTTAGATGAAAAGAATTCTGCCGAAAACATTCTTACATTTAATGAAGAAGAAGAATTTAGTGACGACATAGTTACAGCACCACCGGTACAGAATAATGTAGTAAAACAACCACCACCAATCGATAATCATCAAAAACAAATCAAAATCGATCCGAAAAATGTGAAACAAGTTGAGAAAAAGGAAGCAAACAAGCCAAAGATAATACCAAAAGAAAAAGAAACTGCAAAAACAGCATATATACCCGAAACTAAGAATCAAAACCATACTACTTTCGATCTTCCAAATAATACAATGTCGAGTATATCTCAAACACGAAGTAAACTTGTCATCCACTCAAAAATACATACAGATACAAGATCCACGATAGAACCAACTTCACAAGTTGAACCAGAAAGAAAAAGAAGACCATCTCAAAGGCCAGAGCTTAAGCACAGATCAACAACAATATGCTGATACTATGTTCTTGTTATATATTCCATATGATATATATATTTGTTTTTTTATTTTAATGTTTGAATTATTAATTGTAGTAAAAATTGTTTTCTATAACAACTCACACTCTAATTTAATATGATAAGTCGATCCTATTATAAGAATTATGCCAAATGAAAAATTTATTATTTTGATAAATTTATTTTGTAAAAAAACTATCAACTAAGCTATGATATTTCTCCCATTATTTATAACACCTTCATTAATTTCAAAATCTATGGCATTCAGCTCATAACATATTCATTTCTTGCTTATTTGTGATGTAATTTACGGTACCACAAATAACTTCAATTTTTTGAATCATTGAGCCATCTTCACATGCCAAGAAATTTTACAGTTTTATTAATAAAAAACTGCCATCTCGTGGATTCGTTTGAACTCAAAACTGTGACCAAATGGAACTAATTATTTTGAATAATTTGCATGCAATATTTCCCAAAGATCTAAATACGGGATTTATGGCACCTTATAATGAAACCAAGTAAGAAGGCCTATTTAATGATAACTTTTAAAAAATTGATTTTAGATTCACAATTTAAATCTTGTTATCAATATTTCTAGTAATTTCGATCGAATAATGATAGTTTCCTTATTGTAGATAAGAAAATTACAAATTAGATAATAAGTTACTGCTAAAAATATCAAAGATTTTTAAATTTCTTTTTTTATAGATTGGAATGGCATTATTGATTAAATTCGGAAATGGTTTTAATTTACTTATTGTTTTTACTAGTGTTGTAAACAGAAATTCATCAAAAGTGACACCTCAGAAAAGCTAAAATATTGAATTTTTGGAACTTTTGATAGAGCACGTTTTTAAATATTAATTAAAGTAAATGTATATTTTGTAAAGATTCTTTTTAATAAAAAAATAAAATTTTGAAGAAGAACACAAAATCTTCTGAAAAATAATATCACATAAACTCATATTATTTTCTAATATATAACTATTTTATATAAAAATCAAATTCAATGATCTTAAAAGCGAAGGATAAACCTCAAAATTTACGAATATAATGAGTGGGAATATAATGCTTATCTATCATAAAACCATATGAAATATCAATTTTTGCTTTACGCCTAATTTTTGACGACAATTAGCAAAAAATGTTAAATGTTAACACTCAGTCCATTTGAATATGAAAAATAAAATTGACTTTGATTAAATGTTTTTATTTATCATGCAATTCTTCTTGCGACCAAAGATTTGAATAAAAGTTCAAAAAATAAGATAGCTTAAAAAATAATATACGGTAGTGTTTACTAATAGATGAATAGTATATAAATTCTATTAAAATGGATTTGATCCAAAAAAATATAAAACCAAAAATAATTGTTATAATTTAAATGAAGAAGTAATTTAAAACGATTTTATTTATGATCAAATTTTATATATTTTTTTGGATCAAATCCATTTTAATAGAATTTATATACTATTCATCTATTAGTAAACACTACCGTATATTATTTTTTAAGCTATCTTATTTTTGAACTTTTATTCAAATCTTTGGTCGCAAGAAGAATTGCATGATAAATAAAAACATTTAATCAAAGTCAATTTTATTTTTCATATTCAAATGGACTGAGTGTTAACATTTAACATTTTTTGCTAATTGTCGTCAAAAATTAGGCGTAAAGCAAAAATTGATATTTCATATGGTTTTATGATAGATAAGCATTATATTCCCACTCATTATATTCGTAAATTTTGAGGTTTATCCTTCGCTTTTAAGATCATTGAATTTGATTTTTATATAAAATAGTTATATATTAGAAAATAATATGAGTTTATGTGATATTATTTTTCAGAAGATTTCATTCTATATGCCTATGAAAAGTACTCTCAAAACTAACTTTTTCCTAATTATAATTAAATCTAGAATATTGTATTATGCTTAGTATTATTTCATTTTTCTCATTCAATTTAGAATTTACAAATGTCAAAAAATTGAGAGCTGTCACTTTTGATGAATTTCTGTTTATTACACTAGTTCTCGTTTGGATGTCCAAGACTCCAAGAATAGCTAGCCATCAAAGAATAATATACATGAGCACGTTGTAATACGTTATTTTTCATAAAATTGTGTTGTGATATTTTTAAAATTTATGCTCATTTGTGATTTTTTGAAAATTCAAAGGGTAACTATATATTTGAGTGTGGGCACGTTAGAACTCTGAATTTCTGAATACCTTTGAATTTTTAAAAGTCTAAAATTCAATGGTTAGCACTAAATCATTTTTCATTCTGTAGTATAAAAGCATTAGAATAAATTTAAAAATTATCAGTAATAACCATTTTTATTCATCTCTGAGAGTTTGATTAATTTCAGGATAATTACGCTTGAAATATATGTTAAATTAAATAATATATTTATATGACTCTAATGAAGCATAACTTTCATGATTCTCATCTCATTTTTAAAAAGTTTTCCTTCAAAAAAATCAATTTTGATAATGTTTTTTGAGAAAATCAAAGCAATATTGGTGGTTTCAATTATAGTTATATAAATATCCAAAAACGCTACATGGTGTTTGATCTTTTTTATTCTATATTATTTATGGAAGATTAATAAAATAATTCATCAACTAATATTCTTTTTAAATCAAATGTAAAATTAATTTGAAACAGTAACCTAGATAATTTTTCTAATTTCAAACTAAAAAATGGCAAATATCATCTTTGGATTAATAAATATACATGGCCTTTTGATTCTTTATTAAGTTGTACATCATTCACAGCAAATTGTTTTGTTGAACTTCATAACAGTGCCCATTTAAAATTATTTTTTTTGTCAAAATTTGCTAAAAATTCAAAAATTGAATCAGAAAAGCACGTTAATTGGAATAATGTGATATATTTAAATTAGCGGCTCGGATAGGTCTAATATTTTATTTGAAATATTGTCAAAGCTCAGAAATAGTATACATTTTTACATATTTCCCAAAAAGTGACAATAATTTAATTAGACTATTTATCAATGATTACCATGAATTACATATAGATTTTTTTCGGATAATAGAGATAATTCAAATAGTCGTCACGTTTTTTCTCATTTTAAATTTTGAGAGAAATAAAAAAAATCATAAATGCAAACTGCTGAAAGAAAGTTTGTGATACAGAGAGCTCCATCGAAGAAGAGGACCACCAAACGTTATTCAGACTATTTGAATAGGATTGCTGAGAGGCGCAGACTCCTTGGAAGCAAGTACTTTGATGTCGAAAAGACTGTTAATTCATTCCTAAAATCCCAAAAAAAGAAAGACTTACTAGCCTTTGTATCCAAAGTTAAGATTCAATTTAGACAGAAGATAGAGCGTGTATTGAGTCGTACCAAAGAAGGAATTTATATTTGGTTATGTGAACATTGGGATCAGGCAAGTCAATTAATAACTTTCAATGGAGACACAAGCGAAGAATCTAGTTTTGCTCAAACAAACTCAACAATTGATATATGGGATGGATATTGTAATACTTTTGAAGATGAATTTCTGGAATTCTAATAGTTATCATTTGTTTTATTTACTATCTATTTAAAAATCTCGAATTTTCAAAACTTTTTTTATTTTTTTTTGCGGATCCGTCTGTGACTCACTATATTTAGATAGGGTCTAAAAATAGTTTTATAATAAGATAATGAAGAAATATTAATCATGAGGTTTTTGTATTTTAATTGAATTTTTTTGAGGATGTTTTATTGTCGTCTGGAAAAAGTGACAAAATTATTATTGTCGTCTAAAAAGGTGACAAATTATTATTGTCGTCTGGAAAAGTGACAAAATTATCATTGTCGTCTAAAAAATAGATTTTTCAAGCATGTTTCGGTACCTAAATAAAGGAAGAACATCAATTCCATCTATGCATATAGTATGCAAACACGCATGATATATGGAGTAGCTCTTTATCTGGCTAAAAATCCTATTATTTGAAAATTCGCATTGTCGTCTAAAACCGCCAGACGACAATAATAATACCCCAATTTTTTAGAGTGGATCCAAATGAATAACTATTCAATTTTCTGAATATTCTCAAAAATCGGGTATCTTATATTTCTTTTAATAGTATAGGAATAGAAGATGGAGAACATTTTTTTAAAATTGAAATAAAGCACGTTAAACATAACATATTATATTATTATTAATATACAACATATACATTCATATGATTAAGTTTTCAGGAAATGTCACTTTTCATTTTTTACCAATTTATATGTCATTTTACAAATTTGTATTCCATAAGTGACAGTCGATTTGAATTTTGTGAGCTCAATATTTATTATAAAATTTTGGAAAGGCAAATCTTTGTTTAGACAATAAATAACTTTCTCATTAATACCCTACGTTCCCAACTTCTGGAAAACGGTTTTTCACCCTTATGATCAGTTTCAGACACTTTGGGAATCTCCCAAACTTTGATATTTTGCATTATGATAGAGAAACGTGTCTAGTTTAACGCACAGTTGTTTTAAAGGCAAATGATAATATCACATGAAATTATCAAATTATCAAATTTTGAAGTACCAGTCCAAAGGGTTAATTAGATCCTACACAGATGTGCGATAGTGAAACATATGTGTTCTTGATTTGAGAAGTCCTACTGATAGAGGTATGAATCTCACAGCTTTGTGTGAGTGTGTCTGACACTTGTATAGAGTGGAATATGCGCCGACATATATTATATAATAACATGTAGTTGATAATTATGAAAAAATAGAATTCGATGCGAATGATATTGAAAGTTGTTTTGTAATTTGATATTTTTCTTATATGTGTTAATTAGTAAATGGCTTGTTTGTTGTGATCGTACTGTGAAAAATGAAAGGTATTTTAAATTAAAAAAATGAGATTTTGAGATATCTCTAGAATTAAGAATTTATTATGTATTTGACTTTTATATAACTATGTGTAAAGGATCTCGATGTCTATATGCTTTAAATAAAATTAAATAAAATGAGATAAAAAATTAAAATGGACAAGAAGATATATGGAAATGTAATTTGTATTGTATTGGTTGTTGGCAAAATGATTTTAATACAGATTTAAGGATTTGGAATGGATTTGAAATTAAATGATTTTTATTCAAGGAATAATAAGATTTTGAACTGGTTTTTATTTTGAGAATGTAAACTCCTTCCATAGGATATGTATTAGAAAGATCAATTTTAAACTTTTTGAAAGAATTGTTTTTTTGTTGAGTGATTTTCTCTCATTTGATAATATATTTAAGTTGGCGTATCTTACGCCCTTCCAAAAATATGTATTAGAAAGATCAATTTTAAACTTTTTGAAAGAATTGTTTTTTTGTTGAGCGATTTTCTCTCATTTGATAATATATTTAAGTTGGCGTATCTTACGCCCTTCCAAAAATATGTATTAGAAAGATCAATTTTAAACTTTTTGAAAGAATTGTTTTTTTGTTGAGCGATTTTCTCATATTTAATAATATATTTAAGTTGGCGTATCTTACGCCCTTCCAAAAATATGTATTAGAAAGATCAATGTCAAACTTTTTGAAAGAATTGTTTTTTTGTTGAGTGATTTTCTCTCATTTGATAATATATTTAAGTTGGCGTCTCTTACGCCCTTCCAAATATTTCTTAAAAATTTAAATTTGTCTCATCTCCTACTCTTAATTTAAAAAAATTTCAAAATCCATAATAGTAAACATTTCTTATTTTTATTTAAATCTGAAAAAAATAAATTTAAACAATTTCTCTACACACGACGGCTTCGGCGGTTTTCAGAATGGTTGACAACTGAATTCATCAGGATAATGTCGGTTGGGGTGCCCTTCTTGGCCTCCTGAGTACTCACCAAGATACCCCCAGCTCCCGCAAAACACCTCCCATAGGTGAGCATTAACTGATGAAGTTATTGACAACTTTATCTGATTTTTTTCTTTGTTTTTTTGTTAAGATTTCTTAACCAAAGACTCAAAAACAAAACTTCGCTTCAAGTTGCTGTCTTCCCAGTTACTCTGTCGCAATCTTTTGTCTGATTGCGTGCAAAGTTCTGCTCCTTTGAGACTCTGCCCGACAGATGCATCTGGGAGACAGCACCCAAGCAGCTTATCGCTTCAAGTTGCTGTCTTCCCAGTTACTCTGTCGCAATCTTTTGTCTGATTGCGTGCAAAGTTCTGCTCCTTTGAGACTCTGCCCGACAGATGCATCTGGGAGACAGCACCCAAGCAGCTTATCGCTTCAAGTTGCTGTCTTCCCAGTTACTCTGTCGCAATCTTTTGTCTGATTGCGTGCAAAGTTCTGCTCCATGAATTATCAAATATGTGCCATTTCAGGAGAGATAACAAGCTCATGCCTCCTGGAATGGCGGATTGTTCAACAATCTTCTTCTGATTGCAGAACTTTCAACCGACAAGAGTGCACAATACACTCTTGTCGGTCACAGTTTCGCATTCAAGTTATGAATGGGGAACTTGATATCATTCTGTGAGACATACAGTGACAATGTCTCCCGGAATGAGACACTTTGACCGACAAGAGTGCACAATACACTCTTGTCGGTCAAAGTTTCGCATTCAAGTTATGAATGGGGAACTTGATATCATTCTGACATCAGTGACAATGTCTCCCGGAATGAGACACTGTACCGACAAGAGTGCACAATACACTTAATGTTTTCAAATTTTCAGATTTAAATTTAATCTTTATTTTCATCATCATTTATAGTCTTGTTCCTTTATACAGTTATAATAAATTATCGTCAGATTCTAATATTTAAGATTCTTACTACTCAATTCAATATAATTATGTTAGTCACTCATATTCAGGAGAATAATTTAAAAATCTATAGCTCATATTTTGATAGTTATATATTTAGATGATATATATTGCAATTCCGGTTTCAACACGATCAAATGCCAAACCAAGACAAAATATATATGAAATTTCAAAATATCGATTTACATTAGAATCTATATCTAATTTTATCAATACACAAGTAGTTAATGTTCAATACATCTTTGAGCAACGTGAATAGCACAATTTTATAGGATTATTAGTTGATTATATAAAATATAAGCCAAATCGAATCTGCTATATAGTACTTTAGTTTATCATTGAATGTTAAATGTGTTCATATAAATATTTGAGTCAGATATCGCATTTTCTAATTTCAAAATTTATCTCATGAAGTTAGAATTTATTTGATCATACAACATCATGTTAGTCAAACCAGAGTTCAATGGCGATTCTAAAATGGAACAAATGCTTGTTTTATCAAAATGTTAAAATATTAATCTAAAAAACTTAATATCTAACCAAACCATTCTAGAATTATTATATACAGGTATGGGCAATCTAAATGCACACGGAATTCGGAAAATTAAAAAGAATATTTATGAGATTATTAAATCTTATGTAATTCAATGAAAAGTAGATAATATGAATATCCATAGGCTATATATCAACATATGAGTTTTTGGTTTGACCAATACTATACTAATGTGATCAAATTAATCTGATTTCTTAGATTTTCATTTGAAGCATTTGCAGTAGTAGGGGTACCTTTATATATTAACATATTAAAAAATTGCGCTCCGATTCGCAGTTTCTTCATGATTTTGAGATTGCATTAGATTTCGCGATGCAGAAAAAAATCACTTTAGATTCCCGTCAAACTCTAAGTATAAGCATGTCTCTATATGTAGAAACTGTCTGCGCTATTTATTTCCCGGCTCAAAAAACCACGGTGTCTGTGTGAGGAAAATACCCATTTTAGGACCCTGGGTATTTCTTGATTTTTTAAAAATTATTTGCTTTACTTGTTTTATTAATATTCTATTATAAAATTTTTCTTTATATCCTTGGTTCCATTTGCAAGGATCTAATGCAATTTTTTTTTCGAAATCTTTTGATTTAAAAATAGTCTGAATGAGATTACAATTCAATATCCTTCTAGAAGTACTTATCTATGTCATGTCATTTGATTAATTGGATTTATGGTTTCACAAATAATTTGTGGAAATAAAAATGGATTTTTTAAAACGACGATAACGATCATTTTCATTCCTCTTCAGAAAATTGAAGTGAATTCAATAAATTATGACTTGATTTGTGAAAATTTCTGATGTCAGAATTATTTTTATTTGCAACCAGATTCATAAATTATCAAAAGGAATCTCACATACTATGAATTCGTGAGTAATCACGGTTTTTTGAATTGACTTTAATTCCGGAATAATTATCTGATGAAATCCACCATTTTATGGGTCAATTTGTTCTATTAAAATATTGTATTATGTTGTAATCTAGCAAATATTCATAGTTATATTGATGGAATCACATCTAAACAGAAACAGCCGAAAGTGTTTCCGTATAAGCGTATACAAATAAACATATTTTCCAAACATATTATAATTATATGTGACTAATAAGAATAATCATGGGATAGAAAATATTGAAGATATTTTAAAATTTCGGAAACCCGAGAAATAATATCGATTAGTTTAATATAAATGATAATCCAGAAATACAAATGATGGATATTTATGTTCAATTATGAGGTAATCATTTATAAAAGCGTGAATATCAATAAATATAGAGGAATAACAAGCAAATATAAAGACTGATCCCTTAAATGAATGTTATCGAGAAAAATTTAAGATCATTATTTATTTTATTGATGAAATAAGGGTTTCGTTTTGCGAAAAAAACGTACAATACGCAATTTCGCTAAAAAAAACATTTAGCTAGCAATTTCGACCTTTGACTCCACTCAAGACGTCACTTTTTTAATTTTGCGGTATCATATTTTTGGAAAATCTTTATGAATATTATATAAAAAGTCTCTTTAATATCTATATTTCATATTTTTATCGATTTTTAAAGTTTTTGCGAAAAGTATTCAATTATTTTTGCTATTTGGTCGGGTAAATGTCAGATTTGCGACATTTTCTGATATGATATTCAGATTCTACGTTGATAATAATGCTTATAGAACCCTCTTGCTATTGTGTCAAAATTGCGAAACCGATAGCAAAAATATCTCGCAATATCAAAATTGAGATATTGAGTGAATTATGCATTATAGAGATTAAAAATATGATTTGTGAAAACATCTCATCAGTTTCTAGCTAATTCAAAAATCTTTACTATCTTATTCGATTAAAATGAAAAGGGAATAGTTTCATTATGCTTTAAATGACAGCCTTATAATATAATCATAGTTTTCGCTCAATATGCAGCATTTTTTTTTCGAAATCTATGGTCAATGTCCTAAATACTGATTGCTTTGCATTCATATCTCTTACATTTTCTATACACACATCACTATTCATTGCTATTCCTATCTTTTTCATTTTTGTTTGTTTCTCATAATTTCTCAAAAAACACGATAACTTGATATTTGTAAATATCATACTTTATAACGTAAATAAGAACTTGACCTATTAAGAAAAGCAGTAATGAAAAGAAAATCTGAAATTCATAAAAATTACAAGTTTCTGATGACAATTAGCTTAATTAAACCAGGTACAAGATTATATAATTGTATTTTCTATCCAATTATCCATATAATATCTTATCCAGAAAAAATAACTTGATCAATACCAAATGATTTTTTAACTAGTAAATAAAGTATTTTCTTTACACACACATTGTATATCATAGTTTTTTTTTTTGGTTTCGCAAAACATCCAAAAACAAATATGCTATAAAAGTGACAATTTTAGCAAAACGAAACCCTTAGATGAAATCATAGACTATTAGTAAATATTAGCATGATATATCGATTTAATTTCAATTTCTATTGTTTGATCTTTTACAAATTGTAAACATCTGAAAAATTGAGAACATGTCTTCAGCACTACTGAAATTTGTGCTATGGCCGAGAACGAACAACAACAGAATGGTAGTAATTTGGCAATGAATAGTAACATTCGTGTAAATACTCAAAACAAACCTGCTCAGGAAAATAATAAAATTCCTGTCCACGTAGTTTTTTTCTATAATATCAGGTATGATACTAAACCCGATGTTGTAAGAAAATTTGCTGAGAAATTTGGTGAGATTAAATCAATATTTGATAGACAAGATGCCGGACAATATTTTGTTACTTATTATGATATCAGAGACGCTAAACGCGCTGTTGAACAAGCACCATTTCAAGAAATTGAAGGCAGAGAAGTCAAGGCAAACTATGCCTTCAAGAATGATAAAAATAAGAAAGACCCTGTTTGTGCTACTATACAATTCACAACTTCTTCTTCTCAAATTACCGAAAGTGATATACATGCTAAACTCTCCGAATTTGGTGAAATTCGCCAGATTCGCAAGGATGGTGATAATGTCTTTGTTGTGAAATATTTTAATCTTCGCTCCGTAAATAAGGCATTAGAAAATCCTGAGGTAGAAATAATGGGAGAGAAAGTTACTCTCGAAGCAAGGATTGGCGAGGATGACGGTATCTCTAGAGAACCGGATGCAATTAAAAAATCAGATAAAAGAAGGGATGAGAAAGATTTCCATAAGCGAGATGACAGAAACAACAATAATAAACCTCGAAATGAGCGTACGCAACAACCACAAGTACAACAAACCCAACAATATCAAGCTCAACCTCAATATCAGAACTACCCACCACAGCAACCTTACTATCCACCGCAGTACCCACCACAACAAGCTGCTCCACCTCCATACCCTTACAATTACCCTTATCCGCCTCAACCAGCTCAACAATATCAATATCCACAGAACCATTACAGTTATCCACCACCCCCTCCGCACCAACAACAACCTTACCCTTACCAGCCTCCACCACCACCAGCATATCCTTATCCGCAAGCTCAGCATCAGCAACCACCTTATCAACCTCAACATTACGCTCAGCAGCCAACATACCAACCTCAGGAGACACATACACAGCCATCCTATCGTCAGGAACAGCCAAGACAAACTCCTTCTCCCCCTCAATCACAACAAACTCAACAGACACCTCCTCCAGCTCCAGCAACACAACAGCAGCAACAACAGACACAAGAGAAGCCTCAGCAATCGTCTATTAGCAAATTACTTACTTTGTTGCAATGAGTTTGAAAATTTTGAATTTTATTTTATTGCCTTATACTTAATTTCTGCTATTTATCGTTTGGTTTTGTGTTGTAAGGCAGATTTGGCTTTAATTATGTAGTTTTTCTTTATATTTTCTCATATTTTATTTTATATCAAAATTTTATAGAATTGTTCTGAATCTTCTTGATATTCATTGTGTTTATATCACAGGATATCGATTAATTATATGTTAAATTTTTTCTTATTCTTATTTTCATTTTTATCTTTAATGCTTTGGATAATAACATTCTGTTTATTTAAAAATGACTTTTATATTCTCTATATATTTCAATTTCTCCCCAAAATTTTCAAGAATTATCATCCAAAAAAATTTTTTTTTGTTAACTTAGTTCATGAATTAGTATCACTCATATAATCTTCTGAAATGCTTGCAACATATATTGAATCATGAATACTTTCATCAGATAAAAATTTTGATGTTCAATTAATGATTAATTAGATATTTGATTGTAAAAAAACATATTACAGATTTTGTATCTTTCGTATCTGCTAGTAAATATTTGATTTTGGTTTAATTTGATTCATCACATTCTTTTCAAAAATATAAAGCTTCATTAGTTTGACATACATGCTTTCTAATATAATTGGATTCATTTCTAATGTAAATGATATCATTATTTATTTTAATCATTAATTCATTCCGCATTAAGGGATTAAAGTCTTATAATGTGATTGCATTCTCACAGGCCAATTATCCATAAGATATTTCACGATAAATCACATCATTTTTGAAAAAAGGAACTTGAAACTACCTAATTGTTCACTATTAAAACTTATTCTTTAAAAATTATTTATAAAATAATATTTATATTAACAAACAATATCAAAATATGAACAATATTACATTTGGACAAAATATTTCACATCTGCATCAGGATCATTAGCCAATTGTTTCATGCAGAGCTTAATTTTCTGCTGTCCTTGCTGTGTTACGAACGCTTTCAGTTTATTAAGTGTTTTTGCAGCCAAAATTCTTACGTTAACAACTTTGTCAGATGCCATCAAAATCACTGGTGGCAAAATTCTTTCTGTCATCACTTCCTGAGGTAAAACCTGCCCTATGTAAGATGCCGCGAGGAGTGCAGCTTGTCTTACAGGTATCCTTTGAGAGTGGTTCAGTCTCATAATTACAGAAACAATTGCATCTATAACTTCATTGAAAGAGTTTGTTTGGTCACCTTGCATCACTTGTAAAAAGTCAGGCAATGTCATGGCCATTTCTTCTCTTACTGCGTAGACTTCATCCTGTAGCCAATCACCAATTAATGGTATAATCTGTGCGTGTATGGCTTCTCCTGTCACGAAAGGCAAGAAAATACAGAAATTTCGGATAATTTCTATTCGAACTCTCCAATCTTCTTTTGTTGCAACTTCAATGAGTTTTGGAAGAATGACACGAGTGATTGAGAAAGAGTTTATTGCTCCAAATGTGCTGCTGAGAGATCTAAGGACAGCAATAACAACATCCCTATCATTGTCGTTGATTAATTGTGCAACTAAAGGGAAAATTTTTTCTTCAGCAACATTGTCAGGAACAATTTTTGCGAAATACAAAATATCAGCGGCAACTTCTTCTCGGACTTGCTTGAAACGCTCAGCAGCAAGGAGATTGACTTCAGGAAGAACAGTATCTATGAAGTAATTCGGTACTTTCTGCAAAACATCAACAATTTGTCTGCAACACAAACAAGCGGCGGTTTTTACTTCAGGATCTGGATCTCTTAGAAGGATAAGAAGGATCATACCGATATCACTGTTGATCAGATCGGATCCGAAATATGGAATTAACTTCGGAAGTGCCTTTGCCATGTTAGCACGAACCCACCATGAAGAATCTTTGACCATTACACGGGAAATAGGGACAATGAACTGTACTCTGTCTTGTGGAGATATTTTGGCGGCAATGGGAGGTAGACATCCTGGAATCATGACTCTAATGCTTTCATCATCATCGTTAATTCGTTCTTGGAGGCCTTGGCGAACGATTTCGCTCATGATTGTAGTTTGTTTAAGAACGTTAACTAGTTCTGGAATGGCTGCAAGTGCGGCGCGACGAACTGAAGCTGTTTCATCTTTTAACATAGAAACAAAAGCACGTCTAAGCTTAGCTTTGTTAGAATCTGCAACGCGCTCGTATAGATGGGGTAGTAACATGCATGCATCTGTCTTGAATGTGACTTGATTCGATGAGAATAAAGTAATTAAAAATTTTGTGATCGTAGGATCAGCTTCATTTGATGGAATGTGATTGCACACTTTTGCTAGAGACTTTACTGCTTTCTCACGTACAAAAATTTCGTCTGAATCGGCAAGAATTTTTAATGGCTCGATTAATACTGTCGCAAATTTAGAGCCTCCAACATATTTTACAAAACCTCCGAGCTGCTCTGCAATAATAGCTTTTACTTCTCCGTCCAAACTAATTCCAGACATTAAAAATGGTAATAACGAGTTTCTTGTTGCTTCAGGACCAAGAGCTGCGGCAATTAAATACATGTTTCCTGCTGTAAAAAGACGTTCGTGAATACTTTCTCCTTGAATGTCTTCTGTGAACAGAGCTAGAATCTGTGCAGGCTCTAAATCATCAGAATCCATTTAATTTCGTCACTTTTTATGCCACGTTATTTTTTTAATTTAGTCTATCGGCTCGGTGCGCCGATAAAATACATAAACTATTAGGATTATCAATCCACAATAGTTATAACTTTGCATCCTATATTTATACTTTTAATGGATTATTTTTTCACTTTTTAATAAAATTTATTATTTTATTATCTGCAAAACTCATAGAAAACCTATTTTTTGGTTACTACAACAAATAAATAATCGATATTTGTTGTAAAAGCTTTGCCGTACAAAGGCAGATTTTCAAATTTATCAAATGTAGGGAATTCATATTTTTTCAACATCGGAGAGTTCATTAAAATAGAAGTCATTTATAATACCAGAACTTCATATATTGAAAGACTGTAAGCTTCAGTCATTTGTTGTTGAATATCTTGAAAGACTGTAAGCTCCTGGATGAACATCTTATTATGTTCGACTTTGCTGTTGTTATTCTGTCATTTCGTGTCTATGAGCTTAATCAAAATTCATAATTATTTGTGATAATTGCTTTTCGCATGTTTAAAACAATGCGTTTTTCTGTTAATAATTTTCAAAGATATAATATATGATAAAAACCATATATTTGACTTTAAAATTTTTAATGTCCGATCAAGAGATTTATCCAAATAAATACGGTGAATTACGAAGCATCTGTAAATACTACATCGATTTATATAATGCATTGTATCAGCTAAAAACTGAAAACGAAGAAGGATTAAAGTCGATTTACCAAAAGATCAAAACAGAATTGATTGATTCAAAGAATCATCTACCGCAAACTATAATCAAAGATATTTTGAATATTATTCTGTATAATAATCGCTATACAAAGTCATATTTATTTCTTGCCAAACTCATATCTGGTGATTATCATGTGGAAGAGGTCAGAGAAGTTGAACATGTTTCAAACTTCTTGTTTTATAAAGAGTATGGTATTAAATTAGACAAATCTGATGATTTCGAAAAATTTAAATCAGAAAATCTCGATATTCATACGGAAGATAGTATTTATAGAACAATTATGTATAATGATTTAGAAAGATTTATCTCATTCACTGAAAGAGAAGCATTTGATAAAAATCAAAAACTACGATCTCATTTGTATCCAAGTTTTACAAATTATTCATTACTTGAATTATGTTGTTACCATGGAGCAGTTGATTGTTTCAAGTTATTAAGAACAAAGTTTAACTCAGAAATAACTGATACATGTCTTGAACTTTCATTTTTAGGAGGACACCCTGAGATCATGAATGAATGTTTGAAATATCAAAAACCAGATGAAGAATGCATGGAGTTTGCAATTATTTCACACAACATTGATTTTGTTGCATTCTTGATGAATGAATACAATTTAGAGATCAAATTAATTGATTGTAAAATTTTTAATAATCTGGAATCATTTTTAGTTTATTTCGATAAAACTAATGATATTGATGAATGCTTTGATAATTCTATTATATATAATATTCCATCACTATGCAAATATTTCATTTCACATGGTGCAAATATCAACAAAAAGATGTCTTTACAAGAAACAGCTATTCATCATGCAGCAGAATATAATAGTAAAGAAGCAATCGAACTTCTTATTTCACATGGTGCAAATATCAATGAAAAAGATGAATATGGAGCTACCGCTCTTCATTATGCAGCAAAATATAATAGTAAAGAAACAGTCGAACTTCTTATTTCGCATGGTGCAGATATCAATGAAAAAGATGAATATGGAGCTACCGCTCTTCATTATGCAGCAGAAAATAATAGTAAAGAAACAACCGAACTTCTTATTTCGCATGGTGCAAATATCAATGAAAAAGATGAATATGGAGCTACCGCTCTTCATTATGCAGCAAAATATAATAGTAAAGAAACAGTCGAACTTCTTATTTCGCATGGTGCAAATATCAATGAAAAAGATGAACATGGAGCTACCGCTCTTCATTATGCAGCAAAATATAATAGTAAAGAAACAGTCGAACTTCTTATTTCGCATGGTGCAAATATCAATGAAAAAGATGAACATGGAGCTACCGCTCTTCATTATGCAGCAGAAAATAATAGTAAAGAAACAGCCGAACTTCTTATTTCGCATGGTGCAGATATCAATGAAAAAGATGAATATGGAGCTACCGCTCTTCATTATGCAGCAGAAAATAATAGTAAAGAAATAACCGAACTTCTTATTTCACACGGTGCAAATATCAACGAAAAAGATGATACTGGACGAAGTGCTCTTGATTATGCAATTGAAAATGATAGTAAAGAAACAGCCGAGCTTCTTAGTTTACATTTGCATATAAACGATCTGCAATGATTTCTCCTTCTCTGTTTTATCTTCTGTTTCGTAACTCTTTTCAAATGTTACCAAAGAGATGGTAAAAGATTAAATAAAAACATCTTGTAGCCTTTATTTTTTCAAATATTCAACTGAAAATGCTAATTTACTTTATATATGAATAATTCTTTCTCATTCACAATTTCATTAATAAATCCTTGAAGCATGATATTTTCTTCATTATTCTTAGAAAAATAATTTATAATTTTGAATGTATCAACAATCCACATGCTAACTTCGTATAAATATCATGAATACCTAAATTCTGAAACAACTTTATTTTTCAAAACATCCACAATGAGAATTCATATATGTGTCTATGAAAAGTGAGGCTGTTTGGCAAATACATGGCATTCAATTTTGCTTTGTAAAAGGAAATAAAAAATCCAAGCCCTTAGTTTTAAAAGTAAACTTTTTATAATAACAATAAAAACAAATAATCATTTACAATGAAGTAAACAGTGGTGGATATCTTATTGATTCATCACTTTGATTCGATGGTTTCGTGCTATTTAAAGAATCATAAGAAGTGTAAGAAGCATTTAATTCAACAGTTGTAGGAGTTTGCGAAATAATAGAAACAGCTCCTGCCATTTTCTGAATTCTTCTGCAAGAAACACAAACAGATATAATTGAGGCCCATGTGGGTCTAATTGTCTGTGTTCTTGTAGTTAATATTGGTCTATCAACCAATAACAAAGCTGTTTTTTGTTGTCTCAAATTTTCCAATCTATTCAAAATTGTTTTTTGAGAAACAGCTGACAAAATTGCTTCTTCCAAACTTAATCTGAGCTTTTCAGATGAATAAGTTGTGCAAGATCTCTCACATACTATTCGATGCAATCTTCTTGCCCAGTTATCCCATTCTCGCAATGCTTCTATTTGAACTAATGTTTGTTTTCTTTCTTTAATTGTTTCATCGAATTTTTCTGTCATTTTTTGGATTTCTAAAGAATCTGATTCATGTTGTTGCTTTAACTTCTCTTTCTCAGCGAACAAATCATTAACAGCATCAAATATATTTGATGAAGGAAGGAGATTCAGCAAATGCTGAACTCTCAACAAATCAGAAACAGTCTCTTCATAAACAATCTGTGCTTTGTTTTTCTTCTCCAATTCGTTCTCGAGAGTTTCAAGAAATTCACTTAATGATGAAGGAATTAATGACAAATTATATCTCTCTTCAAATCTATGAGAATATGTAACAATCAAAGCCAAGTTTTCTTCTTCTTTCTGTGTGATTTTGGCCCTACTTTGTGCTATAACTGAATCAAGTTGTGTCTGCATTTGCATCTGCAATGAATTCGTTTCACTCATTCTCTTTTCATCCATTGCTTTTAATTTGAGTTCAAAAGTTTTATTCATTGCTTGTAATCGTATCAAATTCTCGTCTTTTTCTTCACTCTTCGCCAATAGTTTCCTGTAATCATCCATTGTTGTTTCAAGTTCAATTCTTGCACTTGCTAATTCAGCTTGTGTTTCTTGAACAGCTTTTTCATATTCGTGTCTCAAAGATTGAGATTTTTCTTTGAGTCTGTCTATGGATTTCCTGTTTGCTGTTTCAAGCATGTCGACGTGCTGTTTTAGTTCTCTCCTTTCTATCTTCATTTGCTGGATCAAATCTTTCGCTTCTCTTAATTGGTCATTGATTTCAGTCGAATTTTCCTTTAATTGTGAAATTTCTTCTGTTTTTTGAGTGTTTTCATGTCTTAAGTCTTCTAATTGTGCCGTTGCGGACTTTAATTGGTTTATTGACTCTTCATTCTGTGCTTTGTACTTGGAAATGACTTCATCCATCGATTTCTGTTTGTTTGCAAAATCATTTTGTAATTCATTCATTCTTTCTTCCATTTCTTGCTTCATTTCTTTAGCATTGGCCAATTTACGTGTTAAATCTTCTATTTTGTCATTTAATTCTTTGATGTTTTCGTCATTTTCAATTTCACTTTTTTCTGTCACTTTTTCTTCAAATTTCGGATTTTCTTCACTTTTTTCTTCAATTTTTTGTTGTTCACTTTTTTCTGCTGTCAAAGTCTTGAGTGCGTTGAATACAAGTTTCACTATATTTCTTTCTTCACCAACATCGAAGAACTGACTCAATAAAATTTTGATTTTTTCTTCTCTTTTCCGAAGTCTGACGATTTCTTTGAGAATTTGTTTGTTTGGTTCCACTTTTGCTTCTAATTCCTGTTTGGCTTGGTTCAAATTACGTTGTAGTATCTCGTATCTCGATCTAACTTCAACACAGTGGTTTTGGAGAAGAGAATTAGAGAATATTTGGGCAGCATACATGTCAAACAGCTCTCTGAAGATTGGGTTATCGTTAGATCCCATTCTGTTGTAGAATGCATGCAGTTTATCTGATAAATTGTTTGGAATAAGAAGATCAAAAATATGAGTTGGGTCTGCGCTTTCAATTGACTCTTGTATGTCTTCTATACGTATTGTTGATATCGTTTCTTGTATGAATTTGGCATTATTGGCACATCTTCTTATAAGGAATTCTCGAGATTTTTCATCTAAGTGTATTGGACCTCCAATTTCTGGTCTGTATAGTAACGAACTACTGATATCATTCGATGTTGATAGGTTCTGCATAAATGAAAGCTCTTCTTCGAATAAAGCTAATACGTTAATTACATTTTGCTGCAATTTCTCGTTTTCTTGCGTAATCTCGTTGATTTTGTCGTTATTTGCATTGATTGTCGATTCCAAATTCTTATTAGATGTACAAATTGTATTGATTATTTGAGTTACTCTGTCAATTGGCGAGCATTCTGCGTTATCTCTGATTTTAACAAGTTCAGGAAGAAGTGTTGAAGGCAATACTTCTGAAACAGCTTTAGTGATTGATGCAAGAATCGTAAATAAATCGACAAAATTATCCGGAATTGGAGCAGGAACTTGTTTAACCTGAGATTTTGCATTAACGCTCTTTGCTTCATTCTCAAATCCTTCGTTAAGCAGTTTTTGTTTCTGAATTATCTTCAGAAGCTGAGTTCTTTGTTGAGCTAAAGATGTAACTTCAGAAATTTGATCTTGATACATATCGCTGAGTGTATCTAATGATTTCTGAAGGTTGTTCTTTGTTTGTGTGCCTCTTTCGAGACCTTGCTTTAGTTCTGCAATTTGATTTTGAGAATTATTAAGGTTTGACTCAAGATAATTGCATTTTTCTTTTTGAGCATTAATTTCATGTTGTAAATTTTCGATTATGTTCTGCATTTCTTCGTTTTGATTTGCTAAATCTTGAATTTCGCCAATTAAATCCGAATTTTTCGCTCTAGTATCATTAAGTTTCTTCTTAAGCTTTTCAATCTTACCATTAACATCGATTGGATTCTGTTGCTGATGCAAATCCGAGAATAACGCATCACAAATATCTAAAACTTGTTGTAAATTAGTTGTTGAAACGCCAAACTTTGCATTAAACTGGGCACAAAAGAAGTCAACCGATTCCGAATCCCCATTTTCTGTAATGGGACTCGATAAATCAGAATCCATTTCAACTTGCCGTTAAGGGTGCACCCGTATGTACGTTTATTTGAGAGGAGGAGGATTACCCTCTCAATTTTGAGGGATTCGTTAGTTTATTTTCTCGATGAATATGCAATAAAATTTGATTTTTACCTTATCAATATACTTCATATAATATACACATGTTCATGTAAAAACTTTTTTCCAAAATCCTCAGGAATTAAGGGATTTTTGAATTTTAAGAATTTTTTTCGAATTTTTTCGAAAAAAAATATTTTCAGAACAGCCTTAACGGCTAAGATTTAGGAACAATGTTAAGTATCAAAAAGAAAGGAGGTCTGATATAGACAACATATATCGTTGAAGGTTGAAAAAATCTCTAATATTTGAGCCCAAAATTTCAAATTTTAATTTTTTGAAAAAAGAGGCCACCCGTATGTACGTTTATTTGAGAGGAGGAGGATTATATTTTTGAAAGGGTGAAACATTATGAATATGTTAATTATATAATAATATGTATTATTATAAAAAAGAAAAAATAAAGCACGTTAAAATTTTTCTTTCTTGATTTTTTACAAAATCTACTTAGAATTATGCAAAATATGACTAAATAATTATAAATTTCAAGTTAAATTTTAATTTTGATAAATAATTTAAATTTCAAAATATCAAGTTCAGTTCGACTATGTATGTAGTAATTCCTCAATAAAGTGCCAAAACCCTATTAAAATATATGAACATTTTCAACATTTTAATGCTTTTATTTAAAAATTTGATGGAATATGAGCTTCAAACAATTATTATGTAAATAAAAATAATTAAATATATGTATTTATTCGTATTACAACCGTAGTAAGTCGATTCTTCCTTTCTTCTACTGAGATTTGAATTTGATTTCGAATTGTAAAGAGATTCAAAGGGAAAATACTAGCGGATAAAAACTACCTCCATGAAAGGGTCATAATGGAGTCAAGTTGTATTTTTTGATATTTTTTGCTTTTCGAGCCTAAATAGGTAGCCAAGATAATGCCTAAAAATAAGGTTCTAAATTCTGAAGTTTACATGATCCTCTCGTGTGCACCCTTAAGTTATAATTATCACCCACTTTTTTTATTTTTTAGACCCTAAATATTTTATTTCTTCATTGTTTCCATGATATGAATTCGACTTCCTACATATATCGGAACATGATGCACCTGCTATTTCATTCCGAATACCCGTGAATGACACATCATGCCCCATCCATAACATGAATGCGGAACTTTGAGTGTCAATAGTGCTATCTGCACTCCTGCGTTCTCTTAATGCTATTACATTGATATTGTATATGCAAATAACCAGGAATGACATAATGTTCCGCATTTATAACGTGAATCCAGAACTTTGCCTGGCAAAGTTATTCTTCATTGAGTAAAACTGAGACAGAGTCAACTTTAACTAGTTGAAAATTAGGATCTAAATAATTTACAATTAATATGAATTGAGAAATTAAATTTTTTTTATTATTCTTCATTGAGTAAAACCGAGACTATGTCAACTTTAACTAGTTCAAAAGTAACATAAAAACGATTTACAAATAATATGAATTGAGAAATTAAAAATTCTTTTATTCTTCATTGAGTAAAAATGATATTAATGAGTCGACTTCGTTGACAGATTCGATTATTGGATCGTTACAGATTCCTTTTGGTGATTCATTGATTGATTCACCGAACCTTATGATTTGGTGTTTGTTTGCAATGTTTTTGCAGTGAATTACTGAGTCATTTCTGTCTGCAAACAGAGCAAAGAACTCTCCTCCATAGATTTTGGAGTTAGTTCTCTTTACAATCAGTGCTGTTTTTGTTTCCCTCATTTCCATGATGATTTTGGAGAACAAAATCGATGAAGAACTGAGAATTCTTTCATTGCCATAGAGATATGTCTCTGAAATGTTCTCAAGAGGGATTTTTCCAACACATTTGAGAAAATTCTTCGTTTCATCTTCAGGATCAAGAGGAATTGCGTAGTCTCCAATGCAGAGTTGCTTCGTAATGTTGGACTGATTGATCTTCTTCTCGATTACTGGGCATTTCTGCGGTTTTGCTGAGATTAATGGCTTATTATGGCATTTGCAGACATCTTTCTGGATTATTTCGATGGGATCTGCAATTACTTGGTACATTAAGCAGTCAATTTCATATTCTCCAATCTCTAAGACCTCGATTTGTGGAGGATATAAAATATCTGTTGACAAACTGCGGAAAAACTGGAAATAACAATCAGTATTGTTTTCAAATACGATTGTACTTCCGATTTCTGAGTAGTATTCGCTGATTTCGTTCTTTTCGCCGATGATTACGAACTGAATCTTTGGAGAAGTTGGGTTTATCGTAGTTCTCCTCTTGATTGACGAAACAATGCCATCGAAGAAGTATCCTGAGCTTGGAAGGAATACGTGAACAGGAAGAGAAGTGTCGCACATTTCGATAGCAGTGAACAAAGGGTTCTGAGCAGTTGGAATCGGGTTTTCGAAGTGGATTGTTATCATGTACGAAAGGATTTCCTTGAGATCTGTGTGGTTGAACGTTGTCTTTGGGAAAGGATGGAATAGTTCTCCTTCAGGGGAGATAATAAAGATGTCGAACATAATGTTTATGCTTTTATCTTTGGAAACTCCAGCTAAAAACAAAGAATACTCCCACAGGGACTTGGCTATTGCATAAGAGATTGATGTATGCTGGATTCCTTCAAGAACTTTTGACCTGAAGTCAAAGATAAAGCAATGAGGAACGTAGGCCATTTATAAAAAAATTTTCTAATTTAAACATCATTTAAAAAGTGACACTTATGATGTAATTTTTAAAAGAATGACTTTAGAGTAATCATTATACTCCCAATCTATTATGATTTAATAAGAAATCCGAAATACTATTGATTTAAGTTCATAATCCTATAAATTTGAAGAAATTATTTTTTTACATGATCGAATTTGAACAAAACCCGAATAATCTTAACTTATATACTGCAGCTATATTATTTCCACGCAAGAATCAGGTTTATCAATATAAATTTAATTTTGACAAAAAAAATTATAAACTTTAGAAATTTGGAAACTTCAAATTAATTCTAGTTTCAATTGTAATGAATTCCTTTGGAAAATATGCAGGGGCCCAGCATAGAACTCCAGAATACTTTTATACTGCTGGAATCCACTTAGATATTTCCCGGAGAAACAGCCAAAATCAGGAAAAATTTGTTAATGAAATAGAATATTCATATTCTGCACCACCTCTTGAAAATTTCAAAGATATTGAATATATATGTGGCTCTTTCGAAAAGCTCATGAATTCTTACACTGAAAATTTACCAAAGCAAATCAGAGTAATTTTATATGGGGCATGGATAGATCCAAACTTTGTAAATGCTCGAAACAATAAACTCATAAATCTTCATCATTTTACCGAAATTGAATTTGCATTAATTGTTGAAGTTGCCAAAATCCTTAACGATAAAATTCCTGACACAGTAGCTGTCCTTCTGCTTATGATTATGGGAAGAGAAGACAAACCGACTGTAGTGCCAAAAATTTGGCCAGAGCACGTTAAAAGGATGAAACCATTGGAAGAGGAAATTGTGAGTGACTGTGGACCATATAATGTTACATCTAAAATTTTATTAAATTTACTCGAATCTTTAAATCCAAATCGATCTTTAGTAATGTATCGGAAATTTGAATTCAAAAAAGGATGACAACGATGAATTCATATGTAATGAAACTAATCCAGAGAAAAAATTTATTAATTCCACAGAACTTTTCAAAATTTTAAATATTAAACGAGAAGTTCCAAATTCTCCGCTTAGTTTTCATAACACTGTAGATCGAGAAATATATTTATTTCATTACAACTACAACAAATGCAATTGGTTCATAGTTCGATCTAAAAATTTTTGTATGGCTTGGGGAGATGATGCTTCTCTTGGATGTAATATGAGACATGGACCAGTGCCGTGGGTGAACATCGTTAATGATAAAATTCCTCCAACACTTCCCATTCCAAAAGAAAAATTCCCTGCAGTTAAATGGAAACCTGATGCTACTCATGCGTTTGAATATCATTGTGAATTTTGTCCGAAAAACTATCCAAATGATTACCAAAACAATTTTATTAAGGAGCTACAAACTGAATATGATGATGTTGAAATGAATATTTCTATTTGGGATGGCACAGAATTTAAAAAACTCAAGAGAAAGCATAGAGGCAAGCCAAGAGTATTGAATAACATTCTTTTTGTATGGCCAGATAAAAATGGTAATGTTCCTCTTGCAAATCTATTAAATTCAGGAATAGACAACATTGGAGAGTCTCTTTGTATTGTAGAATGTACTGATCAAACATGCCCTGACCCGAATTGCCCTTATAAAATTACCAAAAATCTTGTTAGTCCAAAAGTATCACTAGCATTTTTCCCTGATAAAGAATGGAGCGTGATTGCTGAAGAATTCATTAAATCAGATAAGTTACTTTTCCTTTATCAAGGTGATACTTTTAATGAAGACAACAAGAGCTATGATGATAATTATACTTTTCAATACTATATTGGAAACTCTAATCCAGTTAGCATAGATGCATCAAGAACTTGTAATGCGTCAAGATTTATTAACCATGCATGCTATGATGAAATACAAAGATTCCCTCAACCTAATTGTACTGCTTTTAATATAACATCAGCAACATATGATTTCAGAATTGCAATCTTCTCGGCAAGGGATATTTATCCTGGAGAAGAATTAACATTAAATTATAAAAATGTCATGAAAGATAAAATATGCAGTTGCAACAGATGTAAACAACAAAGGAATAAAAATGTTTAATTTTGTAGTTAATTTGTTTTTTGTATAAAATTAAATGTTTATTGGTTTAATTTATATCATCATTTCCATTTGTGGTCTCATTCCTCTTCCGAATTGGCCGAAAGATGGACCATTCATGTTGGCGAAACCACGGAACCCTCCGCAGAAGTTATGACAAAAGTCATCTCGGAATCCATCGCGGAAGTCATCTCTAGAGAAATCTCTTGAATCATCTCTCATGAACCTTCTTGCATCGCCTGGCAAGCCATTGTCGAATCCATTGCAGAATCCATTACAGAATCCATTGCCGAAGCCTCTGCGTGAATCCATTCCCATGCAGCGTGGAAAGTCTCCTCTGATGTCGCCGCGTGAGTCGCGTGCCATTCCACGCATCGCATCACCTCTATTAAAGTCTCTCATGTTGCCGCAGAATTCACCACAAAACTCTCCACGGAATCCGCCGCGGAAATCTGGACGAGAGAACTCTTGTTGAAACTGGAAAGGTCCTTGGAATGGGCATCCATTCGGGAATCGCTGTGGGAAGCCGAACTTTCCTGTACCGGATTGATTTTGCTCACTATTCTGATGTGACTCATTGTTTTTCTGCTGCTCTTGTTCCTCGCGTTGCTCACTCGTTTCATTGTTACTATTCTTGTTATTGCAGCTGTTATCCTTGCATGATGCTTCATTCTCTTGCATCTGCTGTGTGTTTGCATCTTGTGCTGACATCTTTATGAAAAATGAAATGACTTTCATCGGTCACTTTCTCATAATTTTTTTTCAAAAGAAAAATTCTTATCAAAAAATTTTAAAAATTCTGAAGATTTTTCCCAATCAAATTATCGGAAAGCAGTAATGGTAAAATATTATGCTTTTTAAAGACAAATATATAACAAATAAAGATATATTTTTGTATTTCATCAACGTTAGCGTAAAAACAAATTCAATATCGTTTATGATCATTGAAAAAAAAATTGAATACTTTCTTTCCCAAATACGAACAACTCCCAAAATAGATACATTGGCAATATCATAATATAGATAAAGATATTAAAATATTATAATTTAAGACGACTCTAGTAATTAAAAAAAAGAAAGAAATCATTTGAATTCATAATTTTTTTTCTGAAATTCTCTTGAATTCTAATAATTAAATCTGATTGCATTTCTTTGAACATTGTATTGCTGTTATGATTATATCAAATATTATAAAATTATTCGAAAAATTATTTTGTTTTTTCGAATATTTAAGAAATATAGTTTTACCGATTTGTAACATGTAATGAATATATTTTACTTATTCATTATTTAGTACCGTTACTGCTTTCCGATAATTTGATTGGGAAAAATCTTCAGAATTTTTAAAATTTTTTGATAAGAATTTTTCTTTTGAAAAAAAATTATGAGAAAGTGACCGATGAAAGTCATTTCATTTTTCATAAAGATGTCAGCACAAGATGCAAACACACAGCAGATGCAAGAGAATGAAGCATCATGCAAGGATAACAGCTGCAATAACAAGAATAGTAACAATGAAACGAGTGAGCAACGCGAGGAACAAGAGCAGCAGAAAAACAATGAGTCACATCAGAATAGTGAGCAAAATCAATCCGGTACAGGAAAGTTCGGCTTCCCACAGCGATTCCCGAATGGATGCCCATTCCAAGGACCTTTCCAGTTTCAACAAGAGTTCTCTCGTCCAGATTTCCGCGGCGGATTCCGTGGAGAGTTTTGTGGTGAATTCTGCGGCAACATGAGAGACTTTAATAGAGGTGATGCGATGCGTGGAATGGCACGCGACTCACGCGGCGACATCAGAGGAGACTTTCCACGCTGCATGGGAATGGATTCACGCAGAGGCTTCGGCAATGGATTCTGTAATGGATTCTGCAATGGATTCGACAATGGCTTGCCAGGCGATGCAAGAAGGTTCATGAGAGATGATTCAAGAGATTTCTCTAGAGATGACTTCCGCGATGGATTCCGAGATGACTTTTGTCATAACTTCTGCGGAGGGTTCCGTGGTTTCGCCAACATGAATGGTCCATCTTTCGGCCAATTCGGAAGAGGAATGAGACCACAAATGGAAATGATGATATAAATTAAACCAATAAACATTTAATTTTATACAAAAAACAAATTAACTTTTCTTCATTTGCTTTCTTACTTACTCGTAGATTAAATCCATGGAGAAATAATTTAAAGAGTATTCTGTATGATAATATTTAACTATGCAATTTTTTGATTTAATAATTTTATGAAAATTTGTAAAACAAGCTCAGATTTGATTATATTTGTTTCTATTACTTCTATGTCCAATGGGCGTATTATTAATTTTTTGGATGTCTTCAAATCATTGTTATCCCATAAGTCTTGGGATGATGAATTTGATAAATCCATACAACCTGCAGTATGGAATGGCCAGAAGTTTGTCAATGGTTCCAACTACTATGTTTACAAATCCATATTTTCTGATACAAAGGGTGGTATTCGACTTGCATCAAGTTCTCAGGTAAATTCATTCTTGTATGTGGAAGAATGCTTTTTTAACAATATCTATTATTTAACTGAGAATGGAGGGGCAATTCATTTTTTAAATGGATATGGTGTAGCTCTCAAGAAATTATGCGGATATAATTGTTCATGTGGATCAAATTGGGGACAATTCTGTATGTGTGATACTCAAAATAGCCAAAGCTGCAAAAATATTATATATTTTTCTTCTGTTTTATGCTCAAATGGAATACATGGAAGTGCCACAACTGCAAATTATCATGGAGATATTAAAATCACTCATAATAACCATTCAAAAAACTTTGTCTCAAATCGTTGTGGATTTCGAATTGAATTTGCGAATACAAAAGCTTTTGCATCATTTACTAATGTTTAAAATAATACAGGTGATGAATTTTACTGCGTAGTTTTTTCTGCTTCAACAGGTTTCTTTTGTTATAGTAATGTAGTTAAAAATTCTAATAATGGCGATATAATTGGTTCATATCGTACAAGCACTTTAACGGTTGAAATGTGTTATATTAATCAAAACAATGCAGGCAGTGGATATATACTAAATAAACATGTAGATTCTATATTTTATGTCAGAAATTGTTATGTACAGAAAGAGGGAACTTCGGGAAGCTATGATGAACTTAAAACATCAGATGTTTCAATAATTATGATAATGGCTTTAGAATCTTATGTATGTGAGGTATCGCATATAATTTGCCCATCAATACCACACATGCTATTTCCTTGCATTAGTGCATTACTAACAAATTCATTGATTTATCTAAATTAAATTCTTATTGAAGTGTAAAAAATCTTTCTGATTATGTTTATTAATATGTTTTTTAGTTCTGTTTTCTGATGAGAATTCCGACAAAAATCAGGAAAGTGACAGATTTTAGATTTTTTTATGTCTCAGAAGTATGATTTAAGTCTCATTAAAGAAGTAGCTCCAAATACGTATGAAATTCCAATTGGATTTGTTCCAAATATGAAAGTCCCTGGACGTTTCTTTGCCTCTCCAGAGATTTTTCAACTTGCAATAAAAGAAGTTGAAGAATGGAACGAAAACCAAAAATCTGGACTTCCTTCTATCTTACAAGTTGCCCACGTTTCAACATTACCAGGAATTGCGAAGTATTCTTTAGCCATGCCAGATATGCACAGTGGATACGGATTTTCAATAGGTGGTGTAGCTGCTTTTGACTTATCCGATCTTGAATCAATTGTTTCTCCTGGTGGAGTAGGCTACGATATTAACTGTGGAGTAAGATGTCTCGTTACTAACCTAAGTTACACCGATATCGAGCCAAAAATCGATGAATTGGTTGACGAAATCTACAAGAATGTTCCTTGTGGTGTTTGCGGAAAGAAACAAGACTTTATTAAAATGTCTGATCTTAATCACATTCTTGTTAAAGGTGCAAAGTGGGCTGTCGAGAACTTTTACGGTGTACAAGAAGATCTCGATAATTGTGAAGAAAATGGATGCATGCCTGGAGCAGATCTCAAATTAATTTCCCAAAAAGTCAAAGGATCCGGAATAAATCAACTCGGAACACTTGGATCAGGAAATCATTACGTTGAAATACAAAGAATTCAAGAAATTTACGATGAAAGTGCCGCTCAAATCTTAAATCTCAAGAAAGACCAAATTGTCATCATGATACATTGCGGAAGTCGCAATATTGGTAAGAGACTTGCCACAGAATACATAAATCAAATGATAGAAGAGAACCCAGACGAAGTTGCAAAATTACCCGACTCCCAGCTCGTTTCTTCAGCTGCAAGTAGCAAGACTGGAGCTGCCTACATCTCAGCGATGGCCTGCGCTGCTAATTTCGCTTGGTGCAACAGACAAATTATTACTCATTTTGTTAGAGAGTCATTTAAGAAAGTTCTTGGCAGAAATGATCTTAAAGTCGACCTATTATACGATGTTGCCCATAATATTGCCAAAATAGAGAAGCACATCGTTGATGGAGTCGAAAAAGAATTTATTGTACATAGAAAAGGCGCCACACGCTCATTTGGACCAAACAGACCTGAAATACCATCAAAATACAGACCGATTGGCCAGCCAGTACTAATTGGAGGCTCAATGGGAACTGCATCTTATATTCTTCTAGGAACCGACGGCGCCATGGAGAAAACCTTTGGCTCCACATGCCACGGAGCAGGAAGAACTCTCTCAAGATCGAAAGCAAGTAGAGATATAACTGAAGAACACGTAAAAGAAGAATTAGAAGAAAAAGGAGTAAAATACAGGGCAGCAGGTAATAAAACATTGCTTGAGGAAGCCCCAGAAGTGTATAAAGATATCGACGAAGTCATAGATATTTGCGAAACAACTGGAATTTCCAAGAAAGTTGCAAGGACTGTTCCTCTTGGCGTAATTAAAGGTTAAATAGTATATTATAGATTGTTATTGGTAAATTAACTAGTTTTTCTCCTTAATTTTAAAAAATAATTTTCCATTTTTCCAATTCATGAAACCTGAATCTAAAAAATACTACCTACAACCATAAGACATATCTAAATTATCATGATTTTAATATTTATCAATTGAATATTTTGAATATAAAAATATCTCTAAATTCTAAAACTATCTTTAGATTAATTATGCATTAATTCCTTTATATCTGTATATTCTTCATAAAAATAGGACTGATTATTATTTTTTTGAGACTGAGTGGAGTGATTGCTTACTTTATTCATGGCTGGTCTGGATGGGGAGATAATTTATTTTTCCCAGAAGTCAGAAAGCACCTTGAAATTCTCGGAGCTAAGGCTTTTTCCCCTGATTTGCCTAATCCCAAAAAGCCAACTTATCCAGAATGGAGTGAAGCTTTCTCAAAACTGATTAAGGAAACATGGAATGGAGAAAGAATCATTTTCTGCACTCATTCAATGGGTGGTTATTTTATTCTTAGATTTATTTCATATCATATCAATGAAGATTGGGTAAAATCAATTCATGGTTTATGTCTTGTTGGTCCAAGTTCGATTAAAAGGCCTGAATATATGCCAATGTATGATGAAGATCTTCAACTTGAAAAAGTAGCCGAACTTCCAATTCAAGTCCATGTTCTTTATAGCTTAGATGATCCTAGAATTGTAATGGCTCACATCGATCTTCTTCGTAATAACTTAGGAAAGATGTCTGGTTTTCATTACCATGAGATGAATGGATTCAAGCACTTTCAAGTGAAGGATGTTCCAGAAGCCACAAGAGTATGTGAGGATATGGCAAAAGAAGTACTTTCTTTATAAATTTTGTAATATTATGTTTTTGCTTTCAAATACCTAATAAATTATACTACTATATAATGGCTAGATGAAATTGTTTCATTTTTATCCAAATCTATAAAAAATAATTATTATTATTTTTTATTGAACTCAAGAAATAGACTTATGCAGCCCAAAATCAATTTTATAATTCATAATATAACAATTAAAATATTTATTTCTAACAAAATTAATATAAGTTTTATTGTCTAGATTCAGAAACAGGGATTATATCTGAATCCGAAGCTGTTTCAGAGTTACTTATATCCTGGTTGATTGGTTCTGCTTCATTTTCTTCTTTGATTTCATTTTCATGATCATTTTCTCCTTCATTTAATATATTCTGTTGAGAATTACTTACAAGTAAATTTTCATTTTCATTTTCCTCTTGATGAATTTCATTTTCCTCTTGATGAATTTCATTTTCTTCTTGATGAATTTCATTTTCCTCTTGATGAATTTCATTTTCCTCTTGATGAATTTCATTTTCCTCTTGATGAATTTCATTTTCTTCTTGATGAATTTCATTTTCCTCTTGATGAATTTCATTTTCTTCTTGATGAATTTCATTTTCTTGAGGGATTTCTTCATCCTCTTGTTTCTGTTCTTCATCTTCTATTTGAATTATTTCTATTTCTTGTTGATCATTGTTTTCTTGTCCTTGTATATTTGCATTTTCTTCTGCATCATTAATTTGTTCTGTTGTTTCTTGTTGTTGAATTTGTTCAGTTTCATTTTCTTCATCTTGTTCATTGTTGGTATTTTCTTGTTCTGTTTCTATTTGTTGAATTTGGTTTTCTTCTTTGATGGAAATTTCTTCTTCATTCTGTTTAATTTTTTCTTGTTCAATTTCATTGTATGAATTTTCATTTTCTTGTTGATTTTGATCTGTTTTTTCTTCTGTTTCTTCTTGTTTCTGTTCTTGATATTCTTCGTTATTTACTTCTTCTTGTTTGATTTCTTCAGTTTCTTGTTGAATATTTTCAATTTCTTCTTGTTGTTGATTTTCTTCAATTTCATTTTGTTCTTCATATTTTACTTCTTGTTCTTTGTCATCTCTACTATGTTCATCTTCTTGTTCATTTAATTCTTCTTTCTGTTGGAGCTCTTCTTTTTCTCTTTCATTTATTTCTTCTTGTTCTGGTTTCTGTTTGTTTTCTGTATTTTCATCTTGATTTAATTCTATTTGTTCTGTTTCTTCTGCATGAACTTCTTTTTCTTGTTTAACTTCTTCAGTTTGTTCATGAATTTCTTGTTCTTGTTTATAAATCATTTCATCATTTTCTTTTTGATGAATTTCATCTTCAGGTTTAATTTTTTCTAATTCTTCTTTTTGATTAATAGTTTCTTCTTTTTCTTGTTGATGAACTTCTTCTTTTTCTTCATATTTAATGTCTTCTATTTCTCCTTCATTTTTAATACTTTCATGATGTTCTTTTTCATTTTCATTATCTTGTTCTATTTGTTCTGTTTCTTCTTTCTCTTGTTGATGAATTATTTCTTTCTCTTCATTAATATTTTCATGATGTTCTTCTTTTTCATTATCTTGTTCTATTTCTTTTTCTTTGTTTATTTCTGTATTTTTATCTTGTTCTGATTTATTTTCATTTTGATTTGATTCTTCTTGATGTTTATTGCCAATGTTTTCTTCTTCATCTCTGTCATTAGATATAATAAGATTTTCTTCTTCTTTTTTACTGTTTTCAACTGAATTTGATTTAATTTCAACGCATTGTTGAAAATCATCAATTTCATCATTAGAAATGTGTTCTTCTGTGTTCAAAAGATTCTCTTCTTTATTTTTATTTCCTTTTTCATTTGATTCAATCTTTTGATTTTGATTTTCTGATTTTTCCTCATTTTCTAGTAATTTATTATCGAATATATCACCATCATAACGATCAGAATTATCTAATGGCATTGCGTAGTCTTGTTGATCGTCAAATTCATTATTTTGATATTTTTCTTCGTAATTCTGAATGAAGTTGTTAATTTGTGTTTCAGAAGTAGGTAATACGTCGCGATTTTCATATAATGGCTGCGAAAATGAGTTATGGATCGGATGAATTTGATCATCAAAATTTTCTAGATCTTGATAAGAATTTTCAACTGCATTCGGTTTTTCATTGATCTCAGAAAGTATATTGTAATGCAATATGTCAAAAGCAATGATTAATCTGTAAGATGAAGCTGCTAATACTTTTTGAGCAGTTTCTTTGTCTGTATATCGTGATAATATTTCTAATTGAAAGTTTGCCTTATATATATTTTGAATTGTGAACTCATATGTATTCAATAATTTTTGTAGTGGGGAATTATACCTAAAATATACATCGGCACAAGTTAGTTTAACTATGTGTTTCGTTTCTTTGAGTTTTACTGGTTCAATCGATTTGTTTTTTGAGTAATATAAGTCAAATGATGAAATATCCATGCGGATTAATTCTGAACATTTCTCTTTCAGCAATTTCACAGTCGAAAAGATCGGTACTGATAGTTCTATTGTAAAACTGCTTGGGAAATGAACGTAAATATTATGCATGGCATTTAAAAAGTGACACTCATTTTTTTTTCTTCCAGAACTTCTCATTCTACAGATTCTAATCTTAACAATCTTGCATTTTTAAATGATTGTTAATACTAAAGATAAAAAACATATTAAATACTGTAATATTCAAAATAAATTCTTCAATTATTATTATATTTGCCTCTATTTATTCAAACAAATGTTTACATAGCAGACGAAGAGCTCTGGTGTGTTATTTCAAATTTGAAAACTCCAACTTTTTCTCTAGGAACGTATGAAACGCCCAAATTTGACTTATTTGATTTTTGTGACTTATATGAAACCTTGCTCTGTACAGATACATTGTCCTTTACAACTACTTGAGGTTTCGATACCTTTCTTTGAGTCTTCTTTGAAACATTTCCGCCACGGATTGTACGTGCATTTAATGCCCTAATCATCGACTCTTCATTGTAGAATTGAACAATTGCGCAACCATTCAAGAGCTTAACGCGAAAAACTTGACCGAATTCCAAGCATTGTTCAAACAAATCTCTTTCCGAAGAAAAGTAACCATGGGAAATGAATATTGAATATAACTCTTCATTTTGAATCCTAATGACGTCATATCCGCAGATATTGGCATAAATTGGTTTTCCATCAACAATTCGATAGTTAATTGCATTAATTAAATTGGATGCGCCTACAATTGAGTGTAATGTAACGTTTGCTAAATTATTGTATCCATCATTAGTAGGAAAAACATTGACATTGATGATTTCTCCTGTGAATTGCGCGCAATAACGATACACCGATTCACGTGTAGCTTGAGGACATATTCCAGTAATATATACAATGACTTCTTGTTGCATTGTAGAAAAATGATTTTTAAATTTTTGCCTCAAAAATTTTCTGAATTGAACAAAATTGTCAAAATTTCAAATTTAAGAAAAATGTAAATTAATATTATACTTCTATTACAAAGGAAAATTTGATAGTTAGGAAAATTTTGACTGGGCATTATTTTTTCCAAAAAATTTGGAAAAAAAAACGAGAATTTTACAAATAAAAATTTAGGAGTTGCTGTTCATATATATGTGTCTTGTGTATTAACTTTTTTTCAAAAATGGAACAGAAAATTTTCATTTATGCTTTCAAAATCAACGCCATTCTCTTGAAGATCGTTTTTATGAAGTAAATAACTTCTAATTTCATGGAATGAAATGAATTTGCAATTGAATCGGAATCATGTGATATTATATTAATAAATGTTCTGATATTTTGCATTTGCTCATGTATGATAAAGATAATTGTGATGTTATGGTTCAATCAAATGACGTTATTTTTGATCAATTTTTTCATGAGAAAAAAAATATAAGAAAAGATGGTGTAGTCGTAATAATCTCCGAATAGAGAATAAACTTTATTTAAAAACATTTCAATAAATGAAAAAATAATAATAATTATTTTGTATTGCAAAAGTTTTGCTTAATTGAGTTCAGTTTCTTTGAATTTTGATAATCCACAATAACAGTAGGAAGGTTATTAGGGTTGTTGTAACGAGTTCCGAACTGAGTTCTGATCATGAAGCCTTCTGGGTCAACTGATAAGTCTGGATTACCTCCAGTCAATGATTCGAAGTTAATTACTTCGTTTCCGAAGTTTTTCTCGCCTGCAAACTTTGTTAAAATTACTTTTTCGTTATCAGAATGGCGGCAATCAATAATATCCTTGTTTTTATTGAATGCTCTCAAAAACTTCAAAACTTGTAATTTGCCGCCTCCTATTATAGCGCTATCAAAGTATGTTGGACGTTCTGACCAAAGATTGGAGCATTCGCCATTTGAGAAGCCAAATGGAAGTAGAGAAACTGGATTTTCGAGTACAAGGAGTTTGCTTGGATTGGAAATGAGCTGAAATGGGTCTTTGATGAAATATAATCTAGAAGCATTTGCAAGAAGGACTCTATTTGCAAATATTCCTGATGTAGTTAAATAGTTTTCTGCATCAATGTATTTTCTAAATGTATTTGAAACTGTTTTTGGAATTGATTTGTTTGTTTGAATGATTTTAACGCCGCAAGCTGCGTCTTCTAACTTGGCTGACTCATCATTTAAAAAGGCGACTATTTTTCCTATATATCCTGTTGAGCGAACTTCTTGTAAGAAAGAATTAAGATTATCATGTGTTTTTTCATAATCAAAAACGAGAATAAGATCATCAACTGAACTGTAAATTGTTGAATTATCAAATCTTTGGCATTTCATGCATTGTGGATAGTAATTGAAATTTTGTGGAATTGGAAGCTTCTCTCGAGGCAAACATACATAAAATATGATGAAATGAACCAATGAGAAGATAATTGTCATTCCGAATTCGAAATTACTAATTCTGCTCGTAAGGAAACTTTGTTTTTTCGCCTTCGGTTTCATTTGAGAAATCAAAACTAATAAAAAGATGAGAAACAAGCAAATTATAATCAACTCCATGTTAAAATTCCAAATTTTATGATCTGAAGGCTGGAAATGTTGTTTTTTAAAAATGAAAATTCAAATCTTAAAAATTATTCTTGGTCTTATGTAATATTATATAATTATTCTTATATAGCTCAAATTTAGTCAAAATAACATATAAATGGATAAATTTATTATGGGATATTCAAATTTTACTAAAATTAAAGCAAACTAAAGAGTATATCAGTAAATTTTTTATAATCATCCTCTTCTGACATGATTTCGATCATTTGGGAGTTATCATAGGAGTTGATGAAATTAATGAGGAAATCAACTTTTCCTAGTGGCAAAAGTATACCATATATGGAAGATATAAGCATGCAAATGGAAAATTTTGGGGATGTGCTGATAATAAAATCAAGAATTTCAACTAAAAAATTGAAATTCAATAAAACTTCAATTTTTTTGTAATTTAAAACCGGAACGAGGTCATAAAGAACGGTTAATAGCATCTCTTTCACATTAATTGATGAGTTTCCAAAATTATTGAATAAAAATTCAACAAATCCGGAATTAATCAAAAACAATCTCGTTGATTCATCATACACTATGCAATTATGGATAAACCTTAAGTATTCTACTCTGCATTTGTTATCAATTGAATCATATTGATTTAACAACTTAGAAATCAAAAAATTGGAGTCTAAATCGATATTTTCTCTTAAGTTATCAATTACTTGTAATGCAGAAATCTTAATTGCTGAATTTGGACAATCAAGCTTCGAAAGTACTTGATGAAATATATATTCATAATCTAAATCAAATCCATGGTCAATGAGCATTGATATAACTTCAAATGATGATATTACGAAGTCAGGATTCTCTGAAAAAAGAAAATTTTCTAATAAAATCAGTAAAAATTGACTTAATTCTTCGTTGATTTGGAAATTAATATTAAGTATACTCTTTACGAGTGATATTGATAACTCGCTGTAGTTTTGCTTGTCGAAATTTAAAATTTTTGATAACAAATCATTAAAATCAATGATTTCACTTAATTTTTCAGGGTCCAATGAGCAATAATCAATAATTCTACTCAGAATTGAGATTAACTTCGAAAACGTTGTGATATGGTTTTGTTTTTGTTCTAATATGATTGTAATGTCATGGATCAGCATATAGATTTCATCTGGTACTTCAGCTGAATCTTTTAAGCCAAAGAAATTCAAAATAAAGTCTAAAACGTATAAATTTTCTTGATTGGCATCCTTAATTAGTTCATCTATGTATTGGATATACTCCGTGATGTTTGGGGCTTTTGTAAATGCGTTTGTGCTGAAAAAATTTTGTACAATTAAGAAAAGTTGATTTCTTTCTTGAAAATTCATAGACTTTGATGACTTTAATATTTCAAGTATACTGTAATATGTATGAGAAACATTGCGTGATTTGAATTGGCCGGTATTTAATAGTATCTGAGCGTGAAATTGCTTATTTATGTTTCTTTTTATTGTGAGATTCTCGAGATAAAAAGTGACAGTAAATCAGAAATGAATACAGATCAAGTACCTTGGAGGCAGCCTGCCTTTTCTATTGCCTGTAATTTCATGCACTACCTTGTCGACAATCCATTATCAAACATATATTCCCGAAAAGGAATAAATCCTGTCGAAAATATCTTAAATAAACTCGAAAAAAGCTCATACTCTCTTGTATGCGAATGGAAGCAAGCTTTATACAAGATATTTAATGATACATCCTCATTTGATGAAGAAGAAAAACAAATTAATAATTTTTTAAAGAGTAAATTCGATAAAAAATACGAATACATAATGAAACTTGAGAATGCAAACTTCCGTGATATTATGGAAGATGTCGACAAAAAAGTCAAACTTATCACCGAGCATTCCACAAAAGAAACCTTTACATTCCAAAAACTATCAGAAATGTAATGTATTTTTCGCACTCTTACCCTTGTTTTTTGTTAAAATATTTATAATTTTTATATATCCTTACTTTTTCTCTCTGAAGCCAGAAAATTCAAAAATTCTTATATAAATATAACCACAAAGAGAGTTTAGTGCCATTGAAACTGATTCTTATTGAAAATATATTCCAATAGCTTACTTAAATGGATGGATAAAGCATATTGATAGCGATCTTAAGTCATTTTAATATCGAGAAAGTTACATTGCAATCAGAAATATCTTAAATCATAAAATTTTCATGAGCTCCACTTCTATTTCTTTTTTCCCCCAGTGAAATCTCATCAACTTTCTCATGAGTATATTTTTGGATACTTAAACCATGAAAAAAATGGTTCATAATTTCTGAAATTAAATAGAAACATTTATGATTATACAAGAATGAAAACATATATTGATAGATCTCCCATTGGAAGATAATACTTGCAAGCAATTGACTGACAAACAATCATTGGTGAGTCAATTTTATACTTTGCATTACAAAATGCAGTGGAAAGATGCATCAATCTAAGCGAAAATGAGTCAGTGGTCATACTTTCTGTTGCTGCTGAAATAGTTCCACTGTTGTTTTCAAAGAAACATCGGTATAGAACGACTGAATCGGGTGTATCTGTTGCAATCAGGACTGGAGAAATATTATCAATAAAAATGCAATCAAATGCACTTACTAATCCATAATATTGCTGGGCAAATATATTAAAGGGCGCCTTGTTTCCAATAATATTGCACTGCCACACTCTAGCATCTGATCCTGAATAGCATATACAATATCCATCATTATTGCTGCAATTATGGTATGTACAAAAATAGTTTTGAGCTGTGGAATTTGCATATCGGATGATCATGGATGACGTTTGTCGTGCGAAGCAGCTGGAAATATTAGTTCCAGAGAGAATTATGTTTCCATAATAAAGTCTTGTAGAGGAAAATGCGACTCCATACTTTCCATTCTCAACTTGAGAGCAATCAACTTGAAAATTAGTATAATTAGTGTTTTTTTCAGTAGCAAAGTACGAGAAATGACCTTCTTCAGTACATTTGCAATACTTAGAACATAATCTTGATTGAATAAAGCTTCCTTTGGTGGATACAAAAAGTGATCCTCCCAAACCAGAGGATGCTATATTGTAAAAAGAAGAGTCTTCAACAAGAACATCAGTATATGATCCAATTTGGGATAAATAAATCGATCTTTCGTTTGAATTTTTGAATTTATTAAACGAGATATAATAGTTTCCTGGTTTATTGATAATCCCACCATTGGACATGGTGTAAGAATCATCAAAGTAGCTTTCCCAATACCAATGAACTTGTCTTGCGGCCAAATTTTCTTGGTCAAGAAAAAGAACCTTCCGTTTTTCAAATAAAGGTATTTTCAAGTGTATTGGTATTTGTGTATATTAATACAGTTGCCAAAGGACTTTGGAGAAATCTATTCAAATTATTTAAAAATAACATGTGTTTTTTGGAGCTTAATAAGGATGCCTTCTTGTCCTCTTTGGGGAATATTACATCCCCAATTGGGGGGATCTGGGTGACAAAAATTGAGGAATATTGTTTGATGTTTTAAGAGTTAAACTGTAAAGTGTCAAAAAAATGGTCTTTTTAACCTTAAAATTTCAAAAATGCTTAGCTCTTTTAAACAGCTCTAAATGATTATCTATTGAAAACCAGATTTAATGATTATCAGAGAAGTATTTTAAAGATCATAATAAATAGACCTCATTGTTTATTTTTCGTTTTTTCTTGAAGAAGCCTAAAGATAATTCGAAATTAAAATCGAACTTGTTCTTTCGATAGGTGACTCGAGCAACCATATAGGATTATTCAGAAAGAATATTGCATTCCAGAAAAAAAAATGTTACAATCCAATAATTCAAATCAGAAAAACTATTAATCAAATCCCCTTGAAATTCCTCACGTATATCACTGCATCCATCTATACAAGTATATTCAGATCTATTAAAAAATCCACCTGTACCATCTTGAGATACTGATTGTAAGTCCATTATTCTTATATAATATATCATGAACATGATTCATTACCTGTTTTATTTTAAAAATTGCTCATTTAATACCTTTACAACAAAAAAAATTTAAAAATATACAAGATTAAATTACTAATATGCCATGAATGCCATAAATATGAGTTCTGATACATCTCCTTTATGCAACGAACCTCTTTCTTCTGTTTCCAAATGTTTTTCATTCTGAGAAATGAAAGGAATTACTGCAATACAATTAGCTGTTGACAAATGAGACAATGCATTAATAAATTTAGATGTCGTCTCTTGCACAGTTGGAGAATTACCAGAAAATGTATAGCTATCATAATAACAACTAATAATAATTAAACTATTTGCTACTTTGAAGAGTTTGCCTACTCCATTAGGATTATTATTCATCAAGCAGCATTTTGAAATCGTTAATGTTCTTGCGTAATTATTAACAATGCCTTCGCTGTCTAATAATTCTGAATTATTAATTATATTACAGGAATTTACAACTGCATTGCCAGAACACATCACAGCTCCAAATTGATTTGCAATGCCACTTGAGTAAGTGCAATAAGATGTATTCCAAAGATTAGCTGATTGTTCATTAAAAATTCCAGAACTATAGACACCTTTACAATATGATATATTATTAGATTTAGCAATAACATCATCATACCAAGTTGTGATCGGTCCATAGCCTGTTGAGAGATCACCACTATTGAAAATTGTACCTTCAAATGACCTTGAATCACGACAATTTGAAATTACAAAGATACCATCGCCATTAGAGTTGCATTCTGAAGCACAAAACTGTATTTGGAATATTGGTCCAGTCCCTGAATTATAAAAATAAACACTTCCTCCATTTCCACTATTTCTACATGATTGGAAAAGACATTTTACATGTAATAATGTAGTATTATCGGATTTACTTATGTAAATTGCACTATTCGATATTGTGTTGAAAGAACATTGAAAAGCAAAGCATTGCATGTTCTGAGCTGTGTCAATTCTTGTGTGATTGTTAATGAAGTAGGATCCGACCAAATTTGTGCCAATATAACTCTCCCATAGAGATTCAAGCATTGACATTTTGATTTTTTGATAACCTTTAAAAATTGCATAGATCGTAAAAGGTACATTCACTATTTTTGACAAAATTTTAAATTTTCATGGGGTTGTAAATCTTATAATAAGGAATGAATCCCAGTATAATGTGCATCATTATATTAAACACTATATGTAAGGCTAATGATTCTATTAACACTTATGAAGATCTATAGTATTTGAGCAGATAAATTTGATAATTTCCAAAACTCTTATATTTCAAAATTAAAGTGTGCGAATGCATTTAAATGAGAGCAAAAAGAGATTGATGCTGTTAAAACTAGGTGTTAATTTGCAATTATTTCGCATCACAAGAACTACCCAGTAAATTCGGCTATCTTTCTTTGCAATTATTCTCCATTATACATATAATATAATGGTTAGGGTTTGAAGAAAAGTTACTAGAGAATTATTGACTTTTGAAATAATGCAGAATTTTACTTGAAGAAATCATTAATTTATGAGTTCCAAATTGCTAAGCATGACGAAGGATCATTAAATTTGCTACAATTAAATACACTTATTGCAGAATTAAGATTTTTGAAATTAAAAGTTTGAAATATTGCCTTTTGAATAAAAATTTAAATTTTATTATATAATCATGATAATATCTTATAGAAATTAAAAGAAAATATTTTAAACCATTCAAATATTTTGAATGTCTTATCAATTTAAAATATTAAAAGATAGCTTGATTTTATCATCATTAGTTGTTATCAAAGTTTTCTTCTTTTGATGAACAACAGTAAATGATTTGTAATTACTTGTCTTCCTTTTTCGCAGCAAAATCGAAAGTTATGATGATAATCTTGCTCTCAATTTTGAAACTCTCTGATTTACAAGTAAGCATTCCTTTAGAAAAGCAGTCCTATTCTGTTTTCAAGATATTTTAAAGCCTCAATTTCATACAATGCGCAGATCTATTCGAAATTGCAAGAACTCTCAAGAAAAATGCAGCAGCAAAGAAGATTCCATAGTTTCTAGCATCAAAATTTACAACCTTAATACAACAGTTAAAGAGAAGCTCGAAAAGAAAATATTTAACCATAAAGCTGGAAACCATTCGATATCTACTATTGGATCTAATAAAAAGTTAATTATAACATATTTAACATGCTATTTGTTGACTTTGTTCTATTATATTACCATATATATCTTTTTGAAATCTAAAATATTTTTACGATTTTAACCATGTGTTGTTGAAACCATATATCAATCTTAGCTAAAGTATAGTTTATGAGTCTGTCACCATCTAACGTATGAATTTTCAAAAATGTCAAATATGTTCATTTTTTCTGTAGATTCAGCCATAATTTCACGTTGTTATACTATTCAACTATTATTTAATATTTTTATCGATTTAAATATATGATGAGATGCTTAGTTCTCCTGGAAATCGATTTTTAATCGCAATTTTAACTTTCCAAAAAAAATTCAAAAATAAAAATCCCTCTCAATTTTCTAAGTTTTATAACTCGCCAAATCTCTAGCCAAATTTTTTTTGGCCCGTATAAATATTGTTTGGCACTATATAGGGATGCTATTTATCCTATTTTCATCCCATTTTACTGTTATCGCCTAGTGAATGTACCTTTAGATCGTATTGATTTACATTCGCTTGAATCGCTATATTTGTTTTAAAATGTGTATATGTATTCAATTATCTCAAAAAAATGTAGAGTCTCAATTTTATTAGAAAAGACCAGGAAACGTCTCAATTTTTAAAGATTTACGATTCAAAAAAAAGATATGTGAGAAGATATTAGAGTTAAATTTAAATAACATGATTTGAGTAACTGTCAAAGAGCGAATAAGAGTGGATTACTCAAAGAATTAACCGATTTTTTCCCTCAATTATATAACCATCTTTTCTAACTTTTTTTTTGTTCTTGTTGTTGCTGCTGCTGCTGTGTATGTAGTTCATGTCGTTGTTATCTTAGAAATGTTAATTTATGAAATATCGTATGTCTGATGTCTGTTCATACGAATCTAAATAATTGTTAATATTAATAATATCTCGGGCATCCTTTAACAGCTTATTTCTCTGGTTTCTCTCATATTTTTAATTTTTTCCAAAATATCAAAAACTGAATGTATTCAAATCATTTGCATATTTCTAAGCATAAATTTTGAACTTCAGTATCATATATTTATCTAAAAGGATAGCAGAACATTATAAAGATTCTTGAAATTTTTATTAACAAGTTGAATGTTCAAAAAATAAAAGAAAACTATAAGGTACAAACTCTGAATTACACCCAAGAAATTATTATTGCTGATATTAACATTTTGATAAAAAAGATTAACTGAATTTGTATTGGTGGCATTTAGAAACTTTTATTTGCGTATTAAATAAAAACGTCGTAGGTAATGGCAGATTTTAAGTGCATTCTAAATAAAAAATAAATTTATTCCTTGGAAAGGCGCTGAGCGTTGCGCTGTTCGAGCTTCTCAAGTCTAAGCTTAAGGAAGAGTGGAACACGGTTGCGGCGAACGTTAACATTACGTGGGCGAACGACGTGGCGGTGGACAGCGCAGGAAACGCAGTAGTACTGCTTCTGGTATGTCTTTGGAAGCTCGTAGCCCTGATAGATGCAAGCATCGGAAACATCCTTAGCAGATGAAGCATCGACCATATTCTTGATAGCAAAACGTGTGATAGCCTTATCCTTTGGAACTTGGCGGCCGCAGTTCATGCAATTAACTGTTCTTGTGTGGCCACGGTTCATCTTTGAACGGCCATGATTTCTCCTCTTAACTGGCATCGGAAAGGCGGACCAATCGTCACTTTTATCGAAAATATTTCAAATGATTATTTCATCAATCTAAGGAATAATTTGATATATTTTATATCATTCCTAGAAAAACACTAAGTGGCTGGAGCAAAATTCGAATTTTGAAAAAATCAAATTGATTAACATTTCGTTTCATACACTTGTTCCTCAGTAAACCATATGGGCAAGCTGCAAGCTTGCCTTTTTTATTACCAACTTTCACGCAGATTAGCATACAAATAAAATTCATGTGTTAATTTTGATTATTTGCGGTCAGAAACTTTCATAAGACCATAAACTAAAGCATAACTAGATTCTCAAGCATTAAAATATATGAGAAAAATTAAATGAAAATCGACAGAAGTAACAAATGTATTTATGAAATATATATAATAAAGAGATAGAGTTTAAGTGTTACTTAGACTTTTTAAAAAAGAAGTTTTATTAAACTTAAAATTGGCTGTATTTCATTTATAGAACTACTAATTCATCTGCGAACATGTAGTGTGGATAATCTTTCCAGATGTAAGCCTGGTAGCGGATGTATCTACCAGAAGCGTTGCCCTGGAAGCCCTTAGCCAAGTAGGCGTAGGCAGTGTCATCCCATGGATATGTTTCTTCGTAGATTGTAGCCCATGAAACTCCATCATAAGAGACGGAAATCTTAACAACTTGTGGGGTGTAAATCATTTGATCGTGGTTTCTTAACCATGTAACGTAAACCTGATGGAACTCCTTAGATTCCTCCAAATCGACGGTGACATCGAATGTGTAGTTGTGGGAGTCATCATGGTGGAAGCCCTGCCAGACACCATCATGGAAGTCCCAGTTGCCTCTTAAGCCGTTTGTCATTTCGGCTTCATTGTGAGCTGGGTAGTATGGAGAGATTGGTGAGTTGTATGTGACCTTCTTGCCGCGAGCAAGGTGATCGATTGGAGCCTGAGACTCTTGTCTGTCACCCATATCAAGCTTGTATGGATGGTAGCCACGCTCTTCAAGGAGTTCGACATATCTTCTGAGGCGCTCCATGAATCCCTTCAAGTTCTTCTTGTCCTTTGGTAACCAGCCAGATTCAGCAATACCAATAACTCTTGGCCAGATCATGTACTCAGTATGTTCTGGTGTTGTGACGTATTCTGTCCAGAGGTTGCCCTGAACACCGTAGATGTTCTTGCGGAACTCTTCTGGGATGTCATTTGGAATTGGGAAGTAGTTGTAGACGGTTGTAACTGGAGTATAACCACCGATAGCGCGTGGCTGTGTAGCGGCAAGATCCTGATAAGTAATCGAGGTAAACCCACTGGCATAGTGTCATGATAACCTGGTGGCCGGCCTTGGCAGCTTCGATACCACCACCTTCGCCTGTCCATGACATAACGACGGCGTTTGGAGCAAGACCACCCTTGAGAATTTCATCCCAACCGATGAGTGTTCTGCCGTTCTCGTTGATGAACTTCTCAATGCGCTTGATGAGATATGACTGGAGCTGGTCAACTTCTGTGAAGTTGTTGTCCTTCATTCTCTGCTGGCACTTAGGGCAGTTGTACCAGGCACCCATTGATGCTTCATCACAACCAATGTGGATGTACTGGGATGGGAAGATGTCGAAGACCTCTGAGAGGATGTTCTCAAGGAATTCGAATGTTCCTTCGTTACCAACGCAGAAGTCGGAGTTCTTGTATGGCTGGCCAGAGCAGGAGAATTCTGGATAAGCATAGAGAACTTCTTCAGAGTGTCCTGGCATTTCAATTTCTGGGATAATTGTGATGTATCTGTCAGCAGCGTACTTGACAACTTCTCTCATGTCTTCCTGTGTGTAGTAGCCACCATAAGCACCTATTGTGCCTTCATCACTGTACTTTCTGTCATGGGCTTCGTTCCACCAGATCTGCCAATCTGATTCTGTACGATAAGCAGCCTTCTGTGTAAGAAGTGGGTACTTCTTGATTTCAAGACGCCAGCCACCAGCATCTGTAAGGTGGATGTGGAATCTGCTGATCTTGAAGTAGGCGAGGCAGTCAATCTGCTTCAATAAGAAGTCCTTTGGAACAAAGTGACGAGAAACATCGAGCATGAGACCACGGTACTTGAAAGCTGGGCAATCTTTGATGGGGAGGCATGGGATCTCTCCAGAGCCTTTACTCATGTGATATAATTGGATGATGATCTGTAAACCGTAGAAAAGACCACGGGCTGATCCAGACTTGATAACAACAGAACTTGTTGAGACCTCAACTGTGTATTCGTCTTCTGTTGTCATTGTTGAATCGATAAGAGCGGAAACCTGATTTGTCTTCATGTCCATTGGTGAAAGCTTTAATGGGACATCCTGGACACTGAGGAAATCGAGGAATCTCTCGCGGTCCTCAGCTGGGGCTGTTCTTTACAATAAATTTATTGAATTAGTAATATTAGTAATTCAATAAATTGTTATTTTGTCACATTGAGAAGTTCTCAAAAAAAAATATTGAAAAGTGTTTTTCATTATGACGGTTCACGATTATTGAAACTCCCCACATTATCTGAACTGCTATGACATGTGATATATTGAATGATAATTGTCCATTTGAACGTTTAGCATAAATCGAATTCAAGAAAAATTAGACGGTTCAAATCAGAGATGTGATCTCATTGGCAATTGTAGTTTTAAGGAGAAATATTGGTAATATATTACACAGTTTCATTATTAGAGAGCGAAAAACCAGGTTGGTTGCAGTTACAGGATTCAGGAATTGATTGAAAAATTAACATGTTAAAGAAAAGCCAAATATCCTGTAATTATTTGAGTTTGAGGTGTTTCTTCTAAGTTTATCAATGAATTTGCCTTGGCAAACTTTCTTTCATCGTCACATTTGTGAAGGAAATAACATAGAAAAATAAGGTTGTGGAATTCTTTGTCAATGTTCTTATCATTATTTCATGAGCTCTAGCAGCTAATAAGTTTAATTTTGATGATCACTTAACTAAACTGTTTAATCGAATTTTCCGAAAAAATATTCGAACAAAAATCGTAGAAGAAAGTGAATGTTAATGCTTTTGCACCTAATATATTGATTTCAATATATGTCACATGAATTATATTTGCAAATCCTGAAAATTAATTTCAACTTAGTGTAATCATTTCATGAATGTTATAGATTGTAAACATACCAGCAAAAGGAAATAAATAACAGTAATGATTTCTTAAAAAATAACTTTATTAATCAAACAATCTATAAAAAATAATAAAAGGCTGTTCTTAATGAATGATTCGACAATCATTCAAAGACATCATTTAATTAAAGATCTATTGCTGTTGAAATTAGTAGGAATCACGTCTTGGGCCACGATTATAACCTCTATCATTATAATTTCTATTTGGATTCCTGTAATAATCATTTCTATCAGGATTTCTGTCATAACCTCTGTCCGGATTGTAACGATTATAATATGGAGGTGGAGCAGCTTGTTCTGGAGATGGATATCTTCTTCTATTTGGTTGATACTCGTCAGGTTGCGGATACTCGTATATTCCTTGGCCAGGAAGTAGTAAATCTGGTCGATAAGCAGTAGATTCAGGTGGTGGATAGTCTCTTATCACGTTTTCTTGGTATCTTCGTGGAGGAACTTGATCACTGTATCTTGGATTTCTATCGTAATTATAATTTCTGTTTCTTTGGTATGGATCCCTTTCATTTTCTCTTTCAAAATCACGATATCTATTGCGATCTCTTTCTCTGTAATTGTCTCTATCTCTATCACGTTCTCTATCCCTGTCTCTGTCTCTATCGCGACTTCTTGTGTTTGTATTTTGGATTGGTTGTAAATCTTCTAAAGACAAAGAACTGTGTCCCATAACATGTGAAACTGGACACAACTCTAGAATGTTGTCTGAAGGTATTATCGGATGTATAAAATTGCATTTTTCATTATGAGGACATTTACCTTCTTTAAACTGGCGGCAAACAGCAACATTAAAGTTGACAACAGGAGAAAACTGAACATCAATCGGGCGGCCGCCATAGTACCTTCCTCGTAAATTATTGTAAGCTGTAAGTGCGTTTTCTAAATTTTCATACATAACTAAAACATTTCCGAGTAAATGCTCGCAGAGATTACCTGATACAACAAATTCTGAAATAGGACCAAATGTTCGAAGTTCTTCGTAAACATCAAGGTAAAATTCATCAAAATTATTGCGAATTGTTTCATTTTCGATTATTAATGTGTCTGGTGGAAGTAATGACATAAAATGATATGGATTTTGGTAGAAATTTGCTAAAAGTAATGTATTTGAAACTTGTGGCTTGATGTGCATCCTTGAACAGATTTCTCCATGCATGCATGCGCCAGTTCGCTCAAAAAAAGAACAATAAATCCGATCTTTTTCTGAGCTTGCGCGAGATTTTTGATTTCGCATGAATGAACAAAAGTGTCAAAAGTGTTTCATAGATAAAAACTTAATTTTTGCATGTATTTATAATCTATGTGTTTTATATACTTGATTTATCGATTTAAATTTTCTAAAATTCCTCAAAATTTTTCATAATTTCTGCTTTTTCATAAAAAATTTACAAGTTTTTAATTTCATTTTTAAAATTTCAAAAAAAAATTTGGAAAATCAACATGCTTAGAAACTCTTTATTTCATAGGCCTGTCCAAACTTTTCAAAAAGCTTACCACGTGGAAGGAAGAGACCAAAAAAATCGTGCCTCGGCGGCTTCGCCGCCTCGGCACTAAAAACAGCATACCATATTTAATATGTCCTTTTTTCTTTTTCTCTTTTCCTCTTTCTCTCTCCTTCTTTTTCTTTCTTCTCTTTTTCCTTCTTTTCTTCTCACTTTCTTTTTGGAGCTGCTTTACTTTGAAATCTCTCATCAATCGATGAGAGAAATAATAGTAAAGTAGCTTCAATGTATATACGTATATTGATTGGGTTATGGTTAGCGGTAATGTCTGTATGTAGTTCGATTGGAGCTGCCTCACTCTGAGATCTCTCATCAAATGAAGAGTTCTCAGAGTGAGGCAGCTCCAATGTGTATGTGCGTATTGATTGGGTTGCTGTAATAAGCAGTGCTTGTGTGTAGTTCGATTGGAACTACTTTACTCTGAGATCTGTCATCAATCGATGAGAGTTCTCAGAGTAAAACTGTTCCAATGTGTAATCTTGTGCTAGCTTGTCTGTTCGATTGGAACTGCTTTACTCTGAGTTCTCTCATCAATTGATGAGAGAAATAAGAGCAAAGTAGCTCCAATGTATATATGTGTATTGATTCGGTTTGGTTAGCTGGACTGTCATCAATCGATGAGAATTCTCAGAGCAAAGCAGCTCCAATGTGTAAATTTGTATTAGTTCGTGTGAAAGAAGTTGTAGTGCTGGTGCGTAGTTTGACTTTCAAGAAGCTCGCGATTCAAAACTCATCAAATGAAAAGTTTATAGTGGGCTTCTTGATAATATGTTAAAGGTGATGTTCTTGTTCGAGTTGTAACAAGAAGGAATACATGAGTACGTAAGCTCGGCATTCGCCGAGCGAATTAAAGATAACGGACGAATTTAAATTATTTTATTTCAAAATTTAAAATTTTAATATTTAATTATATAAATTAAAATAAACATTTTTACCAATTTTTATAAAAAAATCTGTGTCATATCGTTTTACCACAATTCAAAATAATTAATGTTGATAAATATATTTAATATGTAATATTAATCATATTTTGTGCGAGAAGTGAGTTGTGGTAACTTTCGTGGATATACATCGTTCATTTTATGGTGAAAGTTCTCAATTTGTGGGAAAAGTTCTCAATTTTGTGGTATTTTTAGGTTCCACAACTCAATTTATGGTCATTTCATCTTACCACATGGTAAGTTTTTATAAAACTCTATATTTATCATTGATTTCTGATTTAATAACAATATCTTGAATAATTGAGCATATCTATCGCTTTAAATTTTATTCTCCAATTCCAAAAAAATTTCAAAAATCAAAAAATGAAAAAAATATTTATAATTTTTGCCGTGAAAAATCAAAAATATTCACACTGTGTGGTTTCCATGGAAAGTTACCACTGGGACCCACAGGGATTGGCCTATTTATTTCTCTATATATCGTTGATATTCATAAAATCTTTCGATTTTTATTTTGATTAGGATAATTTCAAGAAATTTTATCAAGTAATCTTGGTTTTTATACTATGATAACATCAACAAAGCTTTTTATCACTTTAAAATTGAATTTTGTGCAAAGGATAAATAATAAACGGCTGAACATCTCACAAAAAAATTCGTTGAATTTACAGAAATGGCGCAATCAGCAGACGCTTACTTCATAGGTAGAATCGAAGGTGCATCAGGATTCAAGCAAGCAGCCTTCTGCAGGTTCTGGTTTGTAAATGGAACTCAATGGCGTCTTGTTAGCGGCCTTGCTTTAGGACAAACTCAAACAGATAAATCTGGCGACGATAGCGACGTTGTTGTTTGGAGTCATCCAATCGATGCATACTACGAGTTTACTGGAATTCAGGGATGGCCAAAGCTTTCCTTCCAAGTTTGGCAACATGATGAACTTGGTAGATCATATCTTGGTGGATATGCATTTTGCCCACTCCCCATGGAACCAGGAAATCATAAAATTGACGTTGATGTTTGGAGACCAATAGGAACTAATGTTGAAGAATTAACTGCAAAATATATTGGCGGTTCTCCACTTTTGAAGAATCAAGAACTTGCTCACTTACCAACAGATCGCTATAAACTTAAATCAGAAACAGTTGGAAAAATTCATTTAGATATTAATCTAATATTAGGTAGAACTTCGGCATTCCAAATTGCATTTTAATTTCGTTTACAATTTATACTATGACTTTTTGATTACAGAACGGTAAACATGTTTTTATTTGCTTTTAAATTCATTTATTTTTGATTTACTGAGAATTCTAATCCTAAATTTCTAATGTTGTTATTCTTCACCTCATGCATATAAAATGGAAAAAGAATTTCTAGAAATATAAAGAATCATAAGTTTGGTATTAATTTATTTGTGCACTCACGATAATCAAGCATCTTAAATCGCATACGGAATTTTATGCTTTAGTTTCATTCATATCATTCAACAATTTGTTTAATTTTATCTAAATATTTTTCTTAATAATCTAAAAGAATGACCATACAATTAATAATTCTATATAGTTTAGTTCAGTAGTTAATATATCGTAAAGTAGCTTTAATTTTCGAGAATGAATAGTAGTTTTACATAAAAACAGATTTATTAGTATTATTCTCGGTTGAACCATATCTTAAGACGGTATGCTTCGTTTCCATTTAAGTAATATCTGAATAGACGTTTTGTACGTACAAAACCAAGTGATTCGTATAAGCGGAGAGCTGGGAAATTGTCCACTTCTGTCTCTATAACAACTTCTGTGCATGTCTTTTTCATTTCCTCGATTAAATCTACAGCTAATTTCTTTCCGATACCTTTCTTTCTATGTTCCTTTAAGACAACCAACATTGCGATGTAACCTTTCACACGACCATCATCCTTCTTTGTCTCTCGACCGATAATTGCGCCAACAAGCTGGCCATTGCAATGGGCCAACAAACAATGTTGGGGACAAACAGCCATGAAGTATCTATATGTGAAAAGTCCATATGGTTCGGAAAGCTCGTCATCAATTAGTTTGAAAACTTCTTGAACTTCTTCTTCTCCTTTGTAAGCTCTATATGTGATGTCTGACATTGAGGAACGATAAATGAAAAAGTGACAAAACAAAAATTTGTTCTGAAAAAATCTCCATAATTCCTGCATCAAGACATCTTTTTTCGTGAATATTTTATAGATATCTGCCACACATAATCCAAATATTGAATAATCAATCTTCTTATTCATATATTTAATATTCTATCTGCAAAACTTCTTTGGAGTCTCAATTTCCTTTTTTAACGAACATAGCTATGTTTTTGTTCGATAAAAATGGGTACATATTATCATAGGAAATTTTCCAATGAAAATATTACAGTATACGGAAAAAGTAGGTCTTAAAATCATTTTGGGTCTTATTTTTAACCGCAAAATTCCCACAATTTTGAATACTTTGGCAAAAAAACTTGCAAAAACATAGCGTCTATATACTATGTATATTAAGATTTTGCAAAGTGTCAAAAAATAAAAAATTAAAAAAAAATTTTAGGGAGTTCGAAAAAAGTAATGATTGTAAGAGATGGGAAGTATTTACGCTTGAAGTCGGAGCGGATATGAAAAGAATTTGTAGAGGCGCATATCTTGGTATGCAAAATTGAGATACTGTGTTGAAATCTACAAAATTCAAAATCTGACACAAGTCTCTCTGACCATATTAGACTCGTATTCTTTCTCTGTTGTATGAGATTTAATGAAAATGCTCGTTAATAGATACACATCTATTTAAAAATGATATCCGTTATTAAATCATATGCTCTGTGGACGCAGAAACTTGTGTTTTCGACTTTGTAAGTTGGTAATGAGCGATGCGAATGGGTCAGTTTGGTTAGTAAAGTCATCTAAGAAAAAATCGTTAATTGAACAATATGTAATAATTTTTGAAAATGAAGTAAATAGTATATTGAAATGTGCAGTATTAAGCTACTCTTTGACCTTGTAAGTTTTGATCAATTATGTAGCTGAAGGTATATTTGCAGGTAAGCAAGTTTGGGGAAAAATCTTATAGCTAAAAATAAAAATTGTATAAAATAATTATGTGGTTCATTTGCTAACGTGCTTTATTTTTGGGGTCGGAAAACCCAGGTTCGAATCCGAATAAATCTTATTTTTTCTTTTTTCATTATATCAATAAATTGTATTATACTCAAGAATTATTTTAATAAGAATCAATTTGGAATTTGAACCATGAATAATATATTTCGTATTTAAATACTCATATTTTTGTAAAATAATCTTTTCGGTTATATTACAATCAAATTACAAAACAGGTATAAGATTTTTTAATCCTAAATTCAAAATATATGAACTTTGATCTTTAAATTTTAAACAATTTTGAGAAAGAAATATTGTTAATCGCTTAATATTCTTATGTATATAAGTTGATTATGCAGCTGTGTGTCAAAATCCAATTTTTAATACCAATCTCATTTATTCTTCAAATTATTTTTATTATTATAATCATGAGATCTGGTATTATATGAATAATATCACATTTCAACATAAACGTGAATAAATTTCAAAATTGCAAAACAATCACCTCAATTTCTCTATTTATTCATATTAACTTATTTTCGATATACCCATTTAATTAGTTTCATGTATGTTAGCATGTGACAATAGATATTTGAAGCTTAAATGATGGATTGCCGAAGAAATTAACAAAAAATTCTTATATTTTTGATTTATGATCATACAAACATAATGACTTACAACAAATATCATTATAATACATAATTACCATAGTTGGATCTCAAATTAAAAATATTATTATATTTGGATATTATTCTCAGTAATTTTCAATTTTGCTTTATATGAGATTCAAACAGACCATTAGATACATGTTATAGCCAATCAATATTTTCATAAGAATAAAAATTTTTTAGAATATTGTTTTATGTTTTTTATAATTGACAGTCTATTTGTATCTACCTATCTTAAAATACATTTTATGTTTGTAATCGCTCTTCCACCTATAACAATTTAGAACAATTCTGAATATTTAAATGTTTTGATATGGATAATTCAGTTATACCAAGATTGACTAAGTCTCTTGGTATGAATATTGAACTTGAGAACATTTACTTGATTCATATTAATAAATTTGTGTCAAATTCAAATAATTGTTATTAGTAATCTTAATTTATTCAATATATATGACTGAAAACAGTTTACTTGTTTCTTACTAATAGCAATCTTCTATTTATTTTTCAAGTATAAAAAAAAGAAAAAAAGAAAAGCGTGATACTTAATTCGAACTCGGAACCTCAACAGTAAAGCCAATTCGGTGGTTTTAACCGTTAGACTACACCTCAATTTCATACGAAGTGAATTTCACAGATATTTATGCGGCCCACTCTGTCAAAAAAATAAGACCAAAAGTGAGCTTAAGACCCAAATTTTCCGTATACTGTTAGATAATGATGTATGGGAACATAAATTACGCTATAGATTGATAACTTGAAAGTTCTCATATTTGGTATTTCGGTTTAGATTGTTAGTTTAATGCATTAAATTTGTTATTGAACGGTATAAACTAGGGTTGGCGTCACGAGGCGTCACGATGTAAAGTTCAGAGAATTCAGATGTTTACATTTATTTTTGAGAAGTTTACGGTGTCACGAGAGAAAATTTGAGAGGGCTGGCGTCACGAAAAGTGTCAATATAGGGAATTTTCATATGCGCATCCAAATATTTCATATAGCTCAGCAAAAAAAAAAAAAAAAAAAAAAAAAGGTAGTGGGGCTTCCAGGGGCTGCGCCCCTTCTAGCCCTGAAGATGTTTAGTATAATGAAGTTTTTATTCGGAAAATTGTTAGTCTTGTGGTTCATCTTCTTGAGTAGAGTCTTCTTCTTCAACATCAAAGTCATCTGGTGTATCGAATTGAATGTATGAAAGCCAAATGTTGTATGTGTTTTCCAATTGGCTTTCAAACTTGAGATACATTCCATGCATGAGTGTTATTTCAGTTTCAACGTAGAGTTGCTGATGTGGCTTGAAGACATGCATGAGAATTGGTCCTCCAAATTCGTCCTTGAAAAACTTGCAGTAGCAAACATAAACTGAGATAGAGTCTCCTTCTTCAATGTCTTCTGCTTGGTTAACGAAATGAATAGCAATTTTGCGTACTTGAATTGTGTTGTTGTCTGAGTAAAATAATGGTTTGAACTTGGGGTTGAGTGAGCTAAGACATTGCCATTTTGCTGTTTCTTGTCCGTACTCACGTTCTTCTTCGTCATCCTGATATCCGTAACTCTTTAATTTGAATTCGACACAAAACTGTTCGACTTTTTTTGCAGCTTTGGGTGGAAGACTTTCAATAAGCTGACATATAGTTCTGTCAAACACTATCTTTGTTATTGTTGGAAAATAGTTGACAATTGTGTCGCCTAATTCGAATGGGTCAGGTGTTTCTTTTTGTAGTTTGGTAAAGTCTGCAAGAACTTTGTTGAGTTGTTCACAATATTCTTTGTTAAAAGTTGCAGCAACTCTTTCTTCTGGCTTTGAATTGAAGTATTCTTCAGACAATCTGAGTAGTATTTTGCGTAGTTCAGCGTTGCTGTGGTTCTTTGTAATACGGAGCTCGTTTGGTATTGTTTTTGGTAGTGAAAGTGGCTTTGGATTGAGCGAATTGCAGGACAAATTTGAATTTGAATTGTCTGTTCTGCTTGGAGAATGTGTAGATGCTGCAGTTTGATATTGAGGCTCTAAACCTGTGGGCGCTGAAAGTCTGCAAGCAATTTCTTCAGGTGAATTTGGAGCGAACACGCTAGCGAATGCCATTAGACAAAAATAAACTGTTTTTTCGGACTACTCATAGAAAAGTTTAAAATAAACCGTTTTCGTCAACGGTAACCCCCTCTATTTTTTTATTTTATTTAATAGTTACCGTTGGCAAACCGTTCCATCTCAAATATTGAATGAACTATAAACGTTTTTTGTTTTCTATATATACTTTTTTCACCATCGGACAAACTTTTGACAGAAAGGAGCTTACACATACTTTACACTTGTCAAAATATTTTTAACATACGATAGTATATATTTGCTCGAACAAATAATGGTCTATCGTCAACGCTCATAGAGATAGACCCACTTTTCTAAAGTATATATTTGAGTACTTTAAAAAAATATTATAGAACGATATAACAAATATTTTACAAAACTGACAACACTTTGACCGAGTAGTTTTTTGAGCTGAACAAAAAGTGTCATATAAACATCTGTCAAAAACCGCTTTTTAACTTCACTTAAAATGCCACGTAAGCTACGTAAGAATATACGTAAGAGGAAGAGAGCATTGAAACATCCAATAGTAAAACTGACACCACAACAACAGTTGCAACAACAAATGCTGAATGACCCCACTATGTTGCAACAAATGTCAAGCAATCCTATGCTTTTAAACCGAGTTGTTGGTGCACAGAGTGGAGGTTTAAGAGCGGCACTTTTAGCGAAAATGGCAGGCTATGGTGGAGCTGCAGACGGAACAGCATATAACCCTCAAAGTCAAATGAATTTGAGTTCACTCAAAAATCAAATAACAGATGTCAAAAAGTCAAACATAGACATACAGAAGCAAATAAGTGAAAACGAAAAGAAACTAGAATATGACAGACACACAAAGAAACTCAATGAGTTAAACGTAGAGAAAAAGAAGAAAGAAGAACAACTGAAAGAACTAAGTACAGAGGAATATGCGAAAAAAGTGTCAGAAAAAGCAGCAGAAGTAGCAAAAATGGAACAAGATGTCATAAATTTGAAAAACCATACTACTCAATATAAAATACTGAAAGATGAAGAGATAAAACAAAAAGCCCTGAAGACATATATGGATAGCGATGAGTATAAAAAAGAAGTTGAAGCAAATGTAAAGGCAGAAAAACTTTTACAGTTGCAAAACCAAACCGTACAGTATGAAAACTTAGCACAAGAAAGTAAAAATAACGACGCGGCTATGCAAAAGGCAATGAAAAGCGCAGAATATATAAAAGCTAACAATGACTGGTTAGATGCCCAAGCCAACGCTAAAGCAGCCCAACTCATAGGGTCAATAAGGACAAAAATACAAGCGGATGAAGATAGTTCAAATGAAGCTTTAACAAATGCTGACTTTAAGAACGCTTTCGAAGCTCTTCATAGTAAGGTGAAACAAGTGAACGACTTCTCATCTGGAAAGAAACTGAAGTCTGAAGGTTTCGACAAAGAGTTAAAAGAAGTAGCACAAAATATGACGAAAATAACAGATGCAGCAACGAGACAGGCAGTTCAAAGTGCCTATGACGCCGTTAGAGCAACTGTTGTGAAAAGTCAAGAAAAAGAGTTACAACAGACCAAAACAGACCTAGTAAATGCTTTCTTAAGAACGAAAAGTCAGGTAGGACATTACGCTGCAGATGGAACATATGTGCCAGCTGGTGGAACTTATATACCACCAAACCCTCCAAGAGAAGCACCTGCACCAGGACTACCTAACACATTTACATCGTCACATGGACACAGACACAGGCATGCACCAAAACCAACACAACAACAACAACAACCAGCACAACAACCAACACAACAACCAGCACAGCAACCAACAGTTCAAAACCCTGCACAACAACAACCACAAACAGAGCAAGGACATAAAAGAAGTAGAGAACAAGGAAACCAAGAATTCTTAAAAATGCTTAAAGAAGAGTGTGGTTTCCCAGATACTGTTGACTTTAGTGACAGATATAAAGAAGCTATTGGAAAGTTCAAGGATGGAAATACTGACCCGAACCTATTTAGCTTTATGGCTCAGCACCAAAACGGATATAATCTCAAACCTGGAAAATACAAGCTCGCTAAGGGATATGATTTAATAGCATATCATCCAAATGACATGGATGAATTTACTCCGAGATATTTGATGTCAGAGCTAAATGACAATTCAACTTTCGTCATGAAACGCGTAAAAAATAGAGACGGAACGAAAGAACAAAAGCTTATGAATGCGGATGACGTAGATAGGGAAATTGTTGAAAACGGTCTCGGAATATATGAAATGCCAGCAGATGAGGTACAAGAAACTCCACAGGAAGAAGTTCAGATACAACCAGACATGGAAGAAATAGTTCAGCAACAACAGCTAGAAGAGCCTGAAGGAAACGAACAAGTCACTCCTTTGGAAACTAACTTCACAGAACTAGATGAAGATTTGGAACAGCCGAAAAATCTTGACCCTCAACAAGAGTATGCGGAGAATATGGAATATTTCCAAGAGTCTAAAAAAAATTCGGCTGACATAGTAGAAGAATATCGAAAAATGTTTGCCGACATACAAAAGACTCCAACACCAGATGAAAATATTCAGCATAGAATGGAAGTACTGAAAGAAAATGTACACAAATACAACAACCCTTTTTACTTACGAGCATTTAACGTTCAATCTTCGGATGAACTCGGTGAAAATAAAAGGTTAAATTTCAAGAAAACATATAGAAATGAAACATTGTTTAAAGTTCATTCAGAACCTAACCAAGATGGAAACAAACCTACTTTTGTTTCTGCAGACGATGGAACTACAATGAGATGGGGTCATAAAGCTAACCCGGATAGGTGGTTCATAAACTTACAACCACAATTCCAAGAAGTTGTAGACGCAATGGAAGTCAATGGTGAACCAGATATAGCTGGTATTTTAAGCGCGGCTTTAATGCCATTGAAAGATATGAAACATGCAGATATTTTGGACCAGTATGAAATGAACATGGCTGATGGAAATATAACACCTGACGTTCTAGAACATTTATCTCAAAGAACTACACAGAACCATAGAGATGGTATATTTGGTGAAGAGTTTAGAAAGAAAGTTAGGGAGAGAGAAGGAAGAGAACCTATTGTACATGACCTTGCAAACGAAAGTTTACAAAATGTCATAAAAACTTACTTTGCAGACGATGAATCGAGAAGGGATGAATATTTAAGAAAACTCAAATGGACAGTACCAAATGAAATGTTAGTATTGAAAAAATGTTCCTTGACAAAATAAAACCAACTACAGAAATAAACGACGCAAGACTGAAAGATTGGGTAAAAGCTTTCCCATTCACAAAAGATATAGTTGGTAACATGGAAAGAAAACCAGAATGGCTACAAAAACATATATTTGGAAACGAGCTTATTCCATATGGACAGGCACTGTTTGAAGCGCTTGAACCGGAAACTCAGGAAAGAGTCATGCAAACAATACGCGAAGACTCAAATACAGACTATGACAAACTCTTTCTAGGATATAGGTTACCTGAGATGGGCGACCAGAGCCAAAAGGCAAAAAGGACATGGGAAATTGCAACATACTAGATGAACATAAATGCAGATGCAACAACTTCAAGCAGAGGGCAATGAAGGAAAAAGAAGAGTTAAAAACTCAGTCAGGAAGAAAGTAAAGCTTGGTCCACGTGGGTTCTATTATGACATATAAATCCAACCACTATTCTATATTTTTACTCATATGAAATGTACGCCGCTCAGAATATAACGCCAACAGTTTTGGATGCTATGAATGGAAATGTTTCCGAATGGTATAACGAATGCGACAATGCCATTAGAAGGTCAGAAATAGTTCCTGGAACTTACGAATATACAACTGCTGTTTCTTATGGAAACGTAGGTGAGTTTGGAGAAGGTTCTTCAACAACAGTAGATATTGCTTGCGACAGGTTTCATATAATTTCTATTGACAACTCATTCTTATACGTGGAACAAGACATTGAAATAAAACCTTCTGCCAAGTTGTCTGACAAGAAAGGTTGCAATGGAATTTTCTATGTCGGATACCAATATGCTCCAGAAGTTTTCATGGGATATAAGATATATTCTAACTCTGACTTAGTTCAAACAGTAACATGGGCAAACTATGAATGGTTCGCTTTGAGAAACTCAGTACAACCACAAGCTAGAGAACAAACAGACCAGTATGCAACTATTGAGAAAATAAGAAGACTTGACCCTAACGTTCCAGGAGTTTATGTTAACCTTTCTGGACAATGAAATGCAGTCACTAAAGTAAAACTGAAACTTAGAGTTCCTTTGTCATCTTTCCTCATCTTCAGGTTTTTAAGATACTTGCCAAACTGGGCAGGAAAAATTTCTATCGAACTTACTCCAAGCAAAAATAACTTAGTCATTGCACCAACACAAGACCCATTCACTCTTAGCAGAACTGGGGAGCATTCGTGACTTTTGCAAAGACAAAGTTGACTTAGACTTTGGTTTCTCAAACTTCAACACTGAAGTAAACTATTATTTCAATGCTGCTGGAACTGCTTGGGACCCAGTTAAGTTCACATGCGAAAATTTGAATGCAAGAGAATAGAAAGCAGACTTGCAGTCTATATGTTGGACCCAGATATTTCAAATGCTTTAGCTGCCAAATATATTGCAGTTCCACTTATGTTCCCTATACACCAAATATCTGTCAAAGACTTTGCAGGTGAAGTTGGAAACCAAAGTGCTGACCCAGGTGCAAGAACAGATATTGCTTTAACAACTGCAATGAAACATGCAGATACTATGTTTGTACTGTTCAGACGAACTATAAATGACTATTCTTGTTTCTACAACCCTGGTATTAAATATCATATAAACATAGATGGCAAATATTATCCAAGAGAAGAATATTCTACAGTTGAGGATATGAGGTCATACAACTTGACATTAGATGCTATGAACTTTAACAACAACTTCACAACAACCATTAACCCTGAAATGCAAAGTTCTATTATGCCATATGTGAAAGTATGGACTCATACAGGAGGTCAAAAAACTCAATATACAAATGGAGACCGTTCAAACTTTTGGCTTGGCATTCCATTTGCTGACTCAGAAGACTTTATGGGTGGTATTTCAACTGTTGGTACAGTTCAAATACAATATACTGGTGACAGAGACGGTCCAGATGAATTGAAAGCAAAGAAGTTTACAAAACCAATAGCACTTTTCACGGAAGATGCTCTTTTGAAGATTCGTTCGATGAAACCTGCTGGGGCTCCTCAGATTGGCATAACGACAGCTTCCATCGAGCAGATTTTGGCAGCAGGTCAGTAAGTTGTTCTTGAACTGACTTCTCTCCGTCAAATATTGACAGTACGCCAGTTTTGACATAAATTGTATTATAAACTTACCTTTAGAAATATCGTCAGTTTTGTTGTTATATTTTTGTCTGCTTCAAGAACTTTCACCATTTCGGTTATACCAACTTTCTTTGCTTTATGAAAATATTTTGGTTCAGCAAAGACTGCTATTCTATAACATTTTCCATTGTTTGTGTAAAGAACTATTCTGTCAATGAACTTGTATTGTTTGTGTGTGTAAACTTTGTTTGCTTCAATTCGAAGAGATACTCAAATACGTCCATCTTTTTATTCTAAGTAAAATGTCATTTCCGAAAAATAGAAGCGTAAGTGTTTCAAAAGGTTTAATGGCGGTGGCAGATGTGAAGTTAAATTCACCAACTCAAACAAACAGTCAAAGTGTTGTTGTCAATGTCAAAGAAAGAGATGTTGAAGTGGGGAAACCATACGAAGACGAAGATGGTATAACAATAGTTCCTGTAAAAGAACAACCAACATACCCTGAAGTTAGCAGAGACTTAAGTTCTGTTGCAGATATTCGAAACGACTACAACAACTGAAAGACAAACTTAAAACTCAGGAGAAGATTTGTCAAGCTTTGGGTATAATGTTAAACTTGGTCGAACACAACCCTGTAAAAGTGAACTCATATGTCATTGCACCTCATGAAGTTTTGAAAGAACTATTGAAACTTTTGACAGAGGCAGACGATATAAACATCAAAGAAATAGAACCCGACATTGCTTGCTGTGGTGTTTCATATAATGTCATTGACAAGATATACGTTATGAAAGGAGGTGAAACGTTGAACTTAAAATATAGTTTCCCAGACGTCATAAAAATATTTGACGACCACAACATTTCATTAAAATTTATTGCTAAGTAAATGGCAGAAGACATAGTGGTTTATACTATTACGACTAAAAACCCTGAGTCATATAATTCTATAACAACAAACTTACAAAGTCCTCAAGGACGGTATTGTAAACTGACCTTAAACACAATGACGACTAAAGCCTGTTTTGCTCTTTTGACACCAGAAGATTTATTGTTGTGAATGGTAAAAAATACTTCTTTTGAAGATACTTACTCAGATATACCACCAACAGGTTTTGTTGACTTATTTAATACTTTAAGGACGGATGTAACATGTGCTGCAACTAGAGCAGGTTTCATTATGTTTGGATGTCCGACTGAGTTTACTATAAACGATATGAGCTATAATACAAAACTTATATTCTGGTTTTTACTACCAACAGTTTCCTATAACAGGAAAAGGTGTCATACAAGGAATGTCTGTTCCATTGACTTTAAGTACACCTATTTTATATATTGTTTCAAACTTAGGTTCAAAGTGCTTATTCGAATGTCGACAGAAACTACTATGACCAAAAGATACTCATGCGTATAAACAACACTTTCTCTGCTGGTTTGCCTATTGTTCATTCGAATGCAGAGTTTTCAGCTTTAGTAAACTCAAACACTTTAGCAAACATAAACTTAACCTTAGTTGACGCAAACTTTGTTCCTGTAAAACTTTTATGTCCTATGTATTTGTCAATGACGGCAGAAAGTTTCGAATTGGAAGATGCAACTGGTGAAAGTATTGTACTACAAGAACAACTTCAACAACAATGCAACAAATGGAACAAATGCAACAACAAAGTCAAGAATAAAAAATAGCTCAAGAATAAAAAATATATTTTTTTTATTTTATTTGAAATGTACGCTGAGTTTGTTGGAGAAGACCGTTGGGAAACTTGTTTGTTAGATGAGAAATATGAAATTCACTGTTGTGAGTCATTTGAAGTCAGAAACAAAAAGACAAAAAGAGTTTTAAGCGGATGGGAGCGAAATGACGATGATATGCTATGATGAGGATGGGTGGAAAAAAAACTATTTTAAACATATTGTCATTGCAACTCATTTTATACCGAATCCTAACAATTTACCTCTTGTAGACCACATAAACCGTATAAGAAACGACAATAGACTTGAAAATTTACGTTGGGTCACTCTTTCTGAAAACAATAAGAACAGAGGCAAATTTGGAGATATTGTATTCGAATTTGTCGACGAACTAGAAGATGAAGCAATTGAAATTACAGACTATGGCAAGCATACGCTTGAGTTTTACTACTATAGGCGAAGAACAAGACTCTTTCTACTTTTATACCGGTGTAAACTATAGAAAATTACAAGTATATTTTACTAAGGATGACTATGCTTATGTAAACACTAGAGATACAGATGGAAAACACGTTTCATATACTTCTTAACAAATTCAAGAAGCTATATGGCATACCATTTAAAACGTTTTTTAAAAAAATATTTTTTTTATTTTTATAAAATGTACAGAATAGATGTTTCAGATTTTTATGACTTCCAAGCGTTCAGAAATATGTGTCCATTTAGAGACTATAACAAAGCAGTCGAGAATTTGAAACGTTTAGTCATTTATGTCGACTCTGCCCCAGAATGTTATGTTATGAAAGAATGGGATGTTGTCTTTAACAAACCAAGAGCAACCATAGTTTCAGAACAAGAATGTAAACAGAAACTTAAAAAAATAAAAGTTGTACAAGTTGGTATGAAGATGTTAGATGCTTGGGATATTTATTGTCAAAGTTAGAAGATTTTTCAGTTCGTGGTATAAAGTTCTATACACCATCTCCAAAATTCTATTCTATCTTCACTGGATATAAATACGAACAAGTAGAATGGAAAAGAAAATGTATAGAAGCTTGGTTAGACCATGTCAAAGAAATTATATGCAATGGAACGAAAGAGTCTATGAGTATATCTTATGTTGGTTTGCAAACATCTTACAATATCCAAGTGCTAAAAATGAAACTGCTCTCATTATAATTGGAAAACAAGGAACTGGTAAGAACACATTCTTTACAGATATCTTATGCAAACTGTTAGAAGGCTATCGAACCCGAATATGACAAACTTAGAAAACATCTGTGGCAAGTTTAACTCCTCAATAGAGAATATGAAACTTATAGTATGTAACGAACTTCAAAGTATAGATACAACAAAAGTTTTGAACTCAGATGCTTTGAAGAGTCTTATAACAGATAAAGTTGGAGTTGTTGAAAGAAAGTATAAAGACCAAGAGTTTGTGAAAATGTTGCAAACTTCATTATGGTTTCAAACAATGCTGTTCCGATGAAGTTAGAAAGTTCTGACAGAAGATATGTAGTTGTCAGAACGTCAGAAGCTCATATGCAAGATACAGAATATTTTGACGACTTAGCAGAAACTTTGACATCTGACTTTTACAACCACTTGTTCTCATATTTTATGACATTAGATATTTCAAAGTTCAATCCAAGACAAATTCACATACCGAAGAGAGACAAACATTGTTAGAAGCAAACAAGAGTGTATATGAACTGTTCATAGATGAAACTGACTTTGAGTGTTTAGATGAAAGGTCATTGTACGATTCGTATAAACAATATTGTCAAGAATATGGTTATATGACAGCGTCTAAACGAACATTCTTGGCAAATGTCAAAAGTCTTTTAGACGTACAGAATGGTGTATATACAAAGAAAAATTTTTATGAGTAAATTTTAAAAAAAATATTTTTTTATCCGATAGAAAAGATGGCAAAATTCATCTCAGTAAACAAGTACATGTCAGGACTTAAGAAGAACTAGACCATTCACATCATTTGAATGTTTACTTCTACCATTTTGAAAAGTCTTCATTCAGCAAAGTTTGAACATCGAACCAGTTAAGTTTGCTATTGTGACTAAAAATGGTGCGAAATTTGAAGACTTAGACATAGAAGGTTTTGTTAGCAGTCAAGAAAATTTTGACAGAAGGTTCTCAAACCTTAAAGAAGGCAAAAGCATACAAACTTGTTATACCTTATGAACCAAAGAAAGCAGACGACTATGAATATTATGAGTCTAAGATAGTTGAAGTTCAAGGTAAATTGGGTAAAAGATTTTAGAGTCTAAGCCAGTGTTTACTCCTAAAGAGGAAGAGAACATTGACATTGACCCAGAAATGTTCTAAAAAATAAAATTTTATTTTTACATGTCAAATTTTTTTTTCTCTGGAACTGGTTCAGGTTCTTTTTCTCTTCTTCTACTTTCTTTTCTTTCTTTTCTCTCTTCTTCTTCTTCTTCTCTGGTGGAGTTATGTCAAATTTCTCAGAACCATATTTATGTAAAAGTTCTTTGTCTTTAATAGCTCTTCTATTCTGTTTTTCTATTTCATCTTCAAGAACAGCGCATGTGCCTTCTTTGCATTCTAAGAACTTTTGTTGGACTTCATCTTTCCAATCGGCGTCATCTCTGTCAACAAGTCTGTCATTGACAAATTTTAAGACTTCTCTGCCTAATGTTTTATGGTTCTTGTCATATTCCCAGAAACAGAACTTTAGAACAAATTCACCTTTCTTGTTTACACTATGTAAGATTTTATGGTCGACAGATGTTTTGCTGTCGAAAAGCTTGTCTCGAATATAGATAGCGAAATCGCTAGACATTTTCTAAAAGATAAAAATTTTAATTTTTCTAAAAATATGTTAGAAAAAAGTTTGCTGACATTGACAAGAAATTTGAGAATGTTTTTAAACAAGAACAAGAGGAAGTTAGAAAATGCTCAGATAAAGCCTATACATGACAAGTTCTTATTTGCTCAGAATGGTATAACAGGTCTAATTGCACCACCTGGGTCGGGTAAGACTTTCACTTATCTTAAAATGGCTGCACAACAACAAGAACTAGATGAGAAGAACCCATTCTATGAGTTAGTTGTCATTTGTAGTACTTCTGGTCAATTTGACCAAACCGTCAATTCGTTCAAAGATATTATAAAGAAGTCTAAGTTAGTATGTATAAAAGACTCTGAGTTGTTAGATTGGATAAAGAAGTACCAAAGAAGAGTTTTGAAGTATAATGCTATAAATGAGTATATAAATTCTAAGTTTAAAGACCCTAATGAGGAAATGCAGAGAATATTAGAGAAGAAACACTTCAGAAACAAACAGAAAGAGATAGAATACATTTCGAAGAAATTGCAATCTTACGATTGGAAGACTTACCCTCATAGATGTCTTCTTATCTTAGATGATTTCGCCTCTCATCCTTTGTTAAAGAACAGAGAACAAGACATGTGTCGAATTCTTAAGAAGCTCAGACACTTTAACATCTCAGTTGTCATTTGTGTACAGACAGCAAAGAGTTTAAGTAAGGATGTTAAAAGAATACTTACTGACATTGTACTTTTCCCCGGATTGTCCGAAGACGATTTCATGGAACTTATGAAAGAGTCCATGGCAGGTAAGTTTGACAGACATGAACTATGGGAGAAGTACAAAGTCATACAAGACCCTCATACTTCTTTCAGAATTCATATCTACGCAAACAAAGTTCAAATTGTAAAAAGTCAAGCGTAAAAAATAAAGAGTTCATTTACTCTACTTGTTTGAAGTTGTCAAAATACTCTGTTATTTTTCACGATTTTCATACGGAATCTCTTCTCTCAGTTTTTTCGAGGGTAGCAAGCATATGAGGAAATTCATGAAATTTGGTCATTTTTCAGCAAAAATAATGTTTCGGTGAAGAGGTGAGATTTCACCTGTTTTTTCACCTCTTTTTTCACCTCTTGAATTTTGTATAAAAGATATGATTTCAGGGATTTTTTTACGAAGTGTCAAAGTTCTCTTCGTCACTCATAACAGTTATATAATGAAATTTGGTCATTTTACTCAGAATTCAGCAAAAATATAATTGAGGTGAAGAGGTGAGATTTCACCCATTTTCTCACCTCTTTTCTCACCTGTTTTTTCACAAGCGTTTTACATGAATTGTACGATGTATATTTGAAATCCTGAACAATTTCGTAGCTTCTATTTCTTCTGTCAGTATGTCAAAAGTTTTAACAATACCGAAGGTTTCTTTATATTTCTTCTTGACGTCAGATAGAAGGAAATCTTCTGCTGTTGGATAGTTTTTGTTCAGAAATTCTAACATGTCCATTTTATCTTCTGCTGGTTTTTCTGCTTCTTTCTTTAAATCTGCATAGTCGTTTCGCATACGTTCTATCTCTTTGACGGAGTAGTTATATTTCCTAATTGCTGCTTTACATTTAGAACATTGCGGGTTCATTTTTGCGTTATATTCTGAAACCTTACCTGCTAAAACAACTAAGGCGTCAATTGCTCTCTTCATCTCAAACATAGCGGGTCTTATTTGTTCGTTCCATACTTTGCCTCTTCTATCTTTATCTCTTATCTGCCATACACATTCAGCAACTAACGAAACAAAGTTGTCGTAGGTCTTAAACTCCCCAGATTTATATATGTCAGAGATGTTCTTATATACCATATCGCAATCTTTGTCCATAACTTTATGGTTGCAATGAAATCCTAGAAACTCATAGTTTACCTTTCGTATGAACTTCTTTATTTCTACTGAGTCAGTTGCTTTGACTTCTATTTCATCGAATTCAGGAATAGTGAGCTTTTGCTGCTGAATTTCAGGCAATTTGGGTAAATGGTCAATAATGTCCTGCATTTCATAAAGATACTGTTCATTTTCTTCATCTTTCGCACAACAGTCTAAATTACATGTTAAAAGTTCTTGCTTTATCTTCTGGATTTCTGTTTCGAAAGTATATGAAGAAGGAATGAAGCTTTTCATCTCTACTAACATTGAAGTTGGGTTCATGACTAACGAGTTTGGTGCTGTTGTTGCTAACATGTTCTTACAATAAAAATAAAAAATATTTTTTTAAAAAAACTAACTTTATTTTTTCTATCTTAAGGAAATTCATGAAAATTCAACGGGTGAGAAAAGAGGTGAGAAAAGAGGTGAGATTTCACCTCTTCACCTAAAATATATTTTTGCTGAAAAAGTGTCATTTTTTTCATGTCAGAAGACTCGAAGGTGCAACACTTCCAAAATACCGACGAACTCAGAAGAGCAGCATGGCAGTATGTTCTTGACAACTTCTATGAGTTCTCCAGGTACACCTTGGAAAATGCTGAAGAACTCCGACACAGAGAATTTGGAGAAATTGCGCTCCAATACTACCTTGACAAACAAAGGGTAAACAAAGGGTAAACAAAGGGTAAAATAAGACTAAAAACTTAACGTTTAAAAAGTGACATTTTTATGAGCTCCGAGTCACCGAGAAAACTTGGTCAGATGTTAGCAGCTTACTTCCCTGAGGAGGATGGAAGCGTTACATACGTAAGGTTCAAAAACAACGAACCTGGAATTGCGTACCAAATTCGCAATTACATGACCATGGAAGAGTACGAAAGGTTCCTACAAGAGAAACCAGCTCTAAACAACTCAGAAAAGAAAGAATAAAAAGTTTAACTCGTAATTGTTTATTTTTTTACTTGTATGGGCAAGCTGCAAGAATGAAGTCGACTATCTCAGTCTTTGTTTTGACGAGCTGGACGGCTCTTGCGAGTACGTCTGTTTTGCGGTCTCCAGCTGGTGTCTGACCTTCGTAATTGCGCATGTTCTTGAGAGCTCCAACTGTAAATGGTTGTAGGATGAAGAGTCTCTCAGACTGCTTGAGGTAGTCTTCACGGTCACGAACCGAATCTGTGGTACGAGTCGAATCGGTCGATTTGAGGGAAGAGACTGAAAGCCTGTCTTCTTCCATTGGGGTAGTAGCATACTCTTTGCGTAAGCGGTTCAGACCTTCCTCGAACTCTTGGTCTCTCTTGGATTGAGATTGGAATTGTGGGGCAGGGTTTTGCATAAACATCCAAGGGTTGGGGAAGTAAGGCATAGGCTGAGGAGGAGGGTAGTTCGGGAAGCCTTGTGGTAGGTAGTAACCTTGAGGTGGAAATTGGTAGTAATTTGGTGGAGGGACTTGCTGGAACTGAGGTTGCTGAGGTGCAGGGGCTGGTGCTTTAGGTTCCTCTGGTTTGGGAATGGGCTCGGTTGGTGGTACGTCGGACATCTGTTTGTGGCTTAACCGTCGGAAGGAAAAACCTTTCCTGTCGGAAGGAAAAACCTTTCCTGTCGGAAGGAAAAACCTTTCCTGTCGGAAGGAAAAACCTTTCCTGTCGGAAGGAAAAACTTTTTCTGAAGTTCGACCAAAAGTTCTCAATTTTCGAAAATTTGAATGGTTTACGGACGGACAACTGGAAGAGTCCTTCCTGTCGTCGGGAAAATTTTTTCCAGTTGTCGGGAAAATATTTTCCTGTCGGATGGAAGGACTCGGAATACCAGAAGGATTTGACGAGGCAATTTACCTTATAGAGATAAATGAAGTTGTTAAGCAGTACTTGCGCAGGGTAATGAAGCCCAAGGTCAAGTTCACCACTATTTCTGGAAGGTCTACACTTCAGCTCGAGACTTCGACTGGAATTCCAATTCAAATACCAGACGGGACAGCCTACGATGGCATAAAGGACGCCAAAAGAGAAGCTCTTGTTAAGTTCCTAAACAAACGTCCTTGGATAAAAATACCAAACAAGGAGAACCCCCTACCCCATATGAAATTGGCAATTCAGTCTCTCCTTCACTTCTCGGGTCAGCCGTTCTACATAACCTGTGAAGGCGACATCCAACCAGTTCAGTCAACCTTAACGTTTTGAGTAAAAACATTTTTTTTCATTTTTTGAATGAAGCAAGTTAAATTCGTCCCACACCAATCTCAATGGACCGATGAAGAGTTTCAAGCCATGGTTGAAGGCGTTGAGAACGACATAGACGGCGAACTTGAAGGAGCTCAAATCACAATTGCAACCAAAATTGCAGGAGTCAAGGAACAGATAGCTCCACTTAAAGCTACCAAAGCTACTCTTGACCTCATGGATAGTTACCGTTTAGATGTCAAGAGTGGAATAAGACATTTAAAATTAAAACTTCTAAACTACGAAGCTATACTCCAAAAGTTAGCAGAAATGAGAAGACTTTACCAGAGCTACTTACATGTAAGGGACTTACCTTCAAGCAGTCCGACCAAAGATGAATTTTCTGACATTGTCCCAATTTTGTCCGAAAGTCAGCTCAGATGTTTCGAACTGCTCCCAACATATCCGGAATATGAACGTTTGCCTGAACTCTTCCGCAATCTCAAAAAACGTTTTTTGGTTCTCATGTTCGAAACTTTTATCGGAAGAGACAACAAACGTTCAGAAGAAGAACAAGATATTATTTTAAACTTGTTGTATGACTTAACCGTCATAACAAGCTTTTTGAAGTAAAACCGTCATTCTCAAACCACTTCATTTTTTCGATGTCCGAACAAGCACCGAAGCCAAACTCAATGGAAGATGTCCTTTCAATGTTGCCAGACAAGCGCCCAGTTCAAATTCAAATTTTGAATTTGAAAGCTCATCTGACAAACACCGTTAAGACTCTCCAAAGTAGTCTTATGGAAGAGATGACCAAGCTCAAAGCCGATGTCCTCATGAACCAAGCTTCCAATGAGAAATGCCTGAATGATTTGACGGAAACCTTGCGCATTTACGCGAGAGAGAACCGAGACCTTGCCAGACTCATCTACCGTTTCTTCGAAGAGATAGACGCCATCTGGAAGGTACTCGGAAAGGACAGAACATGCAACACCGTACTTCGTGAGTACCAAATTGAAGAAGGAGTTTTCGAGGAAGAAGAGAAACACGAAGAAGAAGAGGAAGAAGAAGAGAAACACGAAGAAAAGGAAGTTTGGGCAACCCTTGTTGCCGATGACACTTACGAAATTTCCCAACCCTACCCATACCAAATCCGCAACAGGGGGACCGGCAAGGTTCTTACCCCAGTCCTCAACAACTTGGGACACTTGACCCTTACCCTTCGGAATTACGGTACAATTTCCATGGGAAGGCTTGTCGGTATGCAATGGGTTCCAAATCCAAACAAGAAGACGAGGGTCAGACACATTGACGGTGACAAGCTCAACAACCGTAAGGAGAACCTCGAGTGGTTCTAAGAGTAAAAAAAATTTTATTTTAGGGGGAAACCCCGAGTAAATTTAAGTTTTTAGTTGCGTAAGCGGCTTAAATTAAGGATAATTTGGACAAGTAGTTCCTGACCTCTGAATTGGACTCTTTCGTCATCCCAGTTGCGTAGGAGGTCGTCCCAGAGGAGTTGGTAGAATTGCCAATCCAAGGACGATTTGTCCTCCCAGGCATTGAGGATGTACTGCTCGTAGAGTTTCATGACCTCTGCCTTGCACCAGACACCCTCTCCCTTGGAACGTAAGGCTTCTTCGAAGTGCTCGAATGCGATTGGCTGCTTGACCATCCGAAATGACACTTTTTGTCCGTTTGGTCAATGTTCGTGTCTCGTGCCATAGTCGACGAAAATACAGACAAACAGGTTATATATGAGTTTGAGACCAAGAATTCCCCACATTTAAATTCAAATTCGAATAAAAATTTTTTTACTTCATGCAATGTTTTATTTCTGTGCCGTCTTCAAGTATACCCCAATACTTACGCTTGGAGAGGACATGAACTTCGGTGAAAATTTTGTCCAATTTGAATTGACCCATCTTTTCACCGACTAAACCCATTTCAATGAGTTTGTTATAGCCTTCTTCGTTCGTCATGAGTGCGTCAATGTTCTCATAGTAAACCACAACTTTGGATTTGACTTCGGAGAAGAATTTGTTGTAGTTGTCAAGGACTGCCTTTGCGAACTGAGGGTAAGACCAATGTTCGACAATAGGTTTTAATGTGGTTACTAAGCCATTTTGACCTTGAGTGAATTCGTACTTCAAAACAAAAGGAGAAAACCTTTCAACAAAGTTGTCGACCTTCTCATAATGTTTACTCTTCATCTCTTGAGGTTTCTTAATGGAATATCCCCATGTCGAATTCATAAGCAATTTGAGTGTCATTGCAAGTTTGGGGTTTGAAGCTTTCCTAATATCATACAGTTGTTGTATGACTTTTCCAACTGTATAGTTCCTTCCCGGGAACTCACCATCTTCGTTTGGAATTCCAGTTGGAATATATTGGACAAACCTCATGTACGCAGCGTTAAGGTCAACATAGTATATCTTTTCGTTTGAGTCGAACTTGTCGCATCCAATCGGTCCAGTTCGTGGAAATTCAAGTGAGTCTCTTATCTTCTGAGAAACTTCTCCTGTTATCTCATAAACATCGTCGAAGCAACCTGTTTCATATAAAACCTTCTGACCTAACTCAGATGCTCTCCAATACAATTTGACGTCAATTGGATGTCTCAATGGAAGTTTGTTTATAGCATCTTGAAGTTCTTGCAACCTCATTGGAAGTTCTTCTGGTTCAGGTTGGTATCCGAACAATCCAACTCCTTTTGGAAGCTGTGTACTTCTTTTGTGCTAGAACTTTGTCTGGAACGACTTTTGGTCCTAACAATGAAAAGTTTGTTTCGTCTTTTGGTACAAAAGTTTCTGTCAGCTTGTCATCTGGAATTGGTTCCAACAAACCTTTCTCGAAAAGAATGTTAACAGCTCTGACAATGTTGCACTTACCTTTTCCGAACAATGGGTTTGTAAGACTTTCGTTCAACATGAAGTGGTTGTGGACAATTGCAATCTTCAACCATGGTAAATTGAACTCAACAACATAGTCGTCATGTGAAGAACCTTTAGCTGTAGGTATGTTGACTCGGATATTGACATTTGCCAACGGTGCAATTTTTGCCAATTGACCTCTGAGAATGTACCTTGTCTTCACACATGACTCAAGTACTTCATCTTCTCTTCTGTAACAAGACCAGAGTTCCTGAGACATGTAAGAATGCAAGGTTCATTGACAATTGTTTCAATTGAATTGTAAATTCCATACCTTGTCAAGTCAATGTCAGACTTATTTATGAACGGGAAGTATCCAGCATGTTGTCTGACTGCTTGAGGGTTAGGTTGGTACCATTCGAACTTGACACTTGCAATTCCTTCAATTGCATTTAAGATGTCTGAGTCGGAGTCAAACATTTGTTCTCTCTTTGTAGTCTTGAAAGCGTCAAGAAGTTGTGCGGCTGTTGTGACATTGCCATGTGCATAGTAAATGTGACCATCCAAATCTGTTATGGTCAATCTGAGATTGTATCCTTTCTTATTTCCGTCTTGTATGGCAGCAAGTACACCCATGAAGCCTTCTTTGTTCTTTCCTTCGTCAAAGTTTACTGTAAAGGTTCGACCAGATGTAATTTGACTTCTAACCTCGCGATACTTCTCATATGCATATCTTGTTCTTTCCATGGGAGCATGTGCGTCTTCACCTTTTCCTTTTTTCCTTCTCAAAGGATGCAATTGTTCGTCATGTTTCCAGTAGAATCTGGCAAAGCCGTCGTGTCCTTCAACTTGAGGTTCACTAACATCGAAAGGCATGTCCATAAGACGTTCTTCTTCTAACCTCTCTAGTCTGTTTGGATAATTTGCGCGTGCTGTTTCCAAGTCCATTTCGTAGCGAAGACCAGACAGTTTGTCATAGACTTTTATGGGTCTTCCCTTCCTATATTTAAAATTCTTCGAAACTCTCCAACCATATCTTTGCAACTCTGCTTTTATTCTAGCAGACTTTCTATCCATTCTATATGGGGGCATTTTTATAAAAATAAAAAAATGTTTTTTTCTTTACTTTACATAACCGCCTGCTGCCATAAGTCTTTGACGCCAACCCATACCAGCTAATGAAGGTTGACTTGGTTTAGTTTGGAAACTAAACTTTGGTTTTGGTTTATCTTCAGTTTTTGGTTTTTCTTCTTCTATCGGTTTTTCGTCACTTTTCGGTTCCTCTGACTTTACTTCACTTGCAGGAACAGTTGTGTCGTCAACATCTTCATAAATATCATATGCCATTTGTTTTTGTTTTCCTTTCAACTTTTTGTGTTTGTTGTAAAGTTTAGAATATTTCGACTCTAAGTCAATGAGATGTTCTATAATGAACTGTTGGTCAGTGAAGTAAACTTTTCCATCTGTTGTCTCGAAAGCTCCTTCAGACTTCAATATTTTATTTGTGAGAGTCTGTTTCTTTTTTGAGATACTAGCCGTTCCATTTCTATGAAAAGTGACTTTGTAGTTAGGGTTTGTATTTCCAGACCTGGCACTTTCTATTATTGAATTTTTCTCTTCATCTGTAAGTTCTTTGACAGGTTTTGACAATGGTTCTGAACTTTTTGTTTGTGGTGTCAAATCTACCGTTTCAACTTCTTCGGTCATTTCATCTCAGTAAAAAATTTTAGTTTGGTTTGTTTTCAACTGGTTGTTTAGGTTTTTTAAGTCGGTCTAAAACTTCTGAGGTATAGGAAGAACTTGACAAACACGTGGTTGTGTAACTGCTGGAAGCCGACAAATCCATCTTGACCCATTTGTCTCAATGCTGTATTGTTCATTTCATCTCAGTAAAAAACTTTACATTCCCCAGTTTGAGGCGGTTGCGGTTGGTTGTTGTTTACCCACTGTTGTGCATGGTTATATCCTCTGTTAAAGAATCTTTCACCTTGGTCCATGTAGTGTCCTGCTTGGTTATAGTAGTCATTTGCTTTGTTATAGTAGTTTCCTGCTTGTCTTCCTACATTGTCCATCCATCCTTGAACTTTTCCTCTTGTTTCAGGATTTGGAATAAGATTTGCTGCATCTCGTGCTACATCCCAACCTTTCTGTACAGTTTGTATAATAGGTTGTGCTTTCTCTTTAAGTATACCTAATGTACTCAAAATCTTCCTTCCAACTCCAAATACACCTCTGGCTATTGTTCCCACTGCGGGCAAAAATCTGGATGCAACTCCTGCTAATGCGCCAAATAAACCCATTTCTTATAGGATAAAAAATGACGAATCCAAACAAGGACCCGTATGTTTCTAAAGCGACAAAGAAAGCACTCATGGTAAAAATCTTTAGTTCAACACCAAATGCTTGGTTTATGGATATCTTGGAAAACATTCCGAGGTATAGAGAAGATGGACCACCATACTGGCTAATATTTGTCGGTCAAAACACAAGATACTGTGAAGCCATACCATTACAGTCCAAAAATATTTTAGATGTGAAAACTGCTTTGACAATATTCGTTGACAAATACCATCCAACAAAACTGACATCTGACTGTGAAAGTTCTTTCAAATCAGACGATATTAAAAACTATCTGCGTTCAAAAAATGTAAACCAATATTTCATTGTCGACCAAAACCATTCTGCTCTTGGTGTCATTGACAGTTGTATAAAAATCTTAAGAGACTTAAACCAACCACAAGGTGGTGAAGCAAATGAAATGTCATATGACGACAAATATAGACATTTCTCCATGGCAAAGATGAGACAAGTTTTAAATATTTACAATAGCCGTAAAAAAAAAGGTTTGGGAAACCACTCCCCCGAAGAAATGAAAAACAACCCTGACTTAGAGAAAGACTATATATTTAATAGTTTAGTCAAAAGAGACAAACAAGAAAGAATGCCAGGCTTCAAACTTAAGAAAGGTGACAAAGTAAAAATAGAAATACCTAAACGCGACCCATATGAAAATACTATTGACTATGACAACAATGGGAACCCGACAGGTACTCACCTTCGTGTTCGTAAAAATAGAAGAAAGTATACAAGAGAATATTATGAAGTTTTAGGCAAACATGGCAAAATGTACAGACTGCAAGCAGAAGATAAAACTACTATTGTCAGACCTCGTTTCAAACTTGTCAAAGTTCAAGGTGGTATACTTTCAAAGACAGTTCCTAACAAATATAAGACAACTCCTGACGAATATGCTAAAGAAGTTGAAAATGACGACTAAGCAATTCTATACCATGCGTAAACTGTCATGTAAGGTGGCATGTAGTCTTTACTTTGTCCCGTTGTTTGTGTATACCCTGAAACGAAATGTGTATGGTTTCCTTCTCCCTGAGTGTCATCCCAGTAACAATTTATAGCAAACTTAACGTCGTCTTTAACATCATATCCTTTACCTTTTGTCATTCCTGACCAATCCCAATATCTATGCCTATGCCAACCTGCTTGAGATGTACTTAAATCTATGTAGTGACTGTGCGCAGGTAAGTTTTCACCTGAAATCGTTTTACTTCCACCTGTTTCCTTTGAAGAGTTTGCACAATACAAAAACCTGTCGACTATTTGTTCCCATGCACCAACACCAAACATTACTTGAGGACCTCTTGCTTCCATAGATGTATAAATAGAACCTACTGGGTTCATTAAATCAAACATATGAGATAATATAGGATTGTCTCTTTTGAACTTAAAATATAGTGTAACTATTTCTGGTTTCTTCTGGTTTGTGTCAGAATATTTTTTATAATATAATCTTATGTTTTCAGGGTAGGTAAAGTCTTGACTATAATATTTATTTCTGTCATCTTCATAATAGTATACTATTCTCGTTTTTTCTATTGCATTATATCTTTTATATCTATAAAAATCTAAATATAATGTTAGCTTTTGTTCATCTACATGTGGTGTTCTAACGTCATCTCCATAGTCATAATAGTATGGTGCTGGAGCTGGGTCAGGTAATGTCATATCTGCCATTTCATAAACTCTTAAATATTTCTTTTGTTCGTCTCCATATATGTTTAAGTAGCAGTTGTTGTCTAATGGAACTTTAACTTGTGTACCATCATTCTTTATATAGCTTACATACATTTCATTGTTATTTTTCGGAATGAGTTTATACCGTGTACCATTTTCTAAGGAATGTACAAACTGCCATCTAAAATATTTGTTTTCTTCATTGACAGAAAAGTCACCAACCATAGTCTCAATATTTTTTGTTCCAACTAAACTTTGGTATATTTCATTGACATATGTTTTATCTGCTTTCTTTTCAAGGCTAACGTTTAAGTCTGTTATTTCAGAAGATGTATGTGTATGTCCAACGGCACTTTTCCTGTTTAAGGTTTCTTGTAAGTTTGTAATATTTGCAATGGTATGTGTATGTCCAACGTCACTTTTCCTGTTTAAGGTTTCTTGTAAGTTTGTAATATTTGCAATGGTATGTGTATGTCCAACGGCACTTTTCCTGTTTAAGGTTTCTTGTAAGTTTGTAATATTTGCAATGGTATGTGTATGTCCAACGTCACTTTTCCTGTTTAAGGTTTCTTGTAAGTTTGTAATATTTGCAATGGTATGTGTATGTCCAACGGCACTTTTCCTGTTTAAGGTTTCTTGTAAGTTTGTAATATTTGCAATGGTATGTGTATGTCCAACGTCACTTTTCCTGTTTAAGGTTTCTTGTAAGTTTGTAATATTTGCAATGGTATGTGTATGTCCAACGGCACTTTTCCTGTTTAAGGTTTCTTGTAAGTTTGTAATATTTGCAATGGTATGTGTATGTCCAACGTCACTTTTCCTGTTTAAGGTTTCTTGTAAGTTTGTAATATTTGCAATGGTATGTGTATGAGTCTTTTTAGAATATTCTTTGTCAGCTCTTGTCACTTCACTTGACATTTTATTGTCAACATATGTTTTGTCCGCTAGTTCAGGATGAGTATGTTCTTTTGTTGCATATGTTGCATCTGCTCTGTCATGTTCTTCTTGAACTTTTTCAATGACATACTCTTTGTCAGCTTTGTTGTCAACATCTGCTTTCAAAAGAAGTTCTTTTATAGGTTTCTCGTTTAAAGTTCCTTTTGTTGGATTTACACAGACAGTATGGTTCTTATTGTCTTGAAACAGAAACTCGTCTGTCATTGGGTTTATCGTCAGTTTTAAGTTTCCTTCTTTCAATGACTCAGATATCTTAGAATAGTTTGAAAAGTTTGTTGTGTTCTTATTTAGAGCTTGCAAAATGAGTTGTCGGTTGTGTTTTATTTCTCTCATAGACGCTGTTTCATTTGACATTTTTATTCTAGATAAAATATGCTTTCAATAGAAAAAGAAAATTCTAGAGTTGCTACAACTAAACCATTAGATGAACTTTTTACGAATGTCGGTCAAAAGTTTGAGACAGAGACCGTAAAGCATGAAGGCTATCGTTTTGACTACCCGTTAAGATGGCTAAGAGACCCATCCGTCACAAAAGCTATTGGCTTTCGTAGAATGAAATTCATTTCAGAAGCCATACATGGTTTCCCATTTACGGTCGCTTTTGAAATTCGATACTATAACAAAGAGAAACGTACGTATGAGAAATTTGAACAGGGAAAACTTTTACAAGTTAGTTTGCTTGTAAACTTAGAAACAACTCTTCAAGCTTTTCAAGAAAAAATAAACGATATCTATCTCGAATATGCAAAACAGTACAACATTGACGAAGGAGAGTACCATCTCGATATTTTATATGACAGGAAAAATGCAACTGTTAAATTCAATAGAATAGAAGACCTTGGAGAAGACGTTTATATTTCTACAAAATATAACAACTTGGCATGGTATAGGTTTCTGAGGATGTTAAATCAGCCTGCAGAATATCCAGTACACCCGAACTTTTATGAAGTCGAAAACCCTAATGGAACATATGAAAATGTTTTCGACTCAGATGCTATTATCGTTCATGCTTCATTTTCTGGTGCACAAAACTCTTTTTTATGCTTGGCAAATGACTTTTACGAAAAACCTACAAAGCTATATGAACCACCAAGTGGAAGTATTTCAGACTTTCAAGTATGGTTTACAACAGATGGAAGAAAGAGAATAGTTCCATTATACCATGCGTTTTACTTAGAACTTAGTCTCATATACAACTACTATCGAACAGTAAAAATATAATTTTTAATACGGTTGAGGTGTTGGATTTGGTTGCCAACTAGACTGTGGTGCAGGTTCAGGCTGTTGTATAACAGGAGCTTGTTCTTCTGGTTCAGGGTCTTTAGGTATAATACCAACGAACTGACCTACTCTTTTACCAATATTTTTGACTCCGTTCCAAATTCCTCTTCCTACGGTTTTTATTCCATTCCATATACCTCTTCCAACATTTCGAAAGAAGTTTCCAATACTACTGAAGAAACCCATTTTACTATATGTAAAAATCTAATGTCCACCTAGTCTCTTACGTTTCCTTCTGAGTTCCATTGCATTCTTTAACTGGAGCTCATACATTCTATTTCTCCTCTGGTAGAAAACATATTCTGGGTCAACTCCTGTGTTCGCGTCATCTGCATAGAGTTGTTTATATCCCACTTCAGGGTTTGTATAAAACTCTTTCCATCTCATATTTGCATACCATGGTGGCAAACCTAACGCAGCGTCATTTGACATGGCAGTTTGCATTTGTACATCTGTTGGCACTTGACCATAGTTTGCCATTGCAGTTTGTATTCTAACTTCATTTGGAATATTCTCTGGGTTTGGTTGTCCAGGTTGCTGTGCATTCGCTAAGTTCTGTGCGTCCATTTAATATTAGATAAAAATATCTCTTACGAGTACATATACTGGACATTTGCAGGCATTGGTTCATCTTCATATTCTCTATATCTTTCTGCCACGTCAAATAAGTAAATGACACAATGGAAAAAACCTAAAACAAGTAGTCCTATTTCAAACCACATTTACTTACTAATAAAATTTCTTTGTTATGACACTTTCTCCAGTTTATAGGACCTCTCTCATATTCTATCTTGTCATATATAAACTCATAGTCATGTATGTCCTCTAACCATCTCATAACGGTTTCCAAACCACTTTTATCGGATGTAAAGTAAAAGCATGGATGGTTATGTAAAACGTCTAAAGTTTCTAAAGAGTCTCTCAAAGTCCAGTCTACTTGGTATTGAAAATCCCATGTGTTATAGAACGGCGGGTCTACTATAAAGAAAACATTTTCCTTGTTTTTATATTTTTCATACAACTCTGTCCAACGACATCTCACAAACTCTATACCCTCAGTATATTTTTCTATGTCCTCTTTGAAAACCTTTGTATAGTTAAGATATAAAACTTTTGACATAAGTGTTTCAATGTCATGAACTCTTATAGAACCACTATATAATAGTCTAGAAGATATACTATCCCAGTCAATATACTCTGCTTTTTTCAAAACCTCTCTGACAGTATTTTTCTTATCTAATGGTATACGTTCCATCTTACCTATAGGTATCTTTTCTTTTAACTCTTTCAATATTTTGTTAGTGTCTGGTATATGTTTGAGACGGTCCATATAGTTGTCGAAGTCATTGCATATAATCTTTGAGTCAGGAAATACAGTATGGCACAAATGAGATATATAGAAACTTCCACCGAACAAATCTACAAATGTTAGACCATTCGGTAGTTTCTTAAGTTCTCTCAATAGAATATCTTTACATCTACTCTTATTTCCAAAGAAGGGTAACGGTGGTTTTGTAAAATTCATTTTATATATATATAATAAAAATGTTTTTACCTGAAAAGTGACAGAAAAGTGACAAAACATGAAAACATATATATTTTGTGAAAAGCTCCTGGAAGACCCGTATATAAAAACCTCATTTTTTTACTAAACATCTTCGGGGCTAGAAGGGGCGCAGCCCCTGGAAGCCCCACTACCTTTTTTTTTTTTTTTTTTTTTTTTTTTTTTTCAGCAAATGTGTAATGCTCATTCATTCGAAGACACTTGAGGAGATAATATGTCAGAGAGCTTGGAACATCAATTAGCAACAATTGGCTTCTTTTCGTCGAATTCCTTGCATCTGAGACACATTGTCTGCGCAAGCACCTCTGAATGAAGGAAGCTTCGCAATCAAAATTTGATTGCACAACTTTGACTGGCAAGATGCTGTAAAGCGTTCTTGTGAGTCATATTCTTTACATCTGAGACACATTGTCTACGTAAGCACTTCTTATTTAAAGATGCTCTATTTTATTCAAAAAAAATTCTTTAAAATATTTAAATTTAACCTATTATCATATTCCTACATATATTTTCTGTTATATTCTTTCTTTATTGACACTTTTCGTGACGCCAGCCCTCTCAAATTTTCTCTCGTGACACCGTAAACTTCTCAAAAATAAACGGTCTCTATTCAAAATTGAATAGTTTACATCGTGACGCCTCGTGACGCCAACTTTGACCCCCATTCAATTAATTATTGAACTCAGTATGTATTTAATTGAATGATGTGATTCCAGAGTTACTATCATAGCAAGTTTTTAGCTATTTGATTATACATTATTCTCAGTAATGTGATTGATTTTACTTTTTGATTGTAAAGTGACTTTACAAAATTTTATCAGAACACGGATCTGAATTTCGAATATATTGGTGCTCATATCGATGATTATATTAAAAACGAAAATCTTTTTGATACATTTGAGATAGATAATATCGAAAGGATCATGAAATATTCACGTTTGACAACAGATCAGTACAATGCACTTCTCAAACATTCTCATTCAACTATTAACTCCAAAAAATTATATACTTGCACACGAAAAGCAAATGTTACTATCCAAAACTTCAAAGAGGCCATTTCAATTCTGAAATCTGTTAAAAATACATGAAATTCAAGATATTTGATGGCATTATTGATATGTTAAATCAAAATGATAATGAAATAAAGGAATCGAAAGAAAAAATTAAAAAACTTCAAGACGAATTAAAAGCATATCAGACCCAAACACAAAATCTCAATGATTCTAAAGAAAAAATTAAAAAACTTCAAGACGAATTAAAAGCATATCAGACCCAAACACAAAACCTCAATGATTCTAAAGAAAAAATTAAAAAACTTCAAGACGAATTAAAAGCATATCAGACCCAAATACAAAACCTCAATCATTCGAAAGAGATATTAATCAAAATCTCTGAGATTAAGAAATCTAATAACTTTGAAAGCGCTTACAAATTTCTTGACGAACTTTCTGCGGAAGGAAATCAGGAAATGATGTTAATTGCATGTAATGAAGGACTTTGGAAAATGACAACAAAAGATAATAACAATGTACTTCATGTTGCAAGCGAAAAAGGAAATCTTCGGCTTATCAAATTTCTCATCGAATGTAATTGCGATAAAGATACAAAAGATAAAGATGATACTACTCCACTCATTTATGCATCATTCTATGGATATCTTGAAGTTGTTAAATATCTTATCTCAGTTGGAGCTAATAAAGAAGCTAAGGATACTTGGAGACAAACTCCACTCATTTTAGCATCAGTTCAAGGTCATCTTGACGTTGTTAAATATCTTATCTCAGTTAGAGCTAATAAAGAAGCAACGAATTATTATGGATGGACTCCACTCATTTTTGCATCAGTTAAAGGTCATCTTGAAGTTGTTAAATATCTCATCTCAGTTGGAGCTAATAAAGAAGCAAAGGATAATGATGGAAAAACTGCACTGATGCTTGCATCAGCTAAAGGCTATCTTGAAAATGTTAAATATCTCAGATAATTATTAACAAATACTACAGCGCAAACTATAAAAAAATCACAGTTGATATAATAAAAAGTTATTTTTTTTTTGATTTTAATACATTTTACTTGCAAAATATCTATTATCTATATATCATAGTATATAAATAGAAAAAAATTAATTATGGAACCTCAAATTATTTCCCAATTTGTTATTAAAGGAGAAGAGTAGTATTGCAACACAAAAAAAAAAAAAAAAAAAAAAAAAAGGTAGTGGGGCTTCCAGGCGCGTTGCGCCCTCTAGCCCCGAAGATGTTTAGTATAAAACCGCTTTTTAACTTCACTTAAAATGCCACGTAAGCTACGTAAGAATATACGTAAGAGGAAGGGAGCATTGAAACATCCAAAAGTAAAACTGACACCACAACAACAGTTGCAACAACAAATGCTGAATGACCCCACTATGTTGCAACAAATGTCAAGCAATCCTATGCTTTTAAACCGAGTCATTGGTGCACAGAGTGGAGGTTTAAGAGCGGCACTTTTAGCGAAAATGGCAGGCTATGGTGGAGCTGCAGACGGAACAGCCTATAACCCTCAAAGTCAAATGAATTTGAGTTCACTCAAAAATCAAATAACAGATGTCAAAAAGTCAAACATAGACATACAGAAGCAAATAAGTGAAAACGAAAAGAAACTAGAATATGACAGACACACAAAGAAACTCAATGAGTTAAACGTAGAGAAAAAGAAGAAAGAAGAACAACTGAAAGAACTAAGTACAGAGCAATATGCGAAAAAAGTGTCAGAAAAAGCAGCAGAAGTAGCAAAAATGGAACAAGATGTCATAAATTTGAAAAACCATACTACTCAATATAAAGTACTGAAAGATGAAGAGATAAAACAAAAAGCCCTGAAGACATATATGGATAGCGATGAGTATAAAAAGGAAGTTGAAGCAAATGTAAAGGCAGAAAAACTTTTACAGTTGCAAAACCAAACCGTACAGTATGAAAACTTAGCACAAGAAAGTAAAAATAACGACGCAGCCATGCAAAAGGCAATGAAAAGCGCAGAATATATAAAAGCTAACAATGACTGGTTAGATGCCCAAGCCAACGCTAAAGCAGCCCAACTCATAGGGTCAATAAGGACAAAAATACAAGCGGATGAAGACAGTTCAAATGAAGCTTTAACGAATGCTGACTTTAAGAACGCCTTCGAAGCTCTTCATAGTAAGGTGAAACAAGTGAACGACTTCTCATCTGGAAAGAAACTGAAGTCTGAAGGTTTCGACAAAGAGTTAAAAGAAGTAGCACAAAATATGACGAAAATAACAGATGCAGCAACGAGACAGGCAGTTCAAAGTGCCTATGACGCCGTTAGAGCAACTGTTGTGAAAAGTCAAGAAAAAGAGTTACAACAGACCAAAACAGACCTAGTAAATGCTTTCTTAAAAACGAAAAGTCAGGTAGGACATTACGCTGCAGATGGAACATATGTGCCAGCTGGTGGAACTTATATACCACCAAACCCTCCAAGAGAAGCACCTGCACCAGGACTACCTAAAACATTTACATCGTCACATGGACATAGACACAGGCATGCACCAAAACCAACACAACAACCAACAGTTCAAAACCCTGCACAACAACCACCTCCACAACCAGCACAACAACCAACAGTTCAAAACCCTGCACAACAACCAACAGTTCAAAATCCAGCACAACCAACAGTTCAAAACCCTGCACAACAACAACCACAAACAGAGCAAGGACATAAAAGAAGTAGAGAACAAGGAAACCAAGAATTCTTAAAAATGCTTAAAGAAGAGTGTGGTTTCCCAGATACTCTTGACTTTAGTGACAGATATAAAGAAGCTATTAGAAAGTTCAAGGATGGAAATACTGACCCGAACCTATTTAGCTTTATGGCTCAGCACCAAAACGGATATAATCTCAAACCTGGAAAATACAAGCTCGCTAAGGGATATGATTTAATAGCATATCATCCAAATGACATGGATGAATTTACTCCGAGATATTTGATGTCAGAGCTAAATGACAATTCAACTTTCGTCATGAAACGCGTAAAAAATAGAGACGGAACGAAAGAACAAAAGCTTATGAATGCGGATGACGTAGATAGGGAAATTGTTGAAAACGGTCTCGGAATATATGAAATGCCAGCAGATGAGGTACAAGAAACTCCACAGGAAGAACTAGTTCAGATACAACCAGACATGGAAGAAATAGTTCAGCAACAACAGCTAGAAGAGCCTGAAGGAAACGAACAAGTCACTCCTTTGGAAACTAACTTCACAGAACTAGATGAAGATTTGGAACAGCCGAAAAATCTTGACCCTCAACAAGAGTATGCGGAGAATATGGAATATTTCCAAGAGTCTAAAAAAAATTCGGCTGACATAGTAGAAGAATATCGAAAAATGTTTGCCGACATACAAAAGACTCCAACATCAGATGAAAATATCCAGCATAGAATGGAAGAACTGAAAAAAAATGTACACAAATACAACAACCCTTTTTACTTACGAGCATTTAACGTTCAATCTTCGGATGAACTCGGTGAAAATAAAAGGTTAAATTTCAAGAAAACATATAGAAATGAAACATTGTTTAAAGTTCATTCAGAACCTAACCAAGATGGAAACAAACCTACTTTTGTTTCTGCAGACGATGGAACTACAATGAGATGGGGTCATAAAGCTAATCCAGATAGGTGGTTCATAAACTTACAACCACAATTCCAAGAAGTTGTAGACGCAATGGAAGTCAATGGTGAACGAGATATAGCTGGTATTTTAAGCGCGGCTTTAATGCCATTGAAAGATATGAAACATGCAGATATTTTGGACCAGTATGAAATGAACATGGCTGATGGAAATATAACACCTGACGTTCTAGAACATTTATCTCAAAGAACTACACAGAACCATAGAGATGGTATATTTGGTGAAGAGTTTAGAAAGAAAGTTAGGGAGGGAGAAGGAAGAGAACCTATTGTACATGACCTTGCAAACGAAAGTTTACAAAATGTCATAAAAACTTACTTTGCAGGCGATGAATCGAGAAGGGATGAATATTTAAGAAAACTCAAATGGACAGTACCAAATGAAATGTTAGTATTGAAAACATGTTCCTTGACAAAATAAAACCAACTACAGAAATAAACGACGCAAGACTGAAAGATTGGGTAAAAGCTTTCCCATTCACAAAAGATATTATTGGTAACATGGAAAGAAAACCAGAATGGCTACAAAAACATATATTTGGAAACGAGCTTATTCCATATGGACAAGCTCTGTTTGAAGAGCTTGAACCAGAAACTCAGGAAAGAGTCATGCAAACAATACGCAAAGACTCAAATACAGACTATGACAAACTCTTTCTAGGATATAGGTTACCTGAGATGGGCGACCAGAGCCAAAAGGCAAAAAGGACATGGGAAATTTGCAACATACTAGATGAACATAATGCAAAGATGCAACAACTTCAAGCAGAGGGCAATGAAGGAAAAAGAAGAGTTAAAAACTCAGTCAGGAAGAAAGTAAAGCTTGGTCGGAGTGGGTTCTATTATGACATATAAATCCAACTATTCTATATTTTTACTCATATGAAATGTACGCCGCTCAGAATATAACGCCAACAGTTTTGGATGCTATGAATGGAAATGTTTCCGAATGGTATATAACGAATGCGACAATGCCATTAGAAGGTCAGAAAATAGTTCCTGGAACTTACGAATATACAACTGCTGTTTCTTATGGAAACGTAGGTGAGTTTGGAGAAGGTTCTTCAACAAACAGTAGATATTGCTTGCGACAGGTTTCATATTATTTCTATTGACAACTCTTTCTTATACGTGGAACAAGACATTGAAATAAAACCTTCTGCCAAGTTGTCTGACAAGAAAGGTTGCAATGGAATTTTCTATGTCGGATACCAATATGCTCCAGAAGTTTTCATGGGATATAAGATATATTCTAACTCTGACTTAGTTCAAACAGTAACATGGGCAAACTATGAATGGTTCGCTTTGAGAAACTCAGTACAACCACAAGCTAGAGAACAAACAGACCAGTATGCAACTATTGAGAAAATAAGAAGACTTGACCCTAACGTTCCAGGAGTTTATGTTGACCTTTCTGGACAAACTGCAGCAGCAGTAACCAAAGTAAAACTGAAACTTAGAGTTCCTTTGTCATCTTTCCTCATCTTCAGGTTTTTAAGATACTTGCCAAACTGGGCAGGAAAAATTTCTATCGAACTTACTCCAAGCAAAAATAACTTAGTCATTGCACCAACACAAGACCCATTCACTCTTACAGAAGTAGTGGGAACAAATAAAATGTCATTCGCCGACTTTTGCAAAAACAAAGTTGACTTAGACTTTGGTTTCTCAAACCTCAACACTGAAGTAAACTATTATTTCAATGCTGCTGGAGATGCTTGGGACCCAGTTAAGTTCACATGCGAAAAGTTTGAATGCAAGAGAATAGAAAGCAGACTTGCAGTCTATATGTTGGACCCAGATATTTCAAATGCTTTAGCTGCCAAATATATTGCAGTTCCACTTATGTTCCCTATACACCAAATATCTGTCAAAGACTTTGCAGGTGAAGTTGGAAACCAAAGTGCTGACCCAGGTGCAAGAACAGATATTGCTTTAACAACTGCAATGAAACATGCAGATACTATGTTTGTACTGTTCAGACGAACTATAAATGACTATTCTTGCTTCTACAACCCTGGTATTAAATACCATATAAACATAGATGGCAAATACTATCCAAGAGAAGAATATTCTACAGTTGAGGATATGAGGTCATACAACTTGACATTAGATGCTATGAACTTTAACAACAACTTCACAACAACCATTAACCCTGAAATGCAAAGTTCTATTATGCCATATGTGAAAGTATGGACTCATACAGGAGGTCAAAAAACTCAATATACAAATGGAGACCGTTCAAACTTTTGGCTTGGCATTCCATTTGCTGACTCAGAAGACTTTATGGGTGGTATTTCAACTGTTGGTACAGTTCAAATACAATATACTGGTGACAGAGACGGTCCAGATGAACTGAGAGCAAAGAAGTTTACAAAACCAATAGCACTTTTCACAGAAGATGCTCTTTTGAAGATTCGTTCGATGAAACCTGCTGGGGCTCCTCAGATTGGCATAACGACAGCTTCCATCGAGCAGATTTTGGCAGCAGGTCAGTAAGTTGTTCTTTGACACTTTTCTCACCATCGTAAATAGTTATGACACCTGTTTTGACATAATATTGTATTATAAACTTACCTTTAGAAATATCTGTAAGTTTTGTTGTTATATTTTTGTCTGCTTCAAGAACTTTCACCATTTCAGTTATACCAACTTTCTTTGCTTTATGAAAATATTTAGGTTCAGCAAAGACTGCTATTCTATAACATTTTCCATTGTTTGTGTAAAGAACTATTCTGTCAATGTATTTGTATTGTTTGTGAGTATAAACTTTGTTCTGCTTCAATTCAAAGAGATACTCGAATACGTCCATCTTTTTATTCTAAGTAAAATGTCATTTCCGAAAAATAGAAGCGTAAGTGTTTCAAAAGGTTTAATGGCGATGGCAGATGTGAAGTTAAATTCACCAACTCAAACAAACAGTCAAAGTGTTGTTGTCAATGTCAAAGACAGAGATGTTGAAGTGGGGAAACCATACGAAGACGAAGATGGTATAACAATAGTTCCTGTAAAAGAACAACCAACATATCCTGAAGTTAGCAGAGACTTAAGTTCTGTTGCAGATATTCGAAACGACTACATGCAACTGAAAGATAAGCTTAAAACTCAGGAGAAGATTTGTCAAGCTTTAAGTATAATGTTAAACTTGGTCGAACACAACCCTGTAAAAGTGAACTCATATGTCATCGCACCTCATGAAATTTTGAAAGAACTATTGAAACTTTTGACAGAGGCAGACGATATAAACATCAAAGAAATAGAACCCGACATTGCTTGCTGTGGTGTTTCATACAATGTCATTGACAAGATATACGTTATGAAAGGAGGTGAAACGTTGAACTTAAAATATAGTTTCCCAGACGTCATAAAAATATTTGACGACCACAACATTTCATTAAAATTTACTTGCTAAGTAAAAATGGCAGAAGACATAGTGGTTTATACTATTACGACTAAAAACCCTGAGTCATATAATTCTATAACAACAAACTTACAAAGTCCTCAAGGACGATATTGTAAACTGACCTTAAACACGATGACGACTAAAGCCTGTTTTGCTCTTTTGACACCAGAAGACTTTGTTGTTGTGAATGGTAAAAAATACTTCTTTGAAGATACTTACTCAGATATACCACCAACAGGTTTTGTTGACTTATTTAATACTTTAAGGACGGATGTAACATGTGCTGCAACTAGAGCAGGTTTCATTATGTTTGGATGTCCGACTGAGTTTACTATAAACGATATGAGCTATAATACAAAACTTATTTCTGGTTTTTACTACCAACAGTTTCCTATAACAGGAAAAGGTGTCATACAAGGAATGTCTGTTCCATTGACTTTAAGTACACCTATTTTATATATTGTTTCAAACTTAGGTTCAAAGTGCTATTCGAATGTTGACAGAAACTACTATGACCAAAAGATACTCATGCGTATAAACAACACTTTCTCTGCTGGTTTGCCTATTGTTCATTCGAATGCAGAGTTTTCAGCTTTAGTAAACTCAAACACTTTAGCAAACATAAACTTAACCTTAGTTGACGCAAACTTTGTTCCTGTAAAACTTTTATGTCCTATGTATTTGTCAATGACGGCAGAAAGTTTCGAATTGGAAGATGCAACCGGTGAAAGTATTGTATTACAAGAACAACTTCAACAACAAATAGCTCAAGAACAACAAATGCAACAAATGCAACAACAAAGTCAAGAATAAAAAAAAATATTTTTTTTATTCTTATAAAAATGTACAGAATAGATGTTTCAGATTTTTATGACTTCCAAGCATTCAGAAATATGTGTCCATTTCGAGACTATAACAAAGCAGTCGAGAATTTGAAACGTTTAGTCATTTATGTTGACTCTGCCCCAGAATGTTATGTCATGAAAGAATGGGATGTTGTCTTTAACAAACCAAGAGCAACAATAGTTTCAGAACAAGAATGTAGACAGAAACTTAAGAAAATAAAAGTCGTACAAGTTGGTATGAAGATGTTAGATGCTTGGGATATCTTATTGTCAAAGTTAGAAGATTTTTCAGTTCGTGGTATAAAGTTCTATACACCATCTCCAAACTTCTATTCTATCTTCACTGGATATAAATACGAACAAGTAGAATGGAAAGAAAATGTTATAGAAGCTTGGTTAGACCATGTCAAAGAAATTATATGCAATGGAAACGAAAGAGTCTATGAGTATATCTTATGTTGGTTTGCAAACATCTTACAACATCCAAGTGCTAAAAATGAAACTGCTCTCATTATAATTGGAAAACAAGGAACTGGTAAGAACACTTTCTTTACAGATATTTTGTGCAAAACTGTTAGAGGGCTATTCGAACCCTAATATGACAAACTTAGAAAACATCTGCGGTAAATTTAACTCTTCAATAGAGAATATGAAACTTATAGTATGTAACGAACTTCAAAGTATAGATACAACAAAGGTTTTAAACTCAGATGCTTTGAAGAGTCTTATAACAGACAAAGTTGGAGTTGTTGAAAGAAAATATAAAGACCAAAGAGTTTGTGAAAATGTTGCAAACTTCGTCATGGTTTCAAACAACGCCGTTCCGATGAAGTTAGAAAGTTCTGACAGAAGATATGTAGTTGTCAGAACGTCAGATTCTCATATGCAAGATACAGAATATTTTGACGCTTTGTCAGAAACTTTGACATCTGACTTTTACAACCACTTGTTCTCATATTTCATGACATTAGATATTTCAAAGTTCAATCCAAGACAAATTCCACATACCGAAGAAAGACAAACATTGTTAGAAGCAAACAAGAGTGTTTATGAACTGTTTATAGATGAGACTAACTTTGAGTGTTTAGATGAAAGGTCATTGTACGATGAATATAAACAATATTGCCAAGAGTATGGTTATATGACAGCGTCTAAACGAACATTCTTGGCAAATGTCAAAAATCTTTTAGATGTTCAGAACGGCGTATATACAAAGAAAAATTTTTCTGAGTAAATTTTAAAAAAATATTTTTTTATTTTATTTGAAATGTACGCTGAGTTTGTTGGAGAAGACCGTTGGGAAACTTGTTTGTTAGATGAGAAATATGAAATTCACTGTTGTGAGTCATTTGAAGTCAGAAACAAAAAGACAAAAAGAGTTTTAAGCGAATGGGAGCGAAATGACGGATATGCTGATATGAAGATGGGTGGAAAACACTATCTTAAACATGTTGTCATTGCAACTCATTTTATACTGAATCCTAACAATTTACCTTTTGTAGACCATATAAACCGTATAAGAAACGACAATAGACTTGAAAACTTACGTTGGGTCACTGGTTCTGAAAACAATAAGAACAAAAGCAAATTTGGAGATATAGTATTCGAATTTGTCGACGAACTAGAAGATGAAGCAATTGAAATTACAGACTATGGCAAGCATACGTTTGAGTTTTACTACTACAGCGAAGAACAGGACTCTTTCTACTTTTATACCGGCGTAAACTATAGAAAATTACAAGTATGTTTTACTAAGGCAGACTATGCTTATGTATACGCTAGAGATACAGATGGAAAATACGTTAGACTATTTCTTAACAAATTCAAGAAGCTATATGGCATACCATTTTAAAACGTTTTTAAAAAAAAATATTTTTTTATCCGATAGAAAGATGACGAAATATATTTCAGTCAACAAATATATGACAGAAGTCAAAGATAAGTTAGCTCCATTCACATATTTGAATGTTTACTTCTACCATTTTGAAAAGTCTACATTTGACAAAGTTTGGAACATCGAACCAGTTAAGTTTGCTATTGTGACTAAAAATGGTGCGAAATTTGAAGACTTAGACATAGAAGGTTTGTTAGCAGTCAAAGAAAATTTTGACAGAAAGTTCTCAAAACTCGAAGAAGGCAAAGCATACAAACTTGTTATACCTTATGAACCAAAGAAAGCAGACGACTATGAATATTATGAGTCTAAGATAGTTGAAGTTCAAGGTAAATTGGGTAAAAAGATTTTAGAGTCTAAACCAGTGTTTGCTCCTAAAGAGGAAGAGAACATTGACATTGACCCAGAAATGTTCTAAAAATAAAATTTTATTTTTACATGTCATATCTCACCTTCTCTGGAACTGGTTCAGGTTCTTTCTTCTCTTCTACTTTCTTTTCTTTCTTTTCTCTCTTCTTCTTCTTCTTCTCTGGTGGAGTTATGTCAACTTCTCAGAACCATATTTTTGTAAAAGGTCTTTGTCCTTTAATAGCTCTTCTATTCTGTTTTCTATTTCATCTTCAAGAACAGCGCATGTGTCTTCTTTGCATTCTAAGAACTTTTGTTGGACTTCATCTCTCCAAGAGGCGTCATCTCTGTCAACAAGTCTGTCATTGACAAATTTTAAGACTTCTCTGCCTAATGTTTTTATGGTTCTTGTCATATTCCCAGAAACAGAACTTTAGAACAAATTCACCTTTCTTGTTTACACTATGTAAGATTTTATGGTCGACAGATGTTTGCTGTCGAAAAGCTTGTCTCGAATATAGATAGCGAAATCGCTAGACATTTTCTAAAAGATAAAAATTTTAATTTTTCTAAAAATATGTTAGAAAAAAAGTTTGCTGACATTGACAAGAAATTTGAGAATGTTTTGAAGAAGAACAAGAGGAAGTTGGAAAATGCTCAGATAAAACCCATACATGACAAGTTCCTATTGCTCAGAATGGTATAACAGGTCTAATCGCACCACCTGGTCGGGTAAGACTTTCACTTATCTTAAAATGGCTGCACAACAACAAGAACTAGATGAGAAGAACCCATTCTATGAGTTAGTAGTCATTTGTAGTACTTCTGGTCAATTCGATCAAACCGTCAATTCGTTCAAAGATATTATAAAAAAGTCTAAGTTAGTATGTATAAAAGACTCTGAGTTGTTGGATTGGATAAAGAAGTACCAAAGAAGAGTTTTGAAGTACAATGCTATAAATGAGTATATAAATTCTAAGTTTAAAGACCCAAATGAGGAAATGCAGAGAATATTAGAGAAGAAACACTTCAGAAACAAACAGAAAGAGATAGAATACATTTCGAAGAAATTGCAATCTTACGATTGGAAGACATACCCTCATAGGTGTCTTCTTATCTTAGATGATTTCGCCTCTCATCCTTTGTTAAAGAACAGAGAACAAGACATGTGTCGAATTCTTAAGAAGCTCAGACACTTTAACATCTCAGTTGTCATTTGTGTACAGACAGCAAAGAGTTTAAGTAAGGATGTAAAGAGAATACTTACTGACATTGTACTTTTCCCTGGATTGTCCGAAGACGATTTCATGGAACTTATGAAAGAGTCCATGGCAGGTAAGTTTGACAGACATGAACTATGGGAGAAGTTACAAAGTCATACAAGACCCTCATACTTCTTTCAGAATTCACATCTACGCGAACAAAGTTCAAATTGTAAAAAGTCAAGCGTAAAAATGTAAGTGTTTTAGTCTTAGTCTGTTGTGGTGCTGGGGCTTTCGGTTCTTCTGGCTTTGGAATGGACTCGGTTGGTGGTACGTCGGACATTCGTTTGTGTCCTGTCGGATGGAAGAACTTTTCCAGTTGGAAGGAAGGACTTTTCCTGTCGGAAAGAAAAATTTTTCCAGTTGTCGGGAAATTTTTTTCCAGTTGTCGGGAAAAATTTTTCTGTCGTTCGACCAAAAAGTTCTCAATTTTCGAAAATTTGAATGGTTTACGGACGAACAACAGGAAAAATTTTTCCAGTTGTCAGGAAATTTTTTTCCAGTTGTCGGGAAATTTTTTTCCAGTTGTCGGGAAATTTTTTTCTTGTCGGATGGAAGGACTCGGAATGCAGAAGGATTTGACAAGACAATTTACCATCTAGAGCTACCTGAGCCATCTGAAGTCAAGACCAAAAATAAATGGTTCATTTACTCTGCTTGTTTGAAGTTGTCAAAATACTCTGTTTATTTTTTCCTTTAACAATGGCAAATCTTCTTTGAAGGTAAGTATTGTACAACCTTTAATATCATAGTGTGTTTTGAGGTAACGTATCTTGAACTATTTGTTTCACATCTTCATTTGGAGTCATTGAAATCGGTAAGTTTTCGCGATAGAACCAATTTCTGTCAGATTTGTAAATCTTAGCAAGGTCGTAAAAGCTTTTGTTGTTTCTTCTGACTAAATGCAACATAACCATATCTTTATCTTCTTCATTTTCCATCTCTTCAGTATAAATCATATACTTATAGTTCTTTTCCTTTCCTTTTGGTACCGAACGTGGTATTCTTTTCTGAATGCTTTTGTCTTTTGCTTCAAGCTTGTTCTCTAGCTCTTCACGTTCTTGTCTATGAATTTCGTCAAGAAGTCTGTAAATATGCCATGCGTAACGAGGAGAAGCCCATATTGCAACAGCATTTACTAAAAGTCTATGTACATAATATCCTCTCAAACCATTTGGCAATTTTTCACGATTTTCATGAGTTTTAGGCGACTGGGGTTTCCCTCCCACTCGCTGTTCTTCACGATTTTCAGAAAAAAGTATGTCTCGCTGTGCTTCGCTCAAAAGTTCTTGTGTGCTTTGGTTCCTAAACCAGTCTTTAGGAAGCTTAGTATCTGGAGCAAAACATGCTGTCAAAATACTTTGCATTTGGTACATATCGTCTTTGACCGAACGAATGAGACGCAATTGTTTGTTAAACTGTATGTACTCGTATTCTTCATTTATAGCTTCATGGACTATAACTGTTGTTGTGTTCTCTGATGTTGACATATCTGTCCTTACATACAAAATAAAAAAAATATTTTATAAAAAATTAGCGTTATTTTCTATCTTTCACAAAAGACCAAAAATAAACGCTTTACATGTATTTTTCAGCAACTTCGTCAAATAATTTTATAGCTTTATCTATCTCATCTACTTCAAACGTTTCTTTACCTTTCGTGGGAGCACCATACATTTTCTCAAACTTTTCAAGTAGTTCTGTTTCAGCAGCTCTCATATCATTAACAAACACAACCTTGACTCTATTGACTGTACTGTCATATCTTAGAGTTATATTATATGTCCTTCCTATCTTATATCTTTTTGTGTTGAAGTCCTTCGGTTTCTGAACGATGTAAAGTAAGCCTTCACTGCAACGTTCCGTATCGAATGAACCATATGTTATGAAGTTATATCCAACAACTGGGTCAATCCATAACAAAACTATTGGTATAAGACTTTTGTCAATGAGATATGCTGTAGTTCCATAGAATTTTACCGATATCATAAGCTCAGGATTTCTTGTCAAAAT